CTGCCTAGAAATGTGAAAAGAAAAAAAGGAGAGCAAAAAGACAGAAAAAAAAAAGGACCTTGTTCATGAATCTCTGGTCCAACATTCTCTGCATCTCACCTTTCCCTTTTATATCCCTCGACTTACAGGAAAGTATATAATGCGCAGGACTATACTGTGTCAAGGTAAAGTATGTAGGTATCAATGATTACAATGTATTTCCATGAGCAACAATCTTATCGGCTGGACTTTTACCGTTTGTAGTAAGAACAACGAATGTACTGCGCCAGATCTTTTTTTTTTTTTTTGCTCGATAGATACCCTGGACAAAAAAGGTCATTCTTCCCTGTTCAATGATTGTGAACCAAGCACTACGCGAGCACATTGCCGAGATGTCTATAGATCCGCGCTTCCCCCTCCATACCTTAATTTCGAGACGGTCACAATCTTGGTACGTGCATCTTCTTCCACCAAATAAGCCCAACGTCAAGTATAGAGATCATAATATGTCCCTTACTGCGCCAATTCTAGCCGCCAAACCAGTCATCTTTGGATATGCAAGATAAGCGTTACAGCTTGATAGGACCGCAGGTGATCAACCCAACCAAAAGCAAAGAATGCAGAACCAACCGTAGCCGACTAATAATTAACGAAACGGTCTACTCAAAGTACAATTGAAGCGACTTGAGTGACACAGGCGTATCGCGCAATATGATGGAGGGGCTTATGGAGGGGTAGCCTGTGATCAATGAGTGGGTTATTATACCCAGAGAAGAACCCCTCTAGGTGCTAGCCATGTATGTAACTATACACTTTGGGGGAAAAACGCCCTGTATCATTGGAAAGACGTTGGTCGTACAGCAGAACAATTAAATTCTAACAACGACTTTCAGTGATGTCATGTGCCTGGATTCTAGAGAGCGATAATATATGGGACGCTACTTCTTGTTCTAGAGTATTTCTCGAAATCAATGATCCCGATATCTACAATACATATACCGGATGTGCGGAGTATATAGAATGCTGATCATTTTTTTTTAAAAAAAAACTCTGACATTTTACTTTTTGTTCCTGTTTCCCCTTTCCTATTTTATTAAACTTTATTTCCATTCTTTGTTGTTCTTAATGCTAGGTATGCGACAGGAGAATCAGGAGTCATACCAGTACATGAATACGTACTCCTACCTGAGGCATGCATATAAAGGCACAGTCGGTTCTTGAATGTAATGAGTTTACATACCAGTGGGGCACCTGTCAAAGCAAGTCTAACAATATTACAAGCCCGGACAACCACAGGCACAGCGAACCATAGCAACCAACAATTCATACAAATGGGTGAATCGAGTTGAGATTCTCTCGAATACACTTGACTAAATTCACCCCTCCGCGCTCCCCCATGGCTTGCCAATTACGTACTACAAATTAGCAGATATGGGGACATTGTAAAATAGTACTCACGTGCGGTGAATCCATGACAATGACCGGTTTCTGTAAAACCACCCATGTTTTAATCGTGCCGGGTAACTGAATCGCTTTTCCCCTCGAAACATGGTTTCAACATTAAATTTCTTCATCCCATTACCATAAGTGGTGTATGTATCCGTCACACATCTTCAAACAGATCTTATGCTCAATCCCTAACTTAATCAAAATATTTGTCTGGTCTGGTTTAGCGTTGATACTTGCAGAAAGTGATAGGCTATGTGCTTCTTAATATACCAGTAATTCAGAAACCAATCTAAATGATACAGCAGCTCCGTACTGGACTAATTATATACAGATCGGTATATTCGGAAGGCCCAGGAAACCCACACGTGATACATGAACGCATTTGTATGCGCTTCCGGCGTATGCCGTGGGGATGAAGGTTTCTGTTCCTCACATCCCACTGCATAACCCATGCACCAATGGCAGTAGCCGTAGATGCCGAGGCGGAAGAACGAGGTTCCTTGCTCTCGCTACTTTACCTATGCGGTTAGCCAGTTCAAAGGAGGGAAAATGGGAATTCTGAACGGTCGCTTAGCGCAAGGTTATTAGGGCTGAGGCTCGGGGTCAAAGGGGATATGGTTCGGAATTCTTCGGATCCGCTGTTTTCAATGGGCTTTGCGGCCGAAAGGTCCGGGATATCACATGATCGATATTTGTGGAGATTGGATTAGTCAAATCTTGATGGTCTGGATTCTATTTCCGGAATGCCGATAGGTCAGATTGTTGGAGGAGAGGGATATCAATTAGGCATTGCGATTATTATGGATATACATGGTTCTGTATGTATCGTATCGTGCAGTCATTACATAAGTCACGTCGTCAATCACTACCAATGTCTCACACCGATCAACACCTGTTCATTGGGGTCCAATTCGATGGATGTCAGCGAGCCGGTGACCAGTCCCAGACGCGTGAGGACCTGCCACACCAGTTTGCGCTTTAGGTTCTCACGCACCGGAACCTTCTCGAGAGCATCCATTCCATTGAAGTACTTAATGTAGACAGGCCACAAGTCCTTCATTGCGGTTCGAAGCCCTGCATGTTCCGGGTCGTTCTCGTCGATGTTAGCTCGTCCTTTCAGAGAGAACCTGGGGTGTTTGGGGAATCGCGAAACGATCTCATCGAGCCACCGAGACTCTAGTGGTGGGGCACGATGGGGGAATAGAATCAACGATGCCGTTTTCAGGGAGGTGTCTTGGTCTAGTAGTGAGTGCGAGAGGTGTAGTCTGCTGTCAGGTTTATACCGGCCAGGCATTGGCGTTTCCTCCCCGCTATCCTGGCTTGCGAGAGAGGACGATGAAGACGAGCTAGCATCGTCATCGTCATTCTCTGATGTGTCGCCACCGTGTTTGCTCTTGTCTGAGAGTATGGATGATCCTTGTTTGCTTAGGTATTTGTCCACTTCCTCGCGTCGAAGAGCCCTCTCCACTGCCATTTTAATCTCTGGAGACACCTTGACTCGCGCAAACGTTCGGAGTTGAGTCACCCATCCTCCCCGTAATAACCATGCTAGGATCGCAAAATAGGCCTCTTTATGGTCTTTACTCGGAATAAAGCTTCCGTAGGGTCTAGGCGTGCCACTCAAGGCCGACAACATCTTCGGTAGACTGGGAAGGGTTGGAAACGCTAATTGGTATGCGGCGGTAGCTACTTCTAGTTTGCTGAGGTCACAGTTCGGAGAGACAAAATACACATCCCGCTGGTGGAGTGGTGGGATGGCGCGTGCTCGCCTCCAGTACACTAGATGGCTCGCCAACATCTGAATGGTGGAAAGCGGTATTCCTGACAAAGCAGATATCTGGGCAAATGATTTCGTCGGCCTGGAACATCGGATATAGTGAGCAAGGGCGGGAGCTAGAGCACCCCCTGACGCTTCTACATCCTTGAGGATTGTCGCTTCGTCACTAAGCAATAGTAACGCAAAGTGTTTAGCTAGCACATGATGCGGAGCAGTGTTTTCATCAGCGGTGGGGTCGTCAGCGGGGGTAACGCTATCTGCTGTTGTAAGCCAGAGACCTGGGTACGCTTTGTCGCTTGGCCCAGGGAGATAAGGCGTTGAGGTAAGAGGTGGGATTTGAAGCGAAATAGATACGTCCGGGCTCAGCGAAACGGAGGCGATCTTGGACGCTGAAATGTTACTGTAAACTGTGTAAATTGCCCTTGCCAGGGAGGAATGGTGGATGAGTTCCGAGTAGAGCGTATTGACAGACGTCCCTGTAATCATTAGCGCCAGAGCTCTAGTTGAAGCTAATCAAAAACCCAGCAACCTACTTGTCTCTTTCGCTTTTTCCTTGATATGCGAAATATGCTGAGCCTCCCGCCAGACGTAGTCCGTTCGCGCCTGCTCCCACTTCAGTGCTTTAGCAAACTTCTTGATGATATTATCGTAGATCTCTCGGATGCGCATGGAGTACTCCAACAGCGGAGGGTCCAATACGAAGACCACATTGAACATGGTCATCGAATCCTTATCGTCACCATCCAACAATTCACTTAGCGTCCTTGAACTCCTAATGCTTCCCATCGATGCCCGTTGAGATTCTGATGCCGTCATCGTATGCGGGCTCAAAGTCTCTGTTGAAGCAGCGATAGCCTCATCGGCATCCTCGCGCGCATCATCCGGTGTTTCATTATGACCCAGTTCGCCTCCTTCCCACTCCGGTTTGGTTTTCTTCTTCTTCCTTCGCTGTTTCCTCCAAGTCCCATCCTCTCGAACAAAGACCGGCCACCCAACAAATGCCAGATCATTAATTCCGACCTCAAACCGCCGCTTATGCCACGACCGAGACGGACTCAGCAACTTCTCCCAAACATCAGCCTGCAATCCAAGCAACGACTCCCACGGTGGCCGGAGCCCCCCTCCTGAGGCCCCCGCCCCATCCTCTTGTCTATCCGACCCAGCCCCGGGATCTTCCTCGACGTCCGAATTGCCCCCACGCTTCCGCAACCCGCGACCCGAACCTATGGACCCAGCACGCTGCGAATCTCCCCCAGGCGAAGCAGCTATGGAACCGTGATCATCGAGGCCAAAATTGCTCCACCGTCGCGAAGCCGACAAGGCGCTCCCGGCGAGATGTGTGGTGCTCGCATTCTGACTCTGGGCATGCGACTCCTCCTCGTCTTCATCGGACGTCGTCCCAGACTCTTCGCTGGAACTGGAATCGTTGCTCTTGGCGGATTTGGCGCGTGAGGGGCGGCGGCCTTTGGGTGCTGCGCGGAGCCCGTTCTCACTGAGGGGGTTGGGGGGATAATGGAACACGAAGCGAGGGCCGGCGCGGGAGCGCACGATTAAGATAATCGCGACCAGACAGGGGTCTGGCGGTCGTGCGATTGACGACATTCGTTGAGCTACGAGTTTAGGTGTGAGGGTTTGGGGATGTGGTGTTAGTTTGCAACTTTAATAAAGCTAAGGTAATGGATGCGCTCATTGGGTTTGCCCGTCCGCTGGACCCCCAATTTGGGCTTTCCCCGCATGGGCTCGCGTCAACTGGTTGATCTACATTGCGTAACTTATCACCTCCAATACATGTCTGTTTTGAAACTTTATGACTTTATCCTATTTGAGTGGACGTATTGTACAAATGAAACTAGATATATACACAACCCGGCAACGCCCAAGAGAACAGAAGATATCTAAACATCATACATGGTATCATACAACTGCACCAAGCTTGGACAACATCACGACTTCTCATTGGCATTCTTGTTTTCCTTGTCGAAGATAAGTCCCAGATTCTTGAAGTCGTCTGGTGCCATCAAGTTCCTAAACCAGACGTCTGTTAGCAACCATCCATAAACAGGCCCAGACGAGATTGCCCGTACTTATCCATCCGACAAGCCAGATATCCCTTAGCCAACTTCCGGCACTCCTCATCGTTGACACCGCGCTGGGACTTGATACATTTCAGGTAACCGGCGATGAGGTGTTTGCATTCGCCTAATTCAATTAGATATTAGCACCGTCATGCTTTCTCGGTTTCGAAATGATCGACGGTAACTTCATCGAGACTTCGGCGGGTCGGAAGATCGAAATCGAGATGTTGGACGGACGTCGGATCGATTGCAGAATTAGGGAACCATACCTTCATGGTCAAGCGGGAAACTACCGCGCTCGGGACTGCATAGCAAGTTAGCCTTCAACTTTTGAAACCATAGCTTCATGGATGATATTGCATTACTTAATGCGCCAGGGAGAATGAGGGAATATAGGGAACTCACGGGGTGGGCTTGGTGGGAGTGACGCCACTGCCTGGACTTCCGAAACCCATTGTGATTTTTTCTTGTATTCGAACGGGGGAACCACGAGGAAAGAATGAAGTAACTGAGAAACGATCGAACTGACAAATTGAAGGTGTGGAAATAATACGGCCACGGGAATTGATGGTCTGGATTGGGAAAATGGCGCCGTCGGTCTCCGACTACGATTGAAACAAACGGTGCAAACTCACCTATTCTCATGGATGGAATGGATACGATTTCAGACACGATGTAAGTTGTAATTCGGAATACACAACCTGCAAGTGTCGTAATGAAGCTGTTTGTATTTTATGGTACATAGGTTGGGCTAGATGAGAGTACCTTGCATGTTAGGTATGCTACAACTGTACTTTTGTACCGAAATCTACTACAGTTGAACCCATATCTGCCGCACAGCCTCTGCCTCCCCTGTCTTCTGTAGAATGCATGTATGCTAGCCAGGGGGACCTTGTAAAAGACATATTCCGGGGAATGCAGGAATTTTGCTCCAATCCAGGTACTGTGAATATTTTATTCAGGTAAAGGATCTTCCTTACTAGGCGACCTCAACAAGTGTACTCCGTACGGAGTATATTGAGTTATATCTGCTGCACTATCCTGCTTTGGGACGCTCAGAGATTTTACGGCGAATTATATTGAACTCTACCGTGACTACAATATCCAATACTGCACAAATGGCATGCTACAGAGAAAGATAAGGTTCACAATGCAAGAATTGTATTGGGGTATCATAATAACTAAGCCACATCCATTTTCATAACCTGCGTTTAGCTGTTAGCCAAGCACATAGCACATATTCATGTGATAAAAGGCAGATAGTGTGGTGATATCAGTTCTCCAAGGTGAAATTTTTTTCTTCAATGATGTTCAGTAAGAACACAGCGAAATATTTGTTGTTCATCATAGGAAAGCCGGGGTAAGAGGATCGAAGTGTACTCACACTTTGGATTTAGTTTGGTTACTCGGCTACAGTAGCAAAAGTTCCTACATCACGAAACGAGTCAGCACATATCAAGAAAGTGTTATGTGTGATTCAGCAGTGTGATGTGTCAACAATAGTCAGGCTAATAAATGTTAGCGTCATGATACTTGTACACAATAGCATATCTGAACTCACCTCATTAAATCAGAATTTTTGTACAATGTTCATACCATGCAGAGCATGGATCACACAGTGTGAATAATAAGATTCATCATATAAAGTTGACTGGTTTGGGGTGTGCACAATAGAACCAACAGAAAAATGGGACAATACCTGAAGACTTGTTAGTATATTGCAAGTCTCCTGAATCGTAACCAAAGAAGGATAAGCCGAAATCTCAGGTGACGAGTTCTCAACAAGTAGTACACCGTCCTACACCCGCAAAGTTTGTACGCTTCGCTTTTGATGGATGCAGGTAGATGTATACGTTATGTCCGCCCGTTCGTTCATGGTTTCTTCATTGGAATCGAACAAGAAAATGGAAGAGATTTATTTACCTATTGACAATTCTGTTAGTCAATGATCATGCAAGTTAAACTTGGTTGATAGCAGCAAAAGATGTAAAGGATGTCAGACAAGGCTGAAACTTGAGTTAAACACGAATTCCACATGGTGATTAAGTTTGAGGAATGCCATAGCGTGTCATAGCGTCATCATTCGAGAAAAGAAAAAAAAAATAAAAATAAAAAAGGAGAAAAGTCTTGTCGCATACCTTTAACATGACTATGGAGAACCTTCGAAGAGAAAATGAAGTCAGGTCATACACAAACTTCTATATCCTAGCATAGGACGTTAGCAGGTATTCATACACACAACACCATGGATGCAAGTCATGGTTGCTGCAATGATCAGAGTAATTCTAGAGACTTGGAATAGGTCCTTCACGTTTCTTCGGCCATGGATATTCCTGTTAAAGGAATTCATCCTGCGAAAAGTGCTGCATAAAGTGGGAGTAAGAAAGAAATATGTCAACTCACTTTTTGATATATAGATGGATTGTACACTTCACAAGACAATCTCAAGTACGCAAGACCATGACTTGTGACTTGAGACGTCAAGGTAATGTTCAATCCATCTTGTTGTTGTCGCTGAGATGTAAAGCTGGGAAAGTTCAAAGAAAAAATTGTTGTGGGTGGGACGAAGTTTTATAGGTGGAGAGCTTGGACCAACGGTAAGCGGGTTTGACCGAAAGCGTTGTTTGCTGCAAAGACAAACACAACAATTTCCTACCCTAACAATTAGATTTAACAACACATCCATCGAGATCATACTATCTTTCACTAGTATTATGGAAAAAAGCAAGTACGGACGGGTCAATTGTTTTACTAAGTAGTATAATGAGAGAATTGGGCCAGAGCGACTGCCTATGTATGGATCTGAAGCCTAATCCTGACGACATCATTGACAACGCTAGTCATTACAGTCAGTTGTCGCATAAGAGTTTTCCTAGCAAGATTGATTAGGAATAGGTGATTGCGTAGAAATGGGGTTCTAGGACTAGCTAGAAGCAATGGCAGAAACACTCTGTATTGCATGATAGCTTTCTTCCCAGTTCTAGCCTGTTACATTATCAGTGTGCTAATTGCGGAGCTGCTTTCTTGGTTCACCGCGACGTCATACTATCCACTGACGGTAATAACATTGGGTGCGTCAACTTGACGTCGATTGGTAGGTTAATCCTCCTATTAAAGTGAACCTTCTTTATTAGACCTGCTCCAGTATGAAATATATATAGAGGGCATTGCCTCTTTGTCGGCTGTAGAACAACTGGAATTCAAGTTCATCAAATCATTCAAGACACACACACCTACATCTTTTCAGAACAAAATGACTACGTTCAAGCTCAACACCGGTGCAGAAATCCCTGCCATTGGTTTTGGCACCTGGCAGGATGCCGAGGCGCAAGAAGATGCCGTGGCTGAAGCCATTAAAGCCGGATATCGTCACATTGACACTGCCCGAATGTGAGTTCATGATCGACAGCTTTGCGAATGGTATCCAGTGCTGACAATCGATAGCTACGGAACCGAAAAGGCTGTAGGAAAAGCCATCAAGAAGAGTGGTGTGCCCCGTAAGGAGCTTTTCATCACGACCAAGCTCTGGAATAACAAGCACCACCCCGATGACGTCGCCCAAGCCCTTCAGGATTCGCTCAACGATCTGGATCTAGAATATGTCGACCTTTTCTTGATGCATTGGCCTGTAGCATGGAAGCGAGGAGATGAGCTCTTCCCTAAGGAGAATGGAAAGCCGGCTGTTATAGATGTTGACTTCGTTGATGTAAGCCTCCACATCAGCAACGTTCTAAATTGCAAAGCTGTATAACTGACTGCATACAACAGACCTACAAAGCAATGGAAAAGTTGCTGTCCTCCGGAAAGGTCAAAGCAATTGGCGTTTCGAACTTCTCCAAGGCTGACATGGAGCATCTGCTTAAGAACACTTCGGTCGTGCCCGCAGCGCATCAGCTAGAAGGCCACCCATGGCTGCAGCAGCGTTCCTTCGTCGACTGGCACAAAGAAAAAGGCATCCATGTCACCCACTACTCTCCCTTCGGAAACCAGAATGAGCTCTACAGCCGTGAAGGTACTATTGGCAAGTTGATTGATGACCCGGTACTGGTAGAGATTGGCAACAAGTACAACAAGAGTTCAGCTCAGGTTGCCCTTGGTAAGTGCTGCGTTCTGTGACCTCGATAATACTTGTGGAATATGCTAACCATTTCTTGTAGCTTGGGGTGTTACGCAGGGTCACTCGGTGCTTCCTAAGTCCAAGACCCCCTCAAGAATCAGGGATAACTTGGCAGGAGACTTCAAGCTGAGCGAGGAAGATATGCAGAAGATCCATGGAATTGACAGGAAACTTCGTTTCAACGACAGTAGCGCTGACTTCGGTCGGGACTTCTTCTCCGACTTGGATGGAAAGAAATAAGCTGTTAGGGTACCAAACATCAAGCTTTTAAGAACGATTGAATGACTACCATTATGACACTACCAATATAATTGATTAATGCAAATCCTGGTTGCTATATAAAACTCTGACTAATGTCATCTTGTTCTTATCATCCTTCTATCAAGCTTGCCTAAGCCCAAGCTTCGAACTATACAAGCACTGTAAATCGGCTTTGATACGGCCTGCCATATCAAAATGATTTCCGTAGGTGTTTCCATAGAAATCTAAGACTTCTTTCAAAAGGTGTTCCACACTCTGAACTTCCATAGCTGCACATGCACCTATAGCCAATTTGTGCTCGCCTTCTTCCATGAATACCAAAGCTAGCTCGTCCACCGCGCGCATGGTGTCTGGGTGGCGGCGGCCCCACCGTTCAGTATAGATAGCAATAACATCCTCCAGCAAACTACGTGCTACGCTGAATTTGCCATGTTAGATATTGGCCTTTCCAAGATTTAGTTTGGAGGACAGTATGATTGGATGAGATTCGCCCAACCCAACACTCCTCTTTGGCTGTCAAGAATGTGGAAGAAGATATCAGTTGCTGCAGCTACCGCGCCTTTTCCGAGAAGAACATCGCCCATTTCATTCAATATACAAATATAATGCTGCATCCGTTCATCCTTCGTCAGAATATTTTGGTCTGGCTTTGCGTCGAGCGAAGTGAGCTGCTGCATTGCGTAAGTTTTCTTCAGCTTCTTCTAGCCTTCCAATCATCATCAATGCCACAGACTTGTTGTACAAGGTAGACATTGATATGTCAGGTGATAGCCCTCCAAACTGGCTCCTCAAGTTTCATGACCTTTCAAATGTGTGCAGCGCGAGGTCAAATTTACGCTGGTTGATATAGACCAAGCCAAGATAAGTGAAGAAGTCTGCTAATAACTCGGCCTCAGGTACAGTGAGTGTCTTCTGATCGAGCGCCTTTTCAATCATCCGATAAATTAGTGATGCTTGGTCAGACAGACCAGCATGACGGAATAGTCGACTGAGAGCTTCAAGCTCGGTAAGATTGGTATATTGTCCCTATCTCCCTTGTCCTGTATAACCCCAGCATTGAGTAGCATGCGGTTCTAGTTGCCGTATCTTCTCCCAACAGTTATCCTCGTACGATCGTGGAACCTGTGCGGCTACCAGCGATATTGCACATTGTATGTACTCTTGCTCATTGGTGTTCGTTCTTTGTCGGGCTACGGCCTGAATTGCTGGATGTATCTCCCAAAGTTGGTGTCTGTTGACGGTGTGGTTTAGTTCAATGAATGATAGATCCACCAAAATAGGGCAAATGCTCCTGAATGATTTCTGCTCTTTTGAAAGAGCGCGGAGCCAAGTTGGATATGTTTCTTCTACTGCACCAAGACAAAGCTCGTACCATAGATCCTTATGGTCAAGGTAGCTGAATTGAGTCAATACTTTTGCCGCTCTAGGCTCCGCAGACTCGAGCTCTTGAAAGCTCTGCTCCATAGGGAGCGAAATATATTTGTTGATTTCAAGTGATTCCTCACTAGTTCCGTAAATTTTCTTCCATTTTTCCAAATATTCAACCGCTGCGTATCGATAACGAGAAATAACGGACACTGCAAGCTGAAGCGACAGAGGGTGGTCTTTGAAAGAGCTCACCAATTCTTCGATACCTGTTACTCGAGGTTACATTAGCAAAGGTGCAACTCAATAAGCATGAGGGTGTATACCTCCTGCTTCTGTGAGTTGAGTGTCAACCCGGGATTGAAGTAGATGGATAGCACCTTCATCTATGAGTCCCTTGAGCTCGCGGTTCGGCTAACATTCTTCTACGTCTCGTCTGCTTGCAACAAGCAGAATATAGCCTTGATTCAAACTGTCTCAATATATCGGTTATACAGAAGGACACTGAGTCATGAGCGCTTGAGGTTGATCGCCCATTTAAACCGTCAACAACAAGGAGCCGTCTTTGATCTTCTAATCGGTTGAGTTCGGTGAGAAAAGAGCTAACAAAAATGTACGTTATCCTTGTGGACCTTTGGACGGCGCGCGTTTCGAAAGTTTGAGATCCTTATTGAGAATCATGCTTACACTGTGCTCAAAAGCTTCTTGGGTCTCGCCGTTGACCCAGAAGATCTCACGTTCTGGATGTTTAAATTGCTGATGATGAACAAATTTTGACGCCAGCTGCATTCCTATGAGAAGTTTAAGGCGTTGGATTGTGGAAAGAAAAGACATAGTCCATGAGGATTTACAGGAGTACATACAAAACGATGCACAGCAACTTATTGTCAATTGTACAACCCCAGATAAGATGAAAGAGGACATACAGGCTAGTATAGGAGGGTAAACTGCAGATCCTGAGGTTGATACTTGTAGGGGATGAGTTAGATCTGAAGGCATTTTATAGTCTTCAAAGAGATGTAATGGTATACTAGTACGACGATTGATTCTGCAATTTCCGCAGTCATCAGTATTCATAGCTAGAAGAACGCTGCGTTACGACTTGCCCTAACGAAGGGGCTTTTCAACCTTGTATGTAGTTGCTTATAGTAGGTACGAATTGTATATCATACGTAGCTTTCTATCAGTAATTATGATTTAACAGAGCTCGATCACCAAAAGTCAACAGTCTCAAATGGCCGTATATGGGTGCTAGACAGCACACACTTTACAGTACACATAAATTTGGGAAGCTTCCTATACCGGTTATTCTTGAAGCAGAGCGTCATTATCAGTTCCCAATTCACGACCTAACCAGCTGCTGGAAGCCACCCACGCTTCTCCCACTGATTGCAACGACATGTCTCCCACTTGAGCTCAAAGATATAAAAGAATGGGCGCGCCGTAGTAGCAGCCTTAGATATCAGCATCAATGACCCAAGTGTATATGAAAAGAGTTCTTACGATATGAGATTGCATCCATCCTCCAGCTCCACTATTGTCATTATTATTGGGCCCTTTGTCTGTGGATGGGGTTTTTACATAGCACAGGCAACAAGACCTTGAGTGAACAGTAGCGTTGGCCGAACAGGAAAGGGTAAAGCTCCCTACGATAAAGATATTGAAAGTGAGTCTGAAGTCGACTTGCTGATGCTTTCGCTCGACGGAGTGTAACTCTGAATGTTCCAAAATTAGTGCTCTTATTTACTTACTCATTTATTGCTTCTTCATATTTGGTCTTTCTTTTTTTCTTCTATTCTTACAGTGGAAGGTAGTCTTCAATCTTAGTGGCAAATGCTAAGCGAAATAGACGCCACTAGCCCCCAGCTAGTATATGGAATAGGCTAGGTACCACACTGTACGGTTAAGATTCCCTACGGAACGGGCCGAAATTTAATTTTCATTAGTGAATGGGGGGCACTTTCACTAAACTTCACATAATTGTATACCAACCAATGATGATGCATCTTAACATTCAACTTACTAAGTCAAATTGGGATGCTTCCCAGGCACAGAGTAGTATACTTGCTCTGGGTCTTTCTGTCTTCTGTTTAGTGATTCACATGAACTCGTGATACTCTTTACTGCTTCAAGATCAAGTGATCTACCACTGTATCAAATGCTGGATGAATTGGAGTAATACGTGGAATGTCGTCTATATGCTTGGTGAGGAATATTTTACTGGGTATATAGCTGGAAAAGGGACCAGTTATAGGAGTCGAGTAGGTAAAACAGTCAGAGAATTCGATGAGATCAGTGCCTGTGAATAGTTGTCATCGACAGAGACACTCTATGGAAGCCTGCCAGATGTGTATTGATAGAGGTATAGGTGTAAATGTTGCTTGCAAGATGTTGGCCTGTTCTCAGATAGATAGTTCTCAAGGATTTCATAAGTGTCAGGCATCTTGAGGTCTTTTGGATATCTTATGGCACTCTCTTGATGTGTGAAGCTTGCGTAGTCGTGGGAATGGCTGATGCGGGAGTATGTGAGAGTTCAATTGAGAAGTTGAAGAAAATGTGTAACTGTTCTGGGGAGGAGCAGATATTTGAAAGTGTGTTATTTCTGGTCAAGCATCTCACTAAGTATTCTGGCGCGGATATTCACTGCTTCAGAAACACAAGTGTTCCTAGTTTGTCAAGAGTCAGAAACACTAGGTCTGGGAAGACTGAACTCAGTGCAAGCACCGCCAGGATACCTGATCAAGCAATGACACATTCTGGCTATGCCGTGTCTATACTATTGACTTTTCAGTATTTAGGGTCTTTAGAAAGGATGTCAAGACTTGACATCAGATGCTGCATAAATTACATTTCTGTTTAGACACCACCCGGCAGTATGAGATACAGCGTCTCTGAGCTGAGTCGTATCACTTTCCCCCAACAACGAAGGGGATATCATGATTTCAAGGCAAGTACATGTTTCAAACCACTACTCCGCACTTACTCACATCACTGACGTGGTGTTGAGCTCAACCTCAGCCTGTGTTCTATCCATTTCAACTCACTATCAGAGCGACACCAGAAAATGGCCTCATCTGCAGCCAGATATAAGTCCCTTCCAATTTCGACTGGCTTCCTCAAGTATCATATCAAAAATGCCACTCATCCTCACTTCGTCCTCCTTTACTTCACAACTCCTCATCTTCCTATCACTTGGGATACTGACTACCTATTCTACTCGACAGTGGGTATGAGACAACATGGCTCGCTGAGCCATTTGGCCAACCATAGGTGGCATCCGTGACCAGCAAAGAAACTGTGTAGGAATTGTGGGAGAAAGTGTCAAAAGCCCAAGGAGCGAAAGCGGCCCGAGCCCAGTCCCGCAGCTTTTAGCTCATCATTTATACTCGACTACTGTGAAACCCCTTTATAAGCTAATAATTGAGCCAGCAGTTTAAATTGCTTATAACGTAGTGTTGCTTATATCGAATTCTCTGTATGACATGTATTTTAACAAAGTATCTAGAGAATTTTAGAAGTTATAATAGATAGTATTTAATTTTTCTCTATATTCAAAAGTACTTTAACTGTAATATCCTGGTAAGTAATTTTGTATGAACACTCGGTTAGTTGAAAGTTCCCTATAATCAGGTATTAAGCAATTTTATATGGAAAATGATTTCAGCCCCCCCCCCCCCCCCCCCCCCCCCCCCCCCCCCCCCCCCCCCCCCCCCCCCCCCCCCCCCCCCCCCCCCCCCCCCCCCCCCACCCCCCCCCCCCCCCCCCCCCCCGCCCAAAAAAAAGTTGCTTTTAACGTGTATATTGCTTATTTAGAGGTTGCTTATAGACAGGTTTTACTGTAATAGCAACGAAAGGCTACAGGCGCTTTGCAGGAGACCCCAACTCCCAGAATGGATTCTCATCCTATAAGCTATAGCCCACCCCCAAGGGCTTCGACCCTCCTGCATGATGTAGGACCAAATCATCGTGCAAGAAACATATAACCTTCTATCACAAGATACTGTTATCCAAGATGTCTTGGCAAGGTACAGGCCACACATTCCCCCTCCCCCATGCAGTTAGCTCTACAGTTACTAACAAGATTAGACTATGTTGATTATCAATTAGTTGGTCAGGGTATGGCACCTCTACAGGCGCAGGCTGTCATAAACAAAGTAGTGGGCTATCTCACTGCCGCGGGCTACTGATGGAAGCTACCAGGGTTATAACAAACCATTGATACCTCAATCAACTCTCAATTTTGATGTTTATATGATGCTACCCTGTGGCCAATATATTACTAGTAGTAGGAGATTCCCCGGCGAACATTATCCCGGTGGGGATAGTATGGGTAAAGAGGGGAAAGAGGAAAAGAGGAAAAGTAGCAAGCAAGCTTCAAAGCTGGCAAAACGAGACTATGCTCAATAGAATTTATCTATCCTTACGTAGAAGACCTAATAATATAAAAGACAGCGCCGAATCGTATGAGAGGTATTCTATGGTAGGGGGTATGTCAACTATAGAATCATCCTAACATCTTCGTCCGGGATTGAATAGCGAATACGTAGCTGCCAGTTTTTAGAAAAGAGGAAACACAGGACAGAGAGTCTCGTTCTACATGGTTGAAACATGTCTTCCTCAGGAAAAACGTCTTAGGGTAGCTTACAATATATGTACAATACATATACATCCTACCAGCTAGTTTGATAGGTCAGGAACAAAAAAGGTTCACTATCCTAGCTTACCTACTCCATACTGTGTACTAATGTACTAGTATACCTATTCCATAAAGACTTCACCAGATAGCTAAACCCAACTGGATTAAAATATGGAAGCCTACCAGAATTGAGGTCTAGAATGTAGATTGTAATGTACCTAATAATACGTAAACGCCGTGGTGGAGAAAAAGAAAAAGGTAAACTTGACTGCTGCCTAAGAGTCCATACTCCCTCAGTCTGATATTAGGGCTTATCTTGTTCTACAGAATGATTTCTTTGATTACATAAAATTAAGCACCTATAGCTCAATACACCCTTGTTATAATTACAGGCAATACAGCATGTGATGATTTACTCCCTAAAGAACATGCACTAGGACCTGCAGGAGCTTCCTGCAATAATGCTGACAATGCATACAGTATACGGTTCATTTATAGCACTCCCGCCAAGCTGAACGATTTTCACTATAGTATGTATCCTCCATGCAGAATATCATTCTTTCCCGTTTCAATATTCCAAAATTTCAATCTAACAAAAGACTCCAGATAAGATACACTCTACACGGCACGTCATAACATCCCAGATAGACAGAAACAATCCGCGGAACCACCAGCTTGGCAAAAAGGCAGTGCACTTTATTTAACCAGCCAAGAACTCCCAAGAAGCAAACATTTATCCCTCCTATTTTAATAAACACAAAGTCTAACGGGACAGCTTCCCCATCCGCGTCTCGGATTGGTTCTGTTAATGCTAATTTCCGCGGCTAACATTTAATCTTCGTCTGTTCATCCCTGGCTGTCAGTTGACTATCGTCACGACTGGTCATTCATCTATTCCTCCTCCTCCTTTTAATCTCTCATATGTCAACATCAACACCAACACCAACATAATAAGATAAAACCACATCTAAATGCCCCATACCGAGAAACCCACCCACAGGATGGGCCTCCATAATGTGAACATCCCCACCGCAAAACGATACCTCCCACTCCTAATATCCTACATAATCGACTGGGTATTCATCATGTACATACATACATACACCCCCCCCCCACCCCCCCTCTTCCACTTACATTCTACCTACAATAAAAGACTAATACAAGATAACCAGAGGAATAGCCCTAATAGGCTACGGCTTCCACAAAGTCACCCCCAACCACCGACCCTTCACACTAACAGACCCCAGTATCTCATTTCCCTACACCACCCATGAAACGGTGAGCACAGCCGTCCTGGTCGTTGTAAGTCTCATCGTACCGGCTGTGATTATCGTTCTCGTGACCCTGGTGATAATGCCCGGGGTATGGAACTGGCGGGTGAAGATTTGGGAGTGGAATGCTGGGTGGTTGGGATTGGCGCTGGCCGTTGCGGGGGCGTTTATGGCGACGGAGGGGTTGAAGGATTTGTATGGGCGGCCGAGACCGGATCTGTTGGCCCGGTGTGACCCTGATCTGGGCAATATTAAGGCTTATGTGGTTGGGGGGCTTGGGGGGCAGGTCGAGGGTGCACCGAGAGTGGTGAGTTGGGAGATTTGTAGGAATAGGGGGAAGGAGTTGGTTATGGATGGGTTTGTTAGTTTTCCTAGTGGGCATTCTTCTTGTGAGTATACTCTTTCTTTTCTTTCTTTCTATGTTCTATTTTTTTTTTCGGGGTTTACTTTTTGAGTGCTGAGGGTATTGATTGATATTGATTGATATCTATCTAGTTGCCTTTGCCGGGTTGACCTATCTGAGTCTGTGGTTATGTGCAAAGTTCTCCATTGGATTCCCTTATCTGGCGCATTCGCCCTTTGGTCAGGATCTGCGCGGCCAGAAGCGTGAGGCCATTCGCAACCTGGGAGCTGCGCCTCCCGTCCTCTTGGTGATCCTTGCCTTTGTACCGATGGCAGTTGCCTTCTTCATCTCTGCTTCACGCTGGTTTGACTTCCGACACCATGGATTTGATATCATCTTCGGCTCCGTCATGGGAATGGTTTTCGCATGGGGCGCATTCCGCTTGTATCACCTCCCCATCATGCGTGGTGGCGGCTGGGCCTGGGGCGCCAGAAGTCGGCGACATGCCTTCTTTAAGGGTGTCGGACTCCCAAGTCACATCGGCGGCGACAACTGGTCCAGCGTGAAAGACATCCCACAGACAGACGAGCGCGCAGCAGGTCAAGACATCGATTTGGAAAGCGGACCACGTAACCTGGCCGAATGAGCAGAATCCCAGGATGAAGGTGTTTTGGATGTTCGTTGAATCTTTCTTTGCCCTCCCACACGATAAGTTAGTCATAGCTGTATACCCCCGTTCGCACTATAGTCGAGACAATCTCCGTGCGACATATTGCTTCTTTAAAAATAAGGGTACGTTATAAAAATCAAGTTCAGACCCCCTTTTCTTTTCTCAATGGCTATCACCAAAAAAAAAAGAGTCCCAACCTGTATCGTAGCATATCACCTCCACCCTCCCACTCTCCCCTCATCCCACCGCGCCTTCGCCTCGCGTCTCGCCTCCAACTTAGCCCCTTCCGCTCGCACCCGGCGAATCCAATCCGCAACCTCCTTCTCCGTCGCCCGTCCGTGATGATGATGCTCTTCCTCCAGAAAGCTCTCCTCCACGGCATGACAAACCGCCTCCTGCTCAGAAATCGACGCCGCAAGCCGCTGGTACAACGCCTTGGGCGACCACGGCGCCAGCGCGGCGTCCATATCCGTCTGTTTCTTCCGCCACGATACCTCCAGCGATTGATGCGTCAATAGAAGCGTCTCCGTCGACCCGCGCAGTTCCGTAACCCGTCCCTGAAGCTCGAGTAAATGGCTCGCTAGGTCCTTGTTATACTTTAGTAGTGACTGGAGGTACTCTTGATGTGCGGCGTGGGATGGGTGTCGACTCGCTAGCGCGGAGATCAGATTCGGGTCTTTGAGGATTGTTTGGAGGTCTACGGTTCTGTAAAACATAGATAATTAGATCCCTGTTGTTTAACCCACGGTGCGGACGAAGAGGGAGGAGAACGTACGATTTCTCCTTCACGTTCTCTGGTAACCAACCCTCTTCAACGGTCGGTGGTTGAGGGAGAGAAGTTCCAGTCGGATTTAGGTTTGCGGCCGGTGGGTAGCGATGCATGGTCATGTCTGCTCGGTAGGGTCGTTCGTGGAGAGACTGCGGCGTTCCAGGGAGCGAAGGGTTGAGCTGCGGTGTCCCCCGGCGACTCGCCTCGTGGCTGGTGGGCTTTGGCGGCGGGGGTGGAGGCGTATCGGAATTCAGGACTGGGTTCATTCTTGCGGATGAGAAAGACTGTTGCTGGGATTCAATGCGGAGGGGATGGTCGGGATTGGATCTTGTTTGTTGGCTTTCATGCGGGGAAACCATGGGGGTGGTCACGTGGCTACGTCATATCATTTTATATTGAATGCCTTCTCAAAAAAGTCTAGACCAATATAGTCCATGGTGGTAATTGAGGTGGACATGATTATCGTGCTAATTTGTGATTACTATAGACTACTGATCTGATTTGTATACCGTTCAAAGGGCATAGAATGGGAGTGTGATGACTGCCTGAGGCCGACACCATATGATCATCCATTGAAAAGAACGCTAGCCATATATACTACCGGGATACTCCTTTAATAGTCCTGAAATATCAAAAAATGTTCGAGCCATCGCGCATTAAATCTTATTCGACTCCCGCCAGGCGACCGGCCTCGTATCCATCTCTTGCAGCACATGGGTTGGTACTGCATAACGCCATGACTTCTGCAGCCACAGCAAGACAGCAATAGGAGGAAGATTCTCACTTCCTGCATATCACTCTTCTCGGGTGTTGATATCCCCCGGATATCCGTGGCCGTATCCGAGTCTCAGAACCAGGACATAGTAGTCCAGCCACTCAAATTGATTCAACCGGTTTCCCACAGCGTCTCCATGTAGTCGGCACCAGGCCGAACAAAGAGGAAACCCCGAGGCCTTGAGCAGCCTTGCCATTGATAAGAACTTCCTTTAGTCTGGCTTAGTCCATTCTGCGCCGGACCTCCCGATCCTGAGTATCAACATTGGATCCCCGAATGGCCTCCATCACCAGCTCCCGGAGCTGAGCCTGTGTCGCCTCACTCTGGAAGTCCTCCCGGGCTGCCAATTCATCAATCCTCCGTTTAAACTCGGGATCCACCTGGTCGGTGCCAGCATTTGCCTCCTGCTCCGACACCGTACCCAGGTTCACCTTGATGTTGGATGGCAATGGCGGAGCGGGGTTCAAGGAGTCCGCGACCTGGTCCTGCACCGGAGCAGGCGGCAGACCCATCACTTGGCGGAGATAGGCAGCAACGTCGGGGAACGACCCGTCGGCCTCGATGGACTCCTGAGCGGTGATACCCTCATCGTTCTTGTGGTTGTAGTCGACGCCCAACTCCTCGACGAGACATTTGGCGATCTCCACGGTCTCGGTCACGAACAGACAGGTTTCGGCATCTTCGTCGAGCAGGTTCACGTTGACGTTGAATTCCTTGACCAGGGCGCGGAGAAGGTCGATATGGTTGTAGGATGCAGCGGCGTGCAGGAGGGAGTATCCATGCTCATCTTGGTTCGAGGCGATGGATGGGTCGGAGCGCAAGAGAGTCAGCACCGCGGATGGGTTGTCGCAGGCCAGAATGTAGGGATTGGGCTGAGACATGATGATCACTAGACGATGAGTCAGAGATGAACCATAAAAAGTGGATTGAATGGGTACTCACACAACAATAAGCGCTATTAATAGAATAAGGGCAAGATATTAGGATAATGATCGAAAGGGAAGTATTTGAAAGACTGGGTGAGGAAGTGAATTAAATGAGGGGCAAGCTTTAAAAGATGCCCGGCGGAGAAAAAAAAAAAATCACAAAATTAATTATTAAATAAATTAAATTGATTTACTGCCCCGCAGATCCGATGCCGATAAGAAATTCGAGCAACACAAGAGCCTCCATTTGCACCTGCTCTGTGTCATCAACTACCCACAACTGACTCATCCCCTCGTACTCCCTTACATTTCACTTGACTCAACCTGTTATAGATTGGGGCGAGGCCTTCTGGTTACATTGGAGGAATTTAAACCCTGTTAAAGCAGCTCCCTTCCTTCCGAACCATCTTCGTGCTCAGCTCCTGCGCACATCCCCCACTTGAGTCGAAAACCACCGCTTCGTTAACTCTTTGGCTGGCGCAATTTATCAAGAGATTCTCGCGTCTATTACAGACCGTAAAATTCAAAATGGTCCAGCAGGACGTCGGAGAAGTCTCCCAGCTGGTCCAGGCCCTCGAGGCCGCCAGCAAGAGGGGCAAGGGCAAGGGCAAGCAATCTTTCACCTGCAAAAAGTCCACTTTTCCCGTAGCCGGCTCAGATAACATCTCCGTCGATTCGTGGAAGTTCATGGATTGGGATTACAAACGCGGCGATCTCCCCACCTACGCGCGAGGCCTCTTCACTACGCGGAGAAAGGACGGCGCACCCGAGATAGCAGTGCGCGGATACGACAAGTTCTTCAATGTGGATGAGGTTAATGATACCAAGTGGAGGAATATCGAGAATAACACCCGGGGACCGTACGAGCTCAGTGTGAAAGAAAACGGATGTATTATTTTCCTATCTGGGTTGGAGGACGACACCCTGCTGGTCTGCAGCAAACACTCGACAGGATCCCGGAATGATGCCGAGCTTAGCCATGCACAAGCAGGTGAACAGTGGATTGAGCGACATGTCTCAACCGTAGGGAAGTCGGTGAAGGACTTGGCACGAGAGTTACGCCAAATGAATGCTACCGCGGTTGGTGAACTCTGTGACGATAGCTTCGAGGAACACGTATTGGCGTATGATGAATCGGCTGCCGGCTTCTACTTGCATGGCATCAACTACAACGTGCCAGAGTTCAGGACATGTCCTGGTACCGAGGTACATGCGTTCGCCGATAAATGGGGGTTCAAGAAAGCCAAGTTTGTGGAATACGACGATATCGATTCAGTAAAGAGATTTCTCGATGGATGTGCAGAATCTGGAACCTGGGATGGCCGAGAGACGGAAGGATTTGTGGTTCGGTGTCAGAAAAACGAAGGTGGTAGGGGTCCGTACGAGGATTGGTTCTTCAAATACAAGTTCGAGGAGCCCTACTTGATGTACAGACAGTGGCGCGAATGCACCAAGGCTGTTATCGCTGGCAAGGTCCCTAACATCAAGAAACACAAGAAGATCACCGAGGAGTACCTGAAGTATGCGCGGAGACAGCTCATCCAAAACCCTCATCTGGCGAAGGAATACCAGCACAATCACGGGATTATTGCCATGCGAGAGGGTTTCCTCCAGGAACGAGGCCTGAAAGGATCCGAGATTATCGCGATGGAGGCGGAAGGGCAGGAAGAAGTGAAGAACGATGTAATCCTGGTTCCAATCGCGTCTCTAGGCTGTGGAAAGACTACAGTGGCACTTGCTTTGACCAAGCTGTTTGGATGGGGCCACGTGCAAAACGATAACATCCCTAAGCAAAAAAATAAGCCGAAGAAGTTTGCTCTCGACATCACGAATCTTCTGGCGGCACACCCCGTGGTGATTGCGGACCGAAACAATCATATGCGGCGCGAAAGACAGCAGCTCATGGACGACATCTTTCCGGTTATCCCCAGGGCCAAGTTTGTAGCTCTGCAGTACGTTCACGATCCCAAAGGGCAGATGCTGCCCGGCATTCGAGAAGTTACCCGACGGCGAGTGCTCGACCGTGGTGATAACCACCAGACCATCCGCGCTGGAAGCAAGAATTCAGAAGAGATTATCGGCATCATGGAAGGGTTCCTCAGTCGATTTGAGGGTGTCGATACCGACCGTGAACCGGACAAAAGCTTCGACGAGGTCATTGACCTAGACGTGTCTACTGATTCGCGGGGCAACTTGGAGACAGTAGTGACAACATTGCATAAACTCTATCCACAAATCGTGAAACAGGTCCCTACACCAGAGGAGCTCGATGCTGCCCTGGACTGGGCGATGTCCGACTACCAGGTCCAGATAGACCTCAGCCACCAGTACGGGGCGAAGAACCAGAAGGACAAGAACAAGAAAGGCTCCCAGTCTGCCCCAACACCTAGCGTAACCCCTGAGAGCTTAGCAAAGGGTATTGAGTACTTCTGTATCTCCCTGCCGGCAGCCGAGGTGTCGGAAGTTCTCCAATCTTTGTTCCCTCCCTCCACAGACCCCGAGAAAGCTCGTGTATACCGCCAGCTAGCGAATAGCCGACGCATCCAACCAACGTTCCATGTGACATTGATTCACCGAGCTTCGAAGAAAGACCGCCCGGAAGTTTGGGACGGATACACCCAGCAATACATCCAGACGATGAAGGAGAAGCCCGAGTCAGATCCTACCGTCACCCCAGCCCTAGCTCCTGCCCGCGTCCGGCTAGAACGCCTCATCTGGGATGATCGTTTGATGGCTTTCGTTGCGCGGATCATGCCCCCAGAAGACGAGGAACAGGTGGGATGGGCTTGCGCAAATGACATTCCACACGTTACAGTGGGCACGGTCTCACCCCAGGTCAAGCCCAAGGAGAGTAACGATCTGTTGCAGCGCTGGCATCAGGTGGGATCTGGCGGTGATACAGGTATCTGGGAGGCTGAGATTCCGGGTGTGAAGGTGGTCAATGGTACAGTTGGACTGGTTATGAGTAGAAGGTAGATTTACGACCAATTATGAGTAGAAAAAAGACAGAAAAGGCCTACTCAAAGAAAGGTCAGATAAAAGAAGAAAGAAAAAAAAAAGTTTAAACAATAATGAATGAGTATATATTCAAAGCTTGATACATGAACACATCTTAATATCCATAGACGATGTATTTAGCCTCTTAAATACGGAGTACATCAAGCACTTTTAAAACCTAACAGCACATAGTACCAATAATCAACCACATTAATCTCCTTCCCCTCTTTCTCTCTCCCCTGTCTCTATATTACATGCCCTTATTTTTCGATAACCTATTCTAGGTACCATGATCGAAACACGATTATATATCTTATCAAAATAAATAAAACCACAACCGCCATCGTATCCATAATATATATCCCAACATCAACCACAAAAATGTATGAAACCCTCCATAAAGACAAGAATATGGATTCCCAGACCATACTTGATTTATAGTATTTCTTCCCATACTAAGAATAACCGAGGAGATAAAGTATGTTATAGATATGAGACTGGAGTCGAATATATCAAGGAGAGAGATTGGATACTATATCCTAGAGTAGTTTTTAGGAGACATTAATATGGCAAACGCTACTTGGGTTACAGCATCAAGAGGTGAGTATCTATGCGTTTTATGTCTTTTAACGAGATTGGATGATCTGGTCTGATCTTCTGGCGAAGGTCTCGCTAGGAGTTAGACTACTACGTCACTTCAATGTTGTTAAAAATGGCGAGTCGCTGAATATAATTGGTTATATGTTGCGATTATGAGGTATTTATTGTGTTGAAAGGGCACAGTGGAGTGTAAGTTAGCGCGCGAGCGATTTAATCTGGTTTAATACATTATAGACATATTTAGAGGAGTCTTTTCGCAATTCGTTATCCATTCATCGAGGTGTACAAGGGATGTAGAATTGTAGAATACATAAGCTGGGTCTATCATGCGACGATCGGTTAGTCCGCAGTAGACATCTGGCGAGGGGCAGTCAGCTGGTCATCCAAGTTGTAACGCGCTGCGCTCCAAACCGTCCCATGAATTGCAACCCAGTGCTACCCATGGGAAAATAGCTGACCAGGTACCAGATCAGAGCGGCCAGTTGAAAGATCGACGAAATGAGGGTGAGGAAGGTGTTATGTCGCTGCGAAGAGAGAGAGAGAGAGAGTTAGCAACGCTGGTCATCTTGGGGTACGAATCTTGAAAACAGCTAGACAGGGGTGTGTGGCGAAGATGCGGCATCTGCGGTATATTTGTTGCCCCGAGCTCACATGTACCACGCACAGTGATGTCATGCAGATCTAGTTCCAGACCAAATGCACGCCAGATCGAGGTGCGACTATAACGCCTACTAGCGTGGGCGGCAGAGGTGCAAACAGAGACTAGGAGACGACACCATCCCCACTAAGGCATAGTACGGAACTGGGGACTGAAACATGGACTTACCCCGACAGCGAAGTATAGAGTCATGGCAATCGCCCCAAAATAGGCGGCAGTAAACGGCAGTCGTGGTCCCGAGACCAAGTGTTTAGCGTAAATCAAGGGTCCCATGAGAACTGCCCATGACAGCAGAAACAGTAAGGAACCCACAGACCATCTAATGAGAAACCGGTTCTGTCAGCCTCAAAGCATTCAAACTCTCTGCAGTGAGTGGTCGCCGGCAATATGCAGGACAGATGCTAGACCCGATCGGAGTGCGTGGCTCTCAGCCACACGCCTTACACCGCCGCGTGCACGGGACTCTAGGAATGTTGTGGTGTGAAGGAGCCCTGCGTGGATCCGGAGGGATGGATCGGTATTTGGGGACTTACAGGATGGCGAATTTGCGGGGTTTGAGCGAGAGCACCGGAAATAAGAAAAAGCAAATAAAGAAACAGACAGCGGCACCGGCATTGCACGCAATGAATACGAGCATACGATCCCACCGACTCACTAGTACGATATCAGCCTTGTGAAAACAAACGGAAAAGAAAGAAGACAAATGAGGTGCAAGAACGGAAAAAAGAACGGAAGCCTATGGCTTCCGTGGCACCCGTCCTGATGCAGGAACTGGATCTTCGTCACCTGGACTAGGCAGTGCAGAGAACCAAGGAATAGGAATCCTTCGGTAAATCGGTCATATGTTCGGAGACTTACAGGCGAAGAAACTATCTTCCTCCTCCCGTCGACTTGCAGCCGGGAGGGGAGCTCCTGGAGCTTCATGAGTGGGCAGTTGCACGTATCCCTCGCCTTGACCGAGTGGATTCCATGACTGTAACCGAGATAGGAAAGACGTGGACGAGGCGTTAGTGCGTACGGGGACGTCTGGGTCTCTCCGAGACCAGCCCAATGAGTTGACTGAGTCGCGAAACGAATTAGTAGCCATGGCCACGATTCGCTTTCCAAGAAAACCTGTTTTCCTTTCTTGATAGAGACTGAGACCTAGAAGGTCAGTAATTGTTACTCCCGCGTTAGTGTAAACGGCGGGTAGACCAGTGGGAATGCACCCTGGGATGGCAAGCTGAGGAAACCTCTGCAGGGACTATGCACGACGGAAACCAATATGCGCGTGCAGATGATCTGCAGATATCAACGATGGAGGGTGGGAGAAAATAGCACCCGGGACTGTGATAGGACAAGACAATGCGGGCCAGATGACTTTGCACAACCGGGCTAGACTCCGAGCTTGGGGCACGGGGGCAAAACTAATGAAGCGTCGCGGACACAAAGTCGCGTCGCGTCAATAAGCTTGTGATCGCCTTTTAGAGCAGTTTAAAATGGCATCCAAGAGATGACGACGAAGCTCTGTCCCCTCGGTTTAAACTCTCGAGAGGGTTGCTTGAACTCTCGACGTTGATAGGTTGAAGAGGGATATAGATCGAGCGGTGTAACGCTGCGTCCCACTTAGAATGATGGTATCTTCCACCCAAGGTATGCAAGCCGAGACGGTAAATCCCGTAGTGACTCACTGCGGAGATCGGAATGGGAGGGGGGTGAGGAAGGCTGCAAGACGATGGTCTATTGAACGGACGTAACGGTACGATAACACTAGTTCGAAAGCGATCGTCTCTACACAGGCTGCCCTACCAGCCATTGTCAGATGACCCTTGAAAGGAGGAGAACTAAAAATGGGACGAAGGAGGGGGGAACGATGGGGGGAAGAGGAGGGGGGGGAGAGAAGGGGAAAAAAAGGTGTGAGGGTGGTGGTCGGACGCGAGGCAGAAACAATGATGGTGCATACCGTGGATATTTTCGGTCAACGCTAAATGAGAAGAATCTTGATTTTCAAGAGTTGTGTAGACTTTAGAGACAACTGGCTACCTTTTCCTTTCCAGTTGGTCTCCCAATCATCCAGGAGGGTTGACAGATACCAAGGGAAAGTTAGCATCGCAGAACGGAAGAATGGACGTTGCTCACCTTCTCAGCTTGAGAGCTCCTCCGGCACGGGGACTACTAGCCAATCAGGACTCTTACAGCCACGGTTAGTGCGGGCGGTGACTTCAGGCGGCGCGGTGTCGACACTAAACCCAAAGTGAGCTGGTGATCCAGTTGAAGAGCGATCCGCCAATCATGAATTGAAAAGCAGCTTGGGGAGGGAGCAGCAATACATTGGATTGGTGGACGAGGGCGATCATAGTCCTTCGTGTCTGTGGTCATTGGCCAGGAGAGTCTCCGCCACCACCCACCTGGGTTAATTTGTTTAGCGCCGCTTCCGCTGAACCCATCCAGAGTGACGTATGGAGTACTCGTGCGAAATGTATCTGCTTCGGGCAATTCGGGATATGTCTGAATGTATGTATGTATGTATGTATGTATGTATGTATGTATGTAATGATATATGTGCAATGTACATATGAGTCTGAATGGCAAGGTGCAGCCTTTCCCCTTCCACGAATATGGTTAGCCACCCGTTGTTCTGTACCCACTCCATACCAAACAAATGAATCAGAAGCTCTTGTGGTACTCCCCATACAACTACGCTTGTTTAGACCCGTGGCGATCCAGCGTACCCCCTGTTGGGTCATCGACTTAGCCCAGTCGATCTTTTCTAGAGCAGCCGTTGATTGCAGAAGTCTACTTGAACTTCAAATTACTTACTACCGGAGTATATTCGGGGCGGTACAATGAAGGACTAGTTGCAAAAGTAATTCCCGAGTTGCATCTACAAGGCTAGTCTAACACTAATTACGTAGATGGCATTGCATACCACCTGCAATAAACCCGATATGCTCCTGGTCCACGCACCCCTCCAGCAGTTGCCAATGCCATGACCCCGCCAGTTATCTCATTTGGGCTTCCACTATCTTTCTTCCCGTTGTGGGGATCGGATAAGAGACCCATCTAATATCCGAGGGCGATTTATCGCCTCCCCCCCGGCCCCATGTCTGAGGTTACATAATGGCTGCGGATATTTTCTCCCCGTGGGTTGCGTTGGATGTTGCGAGCGCAATTCCGATGGGTCTCCATTAATCTTTTTTTTTTTTTTTTTTTAATATACTGAATCATAACCCCACAGTAGCATTCGCGCCAGCGCCCTAAAAACAAGAAATACTTCCCTAACGCCCTTAGTGCTAACTAGTATGAGCGGGGAGACGCTGCAAATTAATGGTCCTCCTTGCAGTAACCGTGGATTATCGGCCATGCACTCCGAACCTTGACGGGACGGCACGGGTACGGGAGCCAAACTGCACACTGCGCTGGGCTCCATTCCCCCGGACATGGGGTCATTGATTGCAGATTTCGAGGAAGATGGTTGATACCATGGATGAGAAGATATACCTACCCATTGGCATGAATAACAAGAAGCATTCACAACACACCGCTCTTTCGTATTTTCACTTTGAGTAGCTATTCGAACAATGGTTCATGCCTTACTTGAGTTGGTACGCCAGTATGCCGGACTAGGATATCACTGTCAAGAGAAAAACATGTCGACATGCCATCCCTGATTGTCGTTAGTCGGCATTATCAGGTTTTAGGGCTAGGGAAGACCGATAACTGATGCAATTCTTTGGAATGATTGGTTCGCCCCGGGTTTCTAGCATTCCAGAGACATGAGGATATAACCCCCATGTCCCAGATTGATTAAAGGCTCCCCCCACATTCTTGGGGGTATTCCAAATCAAGGATCTTCCCAGAGTGGTTGGTTGGAATGGAGCAGAAAATAGAACGATGAGCTAATATAGAGAAAACGAAAAATAAATAATGAAAGAAAATAATTAAATACTACTTTGGACCAACAGAGTTTGGGAGAAGATACAGAACCAGGGAACTGCAAAACATAATTGTAACAATTTGAGATCCAACATAGACAAGAAACCACATGAAATATCGCAGTTAGACTCGTACTAAATCCGCCCTCCACCTATCAGAGAAGGGTATGGCTCGGGAGGCGACAGAAATCCCCAACTGCAGAGTGTCACGGACCGCCTGCTGGATGTCAGCCTCGATAACGCTCGGACTTCCGATCCTGAACTGATAATGATCCTCCTACTAGTCTCCCTCTAGGGTGGGAATTGATAGTTACTTCGTAGTGACTAGTCCAGTAACCCCGTTCCTAGTCGAAGGACATTGTTCGCTTGGTGTTTAGCCACTTCGGCATATGCTTCCAGCCTGTAGATCCCTTCAGTTGCCATTGCGAATGCTTAAATTCAAAGAGATGGATGGTACTCCTTGTTGGGCTCTCTTCGCACTGAGAGTTCGCACACCGACAGATAGACTTCAGTCGAGAAGGAGATCTTTTCCATCCACTCATCCCTTCCACATGGTGTCCCACGATCAGCCAGTAGGTACTCCGTACATTCCATACCATTTAGCTGATCCATACTAACCTTGGTAGGGAAAGTCAAGTCTCCAACCTCTTAGCCCTGTCAGCTATGATGTCATTCTCGGTGTTTGAGAGGTATAGTATCGTATCTGATGATTATTTGCAGAGCAAATGTGGGAGCAAAGCAATACAATAACATGGTTATTAATAAAAGGAAATGGAGGCGGAGAAGGGGTGGGGGGGGGGGGAAAGAAAAAATAAAATAAAAAATAAATAAATAGAAAAGGATAAACAAGGATTTGGTGCATTAATCCATTAATTAATGGGTGACTATACCTTTCTGCCTATTAACTAGCCTTCTTTCCCCATGCCCATTGATCATTCTGGCTGCTGGATGATCTTGGCATGTCTGGAGTTTGCCCTAAGAGGGCATCTGATACATTCAGGCAAGCTTCGGTGTGCAGGTCCAAAAAATAACAACAGGACTTATTTTCACTCTTTGTAGACAAAATAGCCCGACCATCGTGAGTCATGACGTCGTGTAAAGGGAGAACAGGTGACAAATATAGTAGTACCTGGGTGCTCATGGGATTGTGGTGGATGCTATTATCCTCTATCCGGAGTGTGCTACCCTCCTTGTTGGAAGAGTATCTGACCTTGCCCTACACCATATCCAGTCATATAGCCAGACCGAGTCCCATTCTTTCGTTATTTAGGTTATCTATTTTATCTATTTATTATTTTTTTTTTTATAAAATAATGATTATTATTTGAACTTTAATAATAATATTAATATTCTCCTTTTTTTCTTTTTTTTTTTTCTTTGCTCTTTGTCCTGCCTTTTACCTCCTGGCCCTATGTTCTTGTCACATACCGAGCATCCAGTTACCTTCATCGCCACTGGACCACTTATTTTTATTTTCATTTCATTTTTTTTATTTCTCGTCTTTTTTTTATTTTATTTTATTTTCCTTCCCTGGTGTGGCAGCCAAACCTAGATATTAAAAATTTAAAAATTAAACTGGATTTTCTCTAGAGGAACCCGCAATGCACGTAATTCTTGTAGTCAGTCTTGTTAAGCCTCGTTGATTTTAAGATCGACAGCCTGCATGACCCTCACCGTGATATATCAAATGAGAAGCTCCGACAAACGCCTCCGAAGTCCTTTAAAGCCTTCGTTCCCTCGTTGTTCAACCCTCTTATATCTCCTTTGCTTTCCCTTCACCTGTTCGTCTTGATCCTCTCCAACACAGTCTGACGAGGCCGGAACATCCATGCCGTATATTATTCGCTTTCCAAAGCGTCCTGCAACCGATTTCGCTCTCATCGACTTTCCCTTCATGAAAGGGAACTCGACGTATAACCATTTGGCTTGTGCACTAGTGCTCAAAGCTCTTTTTTCTGCGGCATCTTGGTGCCAGTCACCGTATATTCAAGTTAGTATTGATTCTCCTTTCGCCCCCATCCTTGGTTCCGGCGTATCCGCCATACTGGTTCATGACCACGCACTATGAGGGGACGAGGCTCTTCATAGTTGCCTTATCAATCCTTTGCTTCTTTCGCCTCAGCCGGGTCCAGTGATTGGGCTTATGAGGCGCAAGTGGTCACAGCCACGTGCAAGGCACCGACGCCTCATGTATTGTACCTGTTCTGGGTGCTTCGTCTGCCTCTACTTATACTTGTCTTTTCCCCAACTGGTATCAGTGGGGAACACCATCAGAGACCGTTAGGTGCCTTTGCTAACCCTTCTGTTTCATAGATAGTGGACCTCTCTGATCGCTAGCTGCAGAATCCATACTTGGTGAGTTATGCATGGTTTCTATGTTTGCGCTGTTTCTTAAACATAACCTCCATATCCTCTTATCCTTACTTTTCATTTCATTTCATTTCATTTCATTTCATTTCATTTCATTTCATTTTCTCTTATTTATTTATTTATTTTCATTTTTCTTGATATTTTCCCATTGCTTTTCCATATCATCATCAAGGGAGAGAGGGAGGGTATGGCGTCATAGGCAAAGAGCACGATCTGAGCATCATGTCTCAGAAATGTGAGACGGGGGAACAAATACCCCTCTTTTTTGTCGCCCCCTTAAGGATGTTGTTGGATGAGAAACTTCCCGTGTTGATGGGCCTTCGCTTGGAAACGGTGCTTCACCGATGGTTGCGCGGTGTCGCTGAAACCCGAACCTTGTATGCTTTTCCTTAGCGGGGACCAAAACCACCGATCGCATCTTCAGTCCGTGGGGCGCTTATTCGACGATCCCATTGCCCAGACATCAAGGCCGCGGGGCACTATTCTAAGGCACACATCATCTCACAGGTCCTGAGGGGAAAAAAGCAACCTTCCCGACTCAACCAAGCGGAGAACAGCGATCCGAGGGTCAGAAAAGAAGAGACTAAGCCAGAGAGAAAAAAGATTAAAACAGCCATGAATCGTCAAACCAAACGGAGCCGAAGTTTATTCCCCAATTCAAAGGAAACCAAATTCTGGGGAAATCTGCCGACTCCTTTTCTTCCTTTTGCTCCACTCAGGCACCGAACATTCCATTTCGGTCAGAGAACAAACACGACAAAATAAGTTTAATGCCGAGAGAGACCGCCTTTGCGGGAGTGATTGCCATTGCTGCCATTGCTGCCATTGCTTACCGCCTCTCTCATCGGTTCTCCTTGATTGCTGCGCCGCCCCCACTCGGTGCCTTTTTGCAGTCCCTCCAGCTACTTCTTAGTACTACTATCAGTATCGCAATCCCTCTCTCGCTCTCTATCTCTTCTACTCTCCCCACTTTTCTTAATCGTTCTCGTCTTCTTTCCCTGTCGCATACAGACACAATCATCTGTAACCGACTTCGTGTGAGCTTGGTTTACAGGCAAAACTCTACCCACTCGTGTACTGTCACATCCAAGTTCTATCCTGTCTCTGACCCACGTTTTTTACCCTTTTTCCCCCCCCCCCCCCCATTGTCTTTAACCCCGTCGCCTCCGGACCCAGTATTCTATTTCTGGTCACCTTTTTTTTTTCTCTCCTTTGCCCGCCTCGCTTATGGCCACGCATCCTTCTCGCCTCCTTTAGCCTGTTCCTATTCTGTGCTGACCCCTGTTGGTCTATTTTCTATTGCTTACACCCTTAATCTTTCAGCGTATCTCGTATTTCTCTTTGTGCGCTCGACAGTGCCACCTCTTGGGTTGTGACTCCCGCCTCCCATCGTGGCATTTTCCGCCTTGTCCGCTTTCGACTCATACTTTCACCACGCCCTCGTTCTTCCGGGATTTGGCAGCAGCCATCCCTTGCGTCGCTGTTAATACCTTCCGCTCTTCCTTTCAATCGTATCCTTACTCGGTTAAGGGGTATCTTTGCAGACCTCCATAGATCCTTGGTTGGTAAACCCACGATCCCCTGATTGTCTCCTTGCGATCTCGGCGTTTAGCACCTTGGCGCACACGTTTACTGATACGGTTTGTGCACGTCGCTTTAGATTTCCAGTAGCCGACGTCGAGTTCTCCATTTGTGACTTGGCTCGATTGCTCGAAAACTGTTGAAGATTAACCCGCCCAACTCTTATCATACTCGCCCTCAACGTTTTATTATCCTGAGTCTGCGGTACGAATCCGTCCGAGGATAGTCGTTTCTGAATCCATCGCATCACTCGAGAAGTTGCGGTTGGTTGACCTGTCCTGCACCAAACTCCGGACAATTCAGATCTTGGATCGTAAGGGGTTCCCTCTGGAAACGTGCTTGACTTTCCTGTTCGGAGCTGCCCACCCAGCTGCACGATGGCGGAAGCAAGTATTTTCATAAAGCATGATCCTGACGACCACAGCAGTGACCACAAACATTTCATGATGTCGCACGCCGGCTATTCTATGCCCAATCAATACGGCAGCACCAATGACGGTGTTGACCCCTCCGAACTAACCATGCACAACAGTGGATTTATGCCATATAACTTTGGCTCCCAAAGCTTCAACTTCGGCGGCAACTCCGGAATTGACACGGACGAGTTGCTCGACTTGGAGATTAACGGACAGAATGGCATCCAGCGCGCTGATAGTATGAACTTCCTCCAGGACCAGCACTCGAGCGCTGGGATCTCGATGAGTCACCCAAACCAGATGTCCCAGATGTATTCGAACACACCTGATGGGGCTCCTATGCATAGTCCCTTCTTGCATAACAGTTTCAATTATGATCATTTCCGGGCCATGAATCAACAGCAGCCGGGGGCGCATATGCAAAATGCCGGCTCCCATTTTGAGCAGAACTACATGAATACCAAAGGACGGCCTTCTCTGCAGACCATGGACCGTTCCGCTGACGTCCGTAGCCCTATGACACCCAAGACTCCTGCCTTGGGCGGCTTAACCCTTGGAACACCGGAGTCAGGCAGCTTCCCAACCGCTCAACCCATCAGAACTGGATTGCATCCTCGACACCAAAAGACTCTTTCGAACCAATGGGACGGTACCCCTGGAAGTGCTCATTCATTCGGAGTGGAATCTCCCATCTCATCTCCTCCTAACCCCCACCATGTTGGAATCTCTGAAATTCTGAAATCGGGCAAGCATGCTTCCTTGCCGGCCAAGGTTGATACACACATGCCCGGAACTGCGCAGGATTTGGAGTCACAGGAAGCCAAGCGACGTCGTCGGAGGGCCTCGCATAATCTGGTCGAGCGTCGCCGGCGCGACAATATTAATGAGCGCATCCAAGACCTGTCCCATCTCGTCCCCCAGCATCGACTAGAGGATGACAAAGTCCGGAAGCAACTCGTTAATAACACCGCCATGTCTAGCACTGGAGCCAGCTCGAATGCAGCCACGTCTTTGTTGGCCGGTGGCAACGGTCGTCGCGCGGCCGGCAACATTACCATGGGCTTGCCGATCGAGGAAAAGGAGAAGGGCCCGAACAAAGGCGACATCTTGAACGGAGCCGTTGGCTGGATGCGAGACCTGATGTGGTCGCTACATGTGAAACTCCAACAGGAAGCCGAACTGGCGGAGCTGATCAGCAGCCTGGGAGGCACCTGGCCATTTGAACAAACCGAAGAAGAGAAACGCATGCGCACAGAGATCCTGGATGCATTGGAGAAGAATGATCCCAGTTCATTCAGCTACAGCCGGGCACCGGGTAGTGGGTTGCGAGTGCCAAAGCACACTAATATCGCTGGAGACCCCGTCGCGTCCAATGGCGGCTTAAGCCCACAGAACTTGAGCCCTTCATTCAACAGCGGGGCTAGTAGCAACAGCGGGACCGGCCAGGCCCAGTACTGGAGCAGCTCCGGCCACGCGGGGATGAGCTTCAAGGAGGAAGATGAGTACGCAATGGAAATGAACTAAACATCTTTGATGGTGTTGTGCCCATCCGGGATTCTATGAGTGCATGCCATGCATGACCTACTGCATACACGGCGTCATATGGAAGGAGCGATCCGGCGTAAGCGGAAGTCTTGACATACCCAGACTAATTGTTTTTTGATTCAACTCGCACCTAGTTCATGCGATGTTTGCTTCGTTGCTTTTTCAGTTCTTGTGGATCTGCCGGGTTACGGTATTCTGTTGTCTATTGTTTTTATAACCTCACCTGCCTGTCTTTTATATCAATGCCCCACCCCTTGTCATTTTGCTGTCTATTTTGGCTATCATTTCCCTGATTTATGCTTCTCTACAGCTCAGACTTTGTCCTTTTTTTCTATCTTTATAATGTTATGCATAATGACGGCCAAGACCGACTCGGTATCATCTGCTTTTTGTCTATTCGTCCAGAACGCGGTGCGAACTAGTTTTCTACTGGCAATGCTGCCCGTCTGAGAGGGGCTTCTACATGCGTTTTTACATCGATACCCTTTCTCCTTTTTTCTTTATTTTATTTTTGATTTGCCTGCTCAAGATTTCCTTTGCCCCATGATGCGATTGGTTGTATCTCGGATGTTCGTTGCTATGTTATATAATGGTTAGTTATACATCACTATGGGTTTCTTTACTGGTATTGGATTCTAGACCCCATGATTGCCGACGTAGTGCCGAAGTGATCCCATGATACGCATAGCACCCAGCCTGAGCGACGCATGTTTCGAACATTATTTTCAATGAAAAGACCAGTTGACATAAAGAACATATATAAACTCTTTTACACACCCATCTAACCAAAAAAAGCTAGGTCTTTCTCTATTTGCAAGCAAAAGAAGAACAGACAAAGAAACCGAAGAAATGCACTCAATCAGGCATTCTCACCCCTCATCGTGCGGAAGAAATCCATCACTCCCGTAAACACCACCAGCAAAATACCACCACCAGGACCCAACCGCAGCACCTTAGGAATGAAACCCTTGTACAACGCCCCGAATCCCTCCTCCTTCATGACAGTCCCCACAGCTGGCCAAGCCCAGTTATACTTAGGCGTCTGTCCCGCCACCTTAGGGCTGTTCTGAATCCGCGACTTGACCACATCCATCGGCGTGTTGAGAATCGTACCCGCCGTACCACCAATCGTACCCGCGATAAGATCGTTCCGCGTCTGCTCCGTCTTGTTGCCAGGCTCGACCTTAGGCAACTGCGCCCGCACCTGGAAAATACAGCCGAAGTATCCGGCGTTCCAGAGAATGTGTCGCCAGAGTGTGGATTCGAGACCGTTGTACATGGCCAGGGGTCCCTCCGTTTGCACGATCTTCTTGACCACGTCCAGCATGCCGTTGTACTTGGACGCGCGGTCTTGCAGACGGATCTTGACCAGCTCGAAGGGCACCACCACGAAAGATTCGGTCGCACCGGCTGTTGCGCCGGTCAACACGGCCAGCGATTGCGTTTGCTTGTCTACGCCGAAGAGACCCCGGTAGAAGGATCCCCAGCTGTCGTTTGCGGCGAATTTGGTCGCACGCTTAGGCGCTTCCATTAGGATTGGGGCGGAGATACCGCGGTACAGACGGGATGCGCTGGTTTTTTTGAATGTTGGTTAGGGTTGTGTTTGAGTTGAGCATTGGGGTTGGAATTGGGGTTGTTATCGTGATGTAATGGGGACTATATGCTTACCCCTCATTCTTGATGATCTTGCGCAGACAGTCGAACATACCCGTGTAGAACTCCTCGCCGGCGGCGCGGGTGCCGGATTGCAGTTGGCTGTTGTGGGGGGGGGGGGGTTGGGGTTGGGGGTGGGTTTGGGGGGGGGGGGGGGGATTGCGGTTAGATTGGTTTTCTTTGTATGGGGGAAGACTTGGAATGGGAGCTTACACTCGAGTCTTGACGACGTCCAATGGGTACCTGGGGACATTTTTTTTTTGGTTAGAAATTGATATGATTCGTGACCGTGTACTTGGAATTAAGCATACATGACCAAGATCTAGAATTCGAGTCAGTTAATGTTAGTTTAGCATGACAGGTCACAGCTCCGATAACGCACCTCGGACACACCAGCCACCGCGCCAGCGGCGAACTGGTATTGGAAGGGGAGGGGCTTCTGAGTGTTGGCCGACATTGTCGCTGATAGGGAATCTGGAGGTGAAACTACGCAGCAATGGACAATGGGAATTGCTGAGTAGGGGAGAGGGAAGAGGAGAAAAAAAAAGAAAGGGAAGGTGATCACGCCAGTGCAACAAGCGAAGGAGAGGAGGAGTTGGTTGGACGTCGGAGCGTATCGGACAAATTCCCGAACGGGAAAAATCCCAGTCCGGTGAGAATCCGGCGGCCCCACAACCCTTGCCGACTTCAACAGCCCCCACGGGGTGAGATAACAAACAGTCTTCAGGTACTATATATTATTAATCTTGAAGGGGTAGTTCGTTTGTTCGTGGTTCTCGTTATGCGTTTTAAGTACATGAACTTCATTTACTCATCCAATCGTCCAGAGTAGTCCTAGTAGTAAACTTATTCCAACCATCTTCATTCCTTCCGGTAGGTTTCTCTCGCCGGCGGAATTCGTGGGCTGCTCCTTCGCCACCGTCCCCGTTGCTGTCGCGGTTTCCTGTGCCGTGCAGCTGGAGCCGCATGCGAACCCTGTCGGACAGCAGCCCCCACCTGCGGTGTCTGCGCATCTGAACCACCCGCTCGCGCATCGCCCGGTAGTCGCTGGCGGCGCTTCCGTCTCGGCAGGCACCACAATGGTTCGGTCGTTGGTCGTGATCGTCGTCGATGGGGTCTCCGGGCACGAGCTAGTGTCACAGTCGCGGCCAGTCCGGCAACATCCTCCCTGATAGACAGCGGAACAGGCATAGAATCCAATGGGACAGATCGACCCAGTCTGGGAGGGGGTCGCCGTCGAGAGACTCGTGGGTCGAGCAGGGGGAGTAAACTCTCCGGTAGATTCAGACGACGACGATTTTGTTGTACTGCTACTTCTGCTGCTACTAGAAACGGTACTAGTCGCGGGAACCGTGTCCGTGACAGTCGACACCATGATGGTCGAGCTCACCGTGATCGTCACTGTGTACACGTTGGCACCTTGCAGTTCATTAGTCCAAAGCTCATCATCTTTGTAAATCGGCCCGAACTTACAGCCACCGCTGACACATTCGTATCCGGGAATGCAGCAACCACCGCCCAATGACGCAGGACAGCTAGTGTACCCTTGCTGACATGAACCAATCGTACCAGAGCAATGCTGTCCGTCCGGACAACATCCTACATCCCCAGACCCTGTATCGTCGACCAGCTCACAGGTCGATCCCGTACTGCAGCAGCTATTCGGGCGATTAATCGAGGTGCATGAATTTGTGCCCGCGGGGCATTTGAATTCTCTCCGAAGAAGCGGTGAGAATTGACCCATCCATCCGTGGGAGTCAGAGGTCTCACCCAGATCCAGAGGATGGGATGGTTGATAAGGATATATGCGGGGGTGAAGATTAGGTTGTGTCTTTTCTGGAGTTTGAGAGCTTTGTAGGTCGGTCTGGTTGGCCTCTCCGAAGTACCAGTAGTCGAGAAAGAACTTCTCCCCTTCGTCATCGCTCATCTTCTTGATGCCCCGGGCGGACGTTTGGGATAGCTGGTTTTGAATAGCTGCATTGCGTTGCAAAACTTTGTATGTATCTAGATCTGCCGTTTGGTGGTAGATGGATGAGTTGCCGTCTGTCAGTGCTTGAACTGCCAGTGGTGCTGGCCCTAGAGCCCAGGCCAGAAGAGGGAAGACCAGCATCTGTACTTGAAATAGTCTGTTCTTGGCATGTTAGTTTATAAGAGAAAAAGATTGCAAAAATAAAGATGAAGACAGCTTTTCAATCACCTACAACTAGTACACTAGTGATTGATATCACCGAGATATATAAACTCAATCTGACCAAAGATGGACGCGATAAATCTTGTTAGATGGAGAGTAACAGAGTTCGAAAAGAATGAGAGAAGGAATGAAAGCAGATCGACAACTATGCAGATCCTGACCGACAACTAAATATAATACTAGTCCAAGTCTGAAGTTGGGCTGCCTATTTGAATTAAATCTCGAGGTCAACAAATCAGTGGCTGGGAATCCCGTGGTGAAACAGTTTTCCTTTTTCGGTAAGGTTATGTTGATGCCTGTATTTGAAGGCAGCAATGTTATAAACTACAATTCTACATCCATGTTTTGTATTACTCACTTGAAACCTCTAACATCGCTGGGATGAGATATGACGATTGCAAAGTCAATCAATCAATCAATCAATCAATCAATCAATCAATTGAAATTCTATTTACCTGGTAGAGCCTGACTACTGAACGTCTAGCTACGCAGGTTCCTCAAAGAGCCTAGAATCTAATCGTAAAACGCCGTATGCCCATAAAAGGAAGTAATCGAAAAGCTTTTAATCACACAACCTCCTACCACGTCCCTGTCTTCCTAATCTCTCGCCATCCTATGTGTCTCCGAATCTTTCTAGTGTCCCCTGGAAGGCGATAGGTGGTACATATACTAAGAGGATATGACTAGGTCCTCCCTAGTAGCCTCTTACGCATTGTCTTCTATATCTGTCCCCCTTTTATAATAACCAATTTACTTGACCTCTTAGAATTGGCTAAGCAATTCTGTTTGGTGTATAAACTTTGTGACGTAGCAGATTGCCTGCGGATAGGATATAATCCTATTATAGTCTATTTTTCCACGAACCCCTAGATTTAACCTGTTAAGTATGAGTCAGGTTAGCTTAGGTGAATGGGGTAAGTTATACCTAGCCACGGTTAAGCTGGAAATTAGATAATACTTAGAGTATGTTAATGTAGATGGCAATGGAGCGAGGCCTACTCACTGGCTTTCTTACTGACTTGCCCTAACAGCCCCTTATATAATATACCTCTCAACACAAATACTAGATCTTGGTACTACTTTTCGTGTGATTAGCCTTTAACCAGCCTTGGTGTATAGTAATCGGTTGATAGTGTCCATAGAGCGGAAATATCCATGTATCAATTAGCATCTCTGAGATTCTTCTTAGTCAAGCGTACTTCCAGGAGATTTGCACAGAAATTTGCCACGGCAAATGTTCCAGAAGCGTTACCTAACAAAAGACTGAAAGTTTGTTCCAATTAGGAGCCACCCACAATTGTACATATTATTGAATATCTTTAATTCGAATATATAAGTCAGCGATTGATAATACCAGGTCTTGTTCTGACTTACATACCTGCCGGTGGAGGATCTACCACAGCAACTGGCAAGGCCCTGAGAACGTTATTCTATAGAATAACGAGCTTCAAACACCACAAACCTGATAAAACCAGTGATACTAACATGTGGGAAATCATCCACACAATCAATTAACCTATCAGACGCATGTTGGACTTGACCAAGGAACTGCTGGAGAACAACCCTCTTCTTCCCACTAAACTTCTAAAGGAATTTCCACCACCGATAGCTAATTAAAAACCCCTGGGCGTATCTTAGCCTGACATGTTTAGTAGCGAGCCATTCCCCGAGAAGGACGAGTCTTTCGTAGAGATTCATAGCATGGGGTTGCCAGTTACGGATGCGACTTTCAGACCCAGTTTCGTGAAGGTTCGTTGTACTGAATTATGTCCTCTACAAATATAGCCTCAAGTGTAGGGCAACTTTCGTGATCGCTATCGATTAGTGCTATAGTGTATGCGGTTCGGGTATGGCCTCGTGCTTAGGAATCACGACTCAAAGGTCAATAGCAGGTTGATTACCGGCCTTGACTTGTTTAGCTATATATGTATTACAACGATATCCTCGATGCCCTTCAGCTTTTGCGCATATACATCACCGTTAAAAGTACATTTCCTTCTTTATTCCCTTCCCTTCTGTTCTCTGTCTTCCCCTCTCGAAGAAACCAGGACGAGCGGCCCTGAGCTACACGCATAGTGTCAGAATCATTGTGGGATACCCTTCATTCGAATCCACCCTCCAACCACATGCTGATAATATCAACTACCGACTGTAGTAAACACCTCTTAGCATGCAGCTCCCACATCCAGAAGAATGTGGACCCCCGCACAAGCCCATATACACCAGGAAAACCCGATCGAACTTTGCTGATCTTCCCCCAGACCAATGCAGACATCCTTGCTCTCCGGCCCTGAGTGGAAGGAACGATTGTGGTCTCCGTTTCCGGGAGAAAGCTCGCCTCTACTAAGATCAATGCAATAGAAGCCGGGAGCATGACAATCATGCGAAGGATAAGTGTTGGTAACATGGTTGATACTTCAAAGTATGCAATATAATGTTCTGAGGGGTCACGTGTGCTGGCCTGCTTGAAGAATAGGTTGAATGAAGAGTCAGCGGCATCGGGAAGATAATCGATTACTGCGCGGGCCGCAGCGCAGACGAAGGATGGTGTGAGTAGCTTCCTCCATGCTTTGTGATTGTGGCGCAGTTTTAACAGAGACCCTGTGGATGAGGTTGCGGATATAGTGGCGTGTGTCCAGGCCATGTGGAGTTCCGCTAACACCACGGTGGATATGACATGCGCGATGGGCCTGAGAAGATCATGTCGGAAGAGTACCATCTGTAATAGACTTGCAAGGGCAAAGTGGACAGCGCGGTACACGATTCCCGTCTGGAGACCTTTTAGGAAAACCCGCAGACCACCCATACGGTACAGGAACGAAGAAGTTCGGGTCAAGCTGCGAGTAGTTGGTTGATTCTGGATGTTGTCATTGACGAAGTCAGCTGTACTCTGGTTGGTAGCATGTAGCCTCTCGCTTTCGAGAATCAGCATAATTGCGACCACATGGCTGAGATAGTAATCAATCTGGGATGTGGTTAGCGTGCAGGTTAAGCAGAGAGCGACTGGAACTAGAGAAATACATACGAGGCTGTTTATGACTGTATCAATCATATATGTGTAGAACAGGGCATCTGGGATGCCTGCTTCTTGATCGGGGAGACTCCAGAAAAAGTCTTTGGCCAGACCCAGTAGGTCAATGTCGCCTGCAGAGGAAATGAGGAGATTGAGCGAGCGCAGAATTTGGAAGCCAATGATGCGTGGAATCTGATTGATCGCCATGTTTCTTCGGGCGTAGGGGATCGAGTAGTGGGTGTTGATGAGTATTTGTACGATCAGGAGCGGGATGAGGATGAGGCATGTTGGATAAATTCAGTTGAGGAAAGTGGCCTTTTTTTAGGTGGTACAGATGCTTGAAGCACTAGAACGTTAAAAGGCCTTCTTCCCTCACGGGTTCTATCCTGTCACATGTAGCCCTAATTGGCACCATACGTCATCCTCTTTCTTTCCTTCTGTAATGATAAAAAGATAGTCATTATATGATGACCAGATGAATATATTCTTTTTCGGCCGGAATTCTTTCATATCATATCACTTTTTCTTGATCGGGTGAAAAGTTTGGGTAACAGGAGATACAAACCTCAAACACAGCGACGATCACGTGCAAGGGTCCGGGGTGAGATTGATGTGACTAGAACAATGAGGAGGATCTTTCTCGAACCAACTCTATAAGAATGCTCATCTTATCCTCTAGAGAAAGTTGACTTACCCTATTACCTTGAAATCAATAATAACTAAGCTTTCACAGACATACAAACCAATGAGCACTTTGCGCAGTGTAACTAGTACTCAATCAGTCCCAGAAATCAGACTCAGTTGGTTCACCTCTTGCTCAAGGATCCTATGTAACCTGATATCTTCACCAGACACGATCGGACCAAACCCAGTGTCTTACCCCCCTCTTCAAACCCAACCTTTTGAGATTGACTTCTTTGTTACCTGTCTCTGTTCTTCCTCCCCTTTGTTTCTTCTACTCAATCTGATCCTCTGATATCTAACCCCCACAGCATTTCATCTGAAGCTTCACAAACGCGACACAAAAGTCATACATAATATGTCATTTCGAGGTTTCAGAGATAACACCCCCAAAACAGGGCCGACAAGACCTCAGAGAAGAGGTGACGCAAAAACTACCATCTACTTGTTCGTCCGCCAGAAGCCATAACTAGTAAAATGATGGTACTAACAAGTGGTGTCCTATAGACCACCAGATGGGAAAGTCCCTCCCCCCGATCCATTGGTAAGGAAAAATTGAAGACGGAATTCAGAAAGCAACCGCAGATACCTTGACTCTTCGCAAGCTCCAACTGAATTCCGAATACCCTCCTCGACCAGGATATGGAACTAAGGGAAAGCCAGTCGTCCTGTGGGCGAACTATTTTCATTCTATCCCGGATCCCAATCTAGTGCTCTACAGATACGCTATTGACGTGAGACCTTCTGTTTCTGGCAGGAAGCTGGCCCAAATCGTTAGGTTGGTCCTCGAGGCGCCAGAGGTCACTTCGATGACAGACAATCTAGTCACCGATTACAAGTCTACCATCATATCACGAGAAAGACTGCCGCTGGCCGATAATGCAATCATTGTACCCGTGTTTTACCGAAGTGAACTGGAGGATGAACCCGCCGAGGACGCTGCCCAGTATAGAGCCCGTATCCTGTACACCAATACTCTACGGGTATCGCAGTTGATAGAGTATCTGACGTCAACCAACTTTATCAGATATGATGAGAAACTCCCAATGATTCAAGCGCTGAATATTCTTCTGAATCACTACCCAATGACATATCCAGACCTTGTCTCACGTGGTGGAAATAGAGCTAATAGAACCTTTCCACTTAGCAACAAGGCCCCGCAGTCGGACAAGGCTCCTCTAATTGGCGGGCTAACAGCGATTCGTGGGTTCTTTTCGAGTGTTAGACTCGCCGCTGGTAGGGTCCTGGTTAACGTAAATGTTAGCCATGGGGCATTCTACAATAGCGGACGTCTGGTTGACTTGATCGATGCATTTCCAAAGGCAAATGGCAGGAGCCTGGGTGCCTTGAACGAATTTCTGAGTGGTATCCGGGGACGCACACTCCATCTACCCGAAAGAAGAAACCGAAGCGGCGAGCTTATCATCAGGCCTAAGACGATTTATTCTCTTGCTAGGTGCGGTGATGGCACGGAATTGCTACCGAATAGACCACCCGAGATACACTCATTTGGCGCGGGCTCTAAAGGTGTAAAATTCTGGCTAGAATCTCGCCAAGTGCCAGCACCCGGGTCTTTAGGATCGAGGAAAAAGAAGAGTCAGCAATCAGGACCCGTAGCATCACCAGCTGGACCCGCGAGGTTGATTAGCGTGTATGACTACTTTCTGGAGAGTGAGTTTGTATATGCGAATCGAGACGACATAGCTACTCAACTAACACATGGTGTCTAGCGTACAACATCCGCGACCAAAGACCAGATTTGCCTGTTATCAATATTGGTACACGGGCCAGCCCTACATACCAATTGGCACAGGAATTCGAGATACTTCCGGGCCAGATTCACAATGGAAAGTTGTCCTCCGCCCAGACACAAGGCATGATCAAATTTGCTGTACGACCGCCCTTACAGAATGCCTTGTCTATTGTCAGCCAAGGGGCGGATACTGTTGGGTTGAACCCTGGAAGAAATGTAATGCTGGTAAGTCATTATTATGGAATGATAGCTAGTAATAATCGTAACGTTTAACTCATATGGTAGACACGATTCGGTATATCTACGGCAAGGCTGGCTGATCACAGTCGAGGGGCGGGTCTTGGACCAACCAAATATTATGTACCGGGGAAAGTCCAGTGTAAAAACGCTCCCAGGATCCTGGAATTTGATCGACACTAAATTCAACGTTTCCGGCCAACGGCTGCGCAAATGGTCGTATCTTCTGCTCTCAGACAAGAAGGTGCAGGATACGTTCCCCGACTTGAAAAGCCTTCAGCCAGTTGTCAAGAAGCTCCAGGCTGCCCTTCTCGACACCGGTGTTCTGGTAGACGCGCCCATCCCCGGAAGAATAATCAGAGTGGATAAGGATGACACAGCGGACCTGGAAAATAGGCTCAAAGGAGCAGCCGACAAATTAGACCTCCTCTATATCATCTTTCCCGAGAAAGACAGCCGCTGGTACCCAGGAATTAAGCGGTTGTGCGAGGTGGAGTACGGATTGCAGACGATTTGCAGCGTTGGTCCTAGGCTGGTGGCAAAGGAAGGTCAACTGGTGGATCAATATGACAAGGCGCTCGATCAGTATATGAGGAATGTGGCAATGAAGTTCAACCTGAAGCTGGGAGGCACGAATCACGTTGTGGACAATCTTCGTCTGAGTATTATCAATGAAGATAAGACCATGATTGTTGGATTGGATGTAACGCATCCAACGGGGTCTTCGCAAGTCACTCCAGCCACTGCACCTAGCGTGGCAGCCATGGTTGCCAGCATCGACAAAAGACTTGGACAATGGCCTGCAACTATTCAGCTCCAGTCTCGTGGAGGAAAGGAGGAAATAGACAGCTTGGATGGTATGTTGAAGCGGCACCTCAGGCTATGGAAGCTCCTAGGAGGGCACGCGTCATTTCCCGAAAACATTATCGTCTTCCGTGACGGAATCTCGGAAGGTCAGTATACTAAGTGCTTGACCGAGGAGCTGCCCCTTATGCGAAAGGCCTGCCGAGAGGGTTATCCTAAGGAGATGCAAGAGAAGAACCTTCCGAAGTTCACCATTATCATTGTCAGTAAGCGGCATCATACGCGCTTTTACCCTACTGAAGTGCAAACTCCTGACAAGAACGGAAATACGCCACCATGTACGATCGTTGACCGATGCACCACAGACCCCCATTGCTTCAGTTTCTTTCTCCAGCCTCATTCTGCTATCCATGGAACTGCGCGCAACGCCTTCTATTTTGTGATTTTGGATGAAGTTTTCACCCAGCGATATAAAGGAAAGCTTCCCCCAAAATACAAGAACGTCGCTGAGATCGTGCAAGATCTGACTTTGAACTTGAGCTACCTAGTTGGGCGTGCCACAAAGGGCGTTAGAGTCTGTTGCCCTGCGCGATACGCCGACCTGGTCTGTGACCGAGCCCGATTCTATCTGAGTCGATTTTATGAACCATGGCCTGAGACCTCGTCGGTGGCCAGTGATGCTAGCACAGTGCTGGCGACAAACAAGGATGTTCTTTTGCATGAGAAGATCAGAAACACGATGTTTTACATCTAATGCTTGGAACGTTAGCACCAATAGGGCATTTACGAATTTTTGAACTATGGAATCGGATTCTTCAATGGCGCGCACTGGTCGGTGAAGTGTGAGCTGGGATAGTCAAGACCACAAAAAAAAAAAAAAAATTTCAAATTTCAAATAAAAAATAGAAAAGAAAAATCACCCATGGTACCCTCGAAGCATTGGATGGATGAGATTGAGCCTAAGCATTGATTATGAAGGCGGTTAACCGCGTGAACTGGAATTTCATAAATCATCGCAGATAACAAATTGCCTGTACGTATTGGACATAGTCCCGCGAACGAGAATTAGTAAATTGGCAGTTCAAGGACACATTCATACCCATATTATCACCTTCCGTTCCGAAAAAAGAAAGGAAGTAAAAAAGCAATACAAAAAAGAGGAAGCTACAAAATAGCCCCCCTAACCAAAAACCAAGCCCTGGCCTCCTCAATGCCCAAATAACTAACCAAAAGCATCCTCCCAAAAACATCCACATCGGCAGCCCTCGCCTCAGTAAGCACCCTCCCAAAATTCAACTCCCCAACAATAAAATGATCCTTCTCCATCCACGCCACCCCAAACTCCCCCGCATCCTGCGCCCCCCACAAATGCGCCGACAGATACCAGCTATGCACCAGCCCCAGTTTACTATCACAGACAAGATTCTTCTCCCCCTGGACCAGCCGAGAGAGCTGTATAAGATAGAAAGCGAAGAGTACGGTCCTGCGCGCGGATTCTTGGAAGATCCACGAGGTCCAGAAGTCTTGTTTGGCTTCTGGATTGGACGGGAGGATGGTGGGGGTGTTGGAGGGGTCGGGAAAGTAGATGCAAGACAGGAGGGTTAGGGCTGATGATTCGAGGTGGGGGATTAGGGAGATATTGGAGTTGGGGTCGGGGGAGAAGAAGAGCATGATTTGGTACAGGAGGAGAGCGTGTGTGTGGGAAAGGGTTTCTAGGGGTGTTGTCGGGACTGGGGATGTGAGGAGGGTTTGGATGTTGGTGTTTATTAGGGAGGTTATTAGGGGCCTGTTGAGGGAGTTCAGGGTTATGTGGAGGGCGCAACTTGAGTAGGCGTCTGCTATTCAATCAGTTTGTTTTTCTACTTGTTTTTTTTTTTTTTGTGTAAGAGGGGGAGGAGAAAAGGGTTGACTTGCCTTGCATGTGCTTGGGCATGCTATTTACGTAGAGTTGTTTATGAGACCAAGGGGTTTGGTTCTCTTGGATCATCATCTTGGGGACATCTTTGAGGACGTCGATGGCGAATTGGAGTCGGGATGCGATGATTGCTGAGAGAGGCATCGGGGGTCTTGCTACCGGAGCTGTCATTGCGTAGCTTGATCGAGGGATGAGGACGCCACTGTGAGGTTCCGATGATAGACATGGGGCGTGGAAGTCAATATAATCCCATTGTGGATCGAAGACATCGAACGGATGAGCAACAACAGGTGGGTCGGGTAGTTCAGGTATACTGAAGTCGGTCATACACGGGACACCCGCATCAAACGAGAACGGCGTGTCAACCGCCTGAGAAATCGACTCGACCATCTCGTCGATCAGCTCCTGTGGAATTGCCGGCTGTCGTCCCGGGTAAATGCATGGCGTATTCCTGGTAGCGCATCGAGAGCACGCCGGGAATGCCAGATCGCAGCGTCGCTTGGCGGTCTTGCACGCTTCGCATGATTTGCGTCGCGGTGGGGGGTTTCCTCGTTCGGCCAATAAGGGGTTCATGGTTATCACTCTGGTATCTGTTCTGCGGACTTCCGCTGCCTAGGTGGGAGAAAAAAGAACTGATCTTACATTTGTTGCGAAAGATATCGCTTGATGTGGGTCTGGGGGCGGAATTCCGCAAGCTAGTGTTGTGTTCAGCCAATTGGAGACGGCGCCGATGATTAGGGTTACGGACTGGGTGGAACTCCGCTCCAGACCATAGAATAGCCTCGTCTGCCTATGGAACCAGAGCTGTATATAAAGCTGTCAACATTTGATGGATAGCTCAGAACAACAACACAGTCTTCTCATTCTTAATAATAAATCCACCTCAACTATCAATCTATTCAAACAATCACAGCATAACCACCACATTACATCAAACAATGTCCACCTCCACCTTTTTCGTCTGCGGTGCCACCGGTACCCAAGGCGGCGCCGTGATCAACCACCTCCTCAAGGCTGGCGCCGAAGTCCACGCCATAACCCGCAACCTAGATACCCCGGCGGCCCAAAACCTTCAATCCCGCGGGGTTCACCTCACCCAAGGCGACTTTACCGACTTAGAAACCTTCAAACAAAGTATGAAGGGCTGCACCGCGCTCTTCCTCAACCTAATGCCCGACCTACGCATCCCAAACAGCGAAGTCCACCAGGCCGAAAACATCCTATCTGCCGCCAAAGAAGCGGGAATAAAACACGTCATCTACTCTAGTGGGTTCTCCGTCAACGAGCCCCAACGCCTAAAGAACTGGGACCCGAACAGTTTCGTGGCGAAGATTCTACTTAACAAACAAACTGTCGAGGGTAAAGTGAGAACAGCTGGATTCGAGTACTGGACTATCTTACGACCTGGTAACTTCATGGCGAATTACCTGCAACCCCTTGTTCGGATGTATCCCGGGTTTGTTGAGGCCGGCGTCTGGACTACGGCTCTGCTGCCTGAGACAAAACTTCCGATGGTGGATCACAATGATATCGGAGCCTTCGGAGCTGCGGCACTGTTTGATCCTGCGAGATTCCATGAGAAGGAGATTGAGATTGCTTCCGAGTTCCTGCATGTGGAGGATGTGACGAAAGCACTGTCGCGCGCGACTGGCCGGGATCTTAAGGCGGTCTTTTTGTCCCAGGAAGAGGTGGAAAAGCAAGCTACACAGAATCCGTTTATTGGGGGCCAGTTGCTGGCGCGCGATATGGCGCAGTTTGTAGATCTGGAGGAAGTGAGAGCTTGGAAACTGCCTCTGGGGACGTTTGAGAAGTTTTTGGAGAGGGAGAAGGAGATGGTTAATGCGACTTGGTCTGCTTAGGGTGGATTGGGTCGTTATTCGGGCTCATATTCTGAGTTATTTATCAATCCATTTTTTCATTTTGTTGTTGCCTTAGCCCTGTGAAGAATATATCGAGTTTCTTTACGTCTAATGATCCCTGAAGATAGTAGTAGTGCATCTCAGTAGCTCCTTTTTATTGCCCTACATCAATTAACTGTTTCCCAAGTAGAGAAACCATATGACCGGTCTCAGCCCTCAAGCCAGTGACTTTTCACTATTGAACGACCGTGGATACCCATGATGTAGGGCTACGAGCCTACGTCACTCTTGAGCCTTGAATAACTGCTCCTAGGACATATCTCGCACCAATATTAGCAACAGCAGCATGGCTATGTTCGCTGTGGATTATTATGCAACTTATGACTGGTTTCCCTCAATTATTTATCCTGGAGGTGATTTCTCGAGAGGAACGATGGATATTTCGCAGCATGTCGCCTGGCAGCATGATCCACCTTCCCAATGAGGTTAGCGGGAATGGAACATGCAAGTCAGGAATGCAACAAACGAACAGAAAGTAACTTCACAACCATTTCATCCGATCAACTTCCATTTCCAAAACAGTCACAATGTTTATTAGAGCTCGGGCTGCTCGATGTAGAAATCATCTCGTACCATCAATTAATTGGGCAGTGACACCCTTGAACTCCTCTTTGATCTCACGAACTTTCTCCACTTCTCGCGTCTTTACCCGCCATTCCGCGGGAAGCTCTGAACTGTTTGAGTATACATCTGGAAGATGGATGTTTGTAACTTCTATAATATACCCTGGACTAGTTCTTATGTCTGATACTTGATTGGTAACGGCCGACAGCTACAATGAAGCTGTGAGACTTGCGGAACGACGACGCGTCTTCGACGTCCCTGAATTGAAGCGCCTTGCTGCCGAGTCGATCAACCAAGGCGCAAATGATGTCGCTCGCTTTGAGAAGCTTGCTGAAGGGGGATTCAACCGCATCTTTCTAGTGACAATGAAGGATGGATCCCAACTCATCGCCCGTATCCCGTATCCCGTTACGGAGCCGAAATACTTCGTGGTAGCCAGTGAAGTTGCGACTTTGGATTACCTTCGTCTACATGATATTCCCGTGCCCAAGGTCTTTGGCTACTCGGCCACATCAGATAATGCGGCAGGCACAGAATATATCTTTATGGAATATATCCGTGGACGAGACTTGGGTGACCTGTGGTTCGACTTGTCTGAAGATGCTTGTTCCACAATTATCAAAAACATTGTCGACCTGGAAGCTCGCCTTTTCAGATTACGATTTCCTGCTAGTGGGAGCCTTTACTATACGACGGATCTGCACTCTAAAATCGATAAACCACCGGTGCTGATAGAAGATCCGCCGAGCAATGGCCGCTTCAGTATCGGTCCCGACACTACCTTACGAATGTGGTTTGGGAAAAGATGCGAACTGCAAGTCGACCGTGGCCCGTGTATGTTCCTTCCCTAGTTTCCTAAACCCCTATTATCTAAAGTCCCGGACTGGACGAGATTCACTGATAAGCTGTAGATGAGACTGCGGAAGCGGCTCTGACCGCGGGCGCCAAAAAGGAGCTTACCGCCTTAGCTAGGTTCGGTAAGCCACTGCAACCTCTTCAGCCTATCTATAGAGAGCTGTACAAGTATCGGAAAGTGTCACATCTGGACCATATGAAAAACTTGGAAAACTACCTACGTGTCGCGCCTCATCTAGTGCCGGAGAACCTCAAATTCCTTTGCCAGCCTACAATCAGACACCCCGACTTGCAACCGAATAATATCTTAGTTTCCGATGATCTTAGAATTACTGGTTTAATAGATTGGCAGCATTGCTCTATTCTACCACTCTTTCTCCAGTGTGGTTTCCCAGAGAGTATACAGAATTACGGAGACGAGGTTTCTGAATCTCTTGACACGCCTAAGTTACCAGATGACTTCGATAGTCTGGATGAAAGCAACCGGTCTGAACAGCTAGAGATCCTCCGAAGACGGCATATCCATTACTTTTACGCGTGGTATTCTGCAAAGTTGAATTCTGTTCATGGTATTGCTTTGGACCACGATTTAAGCATTCTCAAGCGCAAGATCTTCGATCACGCGAGCAAGCCATGGGAAGGGGACAGTGTGTCGCTGAAGGCGGATCTCGTTTATTTAGCGCAGAACTGGAGCAAACTGTCCAATCCATCGTCCGGCACTAATGCAGGTGTCTGCCCATTAGAGTATCCGCCCGAGGAGGCAAGCGAATGTTTGAATCTTAATGCTGAGCAAATCGAATCAGATGAAGAGCTACAGATCTTCAGGAACTATGTTGGAGTGGGGCCAGATGGGTGGGTGCCGTCGGACCGATATGTCGAATCCAAGCAACGTGAAATGAAATTGAAGGAACTTGCGCTCGAGGCAACTGAGTCGGAAGAGGACCGCGCTAAGATATCTGAGAATTGGATGTTCAACGATTACGACGAGGAGATATATAGGTAGCTGCACGATACATATTAGGTGTTTTTACGTGGAGTTATGCGGGGTGTCAGTTGTTCGATCACACCACGATCGTCCATGTGTTCGGAACGGCTTCATTCTACACCTAGTACCAAACTGGGTTGTGGACTAAGCTTAGCAAACCGGTCGACAGATTGATCGGTAAGGTAGCTGCAGGGCTTCATTGACTTACAGAAACGGATTCCCTCCTATCTAAGCACATGTATGCGAGCGTTGCAAATGATATTTCCTTCCGCAGGGTCTGCCTCAGTTCTCAGCTATAACCACAATGTATATATTGTACTTGATTAGAACGTCACCACCAATCTAGTTCTTGTTCCTGACATAACTTTCCAGAATGAGGATCAGCGCACTAGCCTACAGTCTGGTCCTTAGTTTTAAAACTAAGGTTCATATGACCATGCGACGAGAAACAGGGTCTCACAACCAACACAAGTCTCCTCGAAACAGCATACACCTCATTCCAACTCATGAATACGGTTTGATGCGTGAGCTTGGCTCTTTAATATGGCGGGATGATGACCGCATTTCTCTACGGCTTAATCAACTATGTCTTGAAGATCTATTCTAGATGAGTGGATACCATGAGCATGTCCTGCAGGTACTGCTATAAAGTAAACCCCCACCTTCGGTCCTCGAATCCGGACGCGATAAGGTTCGGGCCTTGATTGCAAGGCACTCTCATTACTTGACTGTTCATAGTAGTTGAGATATGGTATAGACCACTGTAGGTTATCTTTCCAAGAGGGGGGGGGGGGGGGGAGGGAAGGTGAACGACGACGCATTGTTCTGCAGAAGAACTTTAAGTGTAGTACCTATGTATGATAAGTGGGACCGCGTATGTTTCATAAAACTACTTGTCTTATTGGCTAGGATAGTAAGTAGAGGGCTTTATTTCCGTGTCGGTGGTGCTATAGTCATGGTTTTCATGAAGTGGAAGAGTGGTGTATTATCCTATATTAAGTCACATTAGATATTTGAGTGTTTGTTCTATATGTGAGTTGTCTTTGATACGTTTCAACGTAGCCCTCCAAGCCCTGGTATAAGTATCCAAGGTGTATGACTTGCCCACTTCTGTGTTATTCTATATTTAGACCATCGCAAGCGACTGTCAGAAGATGCACGAGATGTAGGTAACCTCAATGTAGCCTCAGCTGTATATCAAGAATGTACAGCACCTGGCCTTGACCCGACAGTTCTTGGCTCACTGTTCGGATGGGGTTTCAACCTTGTTTCTGAGGGGTCATAAATTGAAACCTGCCTGTTGTTGCATATTCAGAAGCCCCAAATCTGAAACAATTGACGAATTGCCGACAATATAGCTGTCGAAAAAGTGCTCACTGGCATATCGAATAAGTTCAATACAGAGTCAAAACTTAAATGAAAAGCCAGTCATGATCCAGGTCTCCAATGTCAAAAATCCATTGTGTGGAGGACTCCTGTTTGTCGGTCTTTTGCCAGTAAGACTGCAATGCCTTGGCTGCATTGACCACGTTTAAACAGTTCGTGTCCATCCAGAAGTTCTCCAAGGAAGTGATTAGAAAGTCACGCTGGGCCTGCGACCGGCATTCGAGGCCAGCTACGAATATCGGCCAAAGAACACATTTTAATAACCTCCTGTCGTCTCTTAACGCATCAATGACGCCTATTAACTCAGAGACGAGCTCCTCTTGTGGGGTAGTCACACCGAGGAGAGCATCCAAGACACGCTGACCATAGATGAGAGCCCCTAGTTTGTATGACTGTGCCAGTTTGCAGAGGTTGGTTAGATATCGCGACGAGGTCTTCTGTGACTCGGGTAGATTCGAAGCCCAGGTGTAACAATCAAATTTCTGTATTAGATCAAGCACGCTTGTTATATCTTGCATGTGCGTGTTACTGGTTGTAGAAGTCGGTGGCTGGGGCTCGACCATACCGTCCCGATAGGCTGAAAGACATTGGACGGCATGTAATAAGTACTCGGGACACCCAATGAATGATTGTTCAACTGTTTCGTGGAGTAAGGATTCTGGATGGTCTAATGAGGTGCAACCAGATAGTAATTTTGGACGGACAAAAGTTGCTCCAAGGGTCTCAATCCTGAATAACAAAACAGTTAGCTAGGATATATATATAGCCTTACCTACATAAGGGCTAATACATACACATGAATTTGTTTGATGATGAACTTTCTTATTTGCTCCACAGTTCGTCCTGGATCCTGGGGCTTTCCAGCTTGCAACTTATGTAATTGACCGTTGGTAATCAGCCTCTTAGCGCCCTCAAGGTGGAAATTCCATTTGTCGCTTCCGGACTCTAGAAGATCTAAGAAAATAAGAAGGAAAATTGAAGCTACTGTGGTGTCCTGCTCAGATATTGTCGGATTGTTCAAAGCGTGCGTCAGCCCTTGTATAGCTTGGTGTTTGAATACCAGCGCATCTTGGTGAATCTGCAGGAGGTCTGGGGAAGACCCCACTACAGCATTCTCGAAGGAATAACCGGAATGGGCCCTGTGGCGTGCCGCGAGGGCGAGGACCGCCTTCATTAGTACTGAATTATTCACAGCCAGAGATATAAGCCTTCTAAAGGGATTCTCCTCGCTGTCATATACGATGAATACTTTGCATATTTGATCGTTGTCTGGACGTATACATTAGCTTCAAGGGACGTTGTAGTTGCTTGCAGTCGCGAATAGAAGGTAATGTACTCACAATAGTCGAGGTAATACCTGGATGTCCGATCCAAGTTTGAGATAGGACCAGCCTCCAAAGCCAATGATAGGCTCGCTCCATCATCAACAGTATCTGAGCATGACAAGGGACTGTAATTAGCATCCAGACTAATCCATTTTCATATTGAATCGGGGGCATAAGAACCCCGGAGACCCGCATGAGGCGCAGTTTTACGTTGCGTGGAGATCTCACCAGTATGGTCATTCTGATCGCGTCTAACTAAAACAGACGATATTACCTTACTACCTTTTTTCCTTGGAACCCGATCCAACGTTGCCAAGGCTGCCGAGGGTGCTGACGCATCCTTCACCGTTAAACCCTGCAGCCTGCCTCGAATAGCCACGCCTTTGACCCATCTGAGGGGCCTCTTATCATAGCATTCTAGTCCAGCTTTCAGACATTTCTTGCAGGGAGTTTGTGATTGGTCACATTGGATACGCCGGCGCCGGCATGTATAACAAGGGTCGTACATTGTGCATCTCAATGTGGCGGTACACAAGGGGGTGAACAATGTGGCGAGAGCTCCATCGGGTGACTAGTGCCAGCTATTTCGAATATGCATCATGATGAAGAGCCAGAATTGAAGGTTAGCTTCACAGTTTAGCCCCGCTGGAGAATGCAGCATACATGGAACACAAACAAACTATGGTGCATCAACAGCGGACGTTAGAATAAAGTTTGAGGGGCGCCCTGTGTGATGAGCTCACTTTAATCGGCGCAGAGCCGCTAACCCTTTCAGGCAATGGATGCCCTGTTTCAGCTTCTCCATCAGTCACATGATACGCAGGAACTGTTGGGCCTTGGGAAAGACTGCTTAAATGAGGAAATAATATGGGGTCTTCCATCCCTTTTAGGCATCGTTCAGGGTCCTCTGTGAGCGATTCTGTGTGGAACCCCGCGCTAAAATTGACTGCCCTATACTAAACTTTATATTTGGACGAGTTACGAAGGGCATGATCTGCATAAAAACCGGCTAATACCAAGCATATGCAGCTAAATTTAACTGTGCCGCATTTAGTATGAGAGGTTTTCTAGTAGTGACCCTCAGGATATTTGAATATAATCTTCGAAACTTTGCCTTTGTGGGTGAGAGACCAATGAAAACGAACAACAAGCATTCCAGAAACGGTATATCTCAATATGTACAGGAGAAAGAATCCGTGACATTATTTCATGATTGGGACAGAAGGGACTTGAACGCTTTAAGTAAATCATTCTTCAAGTCCTCCCAGTTTTCCAATCCCACACTCAGTCTCAAGAGCTTCCGGTCTACTCTAGAGTCGGACAGTGCTCTCCATTCAATCAAGGACTCAACACCACCAAGGCTGGTTGCATGCTGAAAGAGGTGCAACTTGCTTGGCAGGACCCGTGCGAAATCTTCGCTCTGCAGAACAATCGAGAAAACAGGACCAAAGCCGTTCGGCATCTGTTTCCGTACCCAAAGTTCATCCTGCAAGCTGGCATGGTGAATCTTTTGGAGAATGCTCTGGATAATTTGTTCTTCACTACCTGGAGCTGGATTCTGGGCGTTCAATCCTTCGTTCAACCATGAGATTAATCTCTCGGAGCTCTTGCTTGCGCGCTCTACACGGACTTCCAAGGTACGCAGACTGCGCAGACCAAGCCAAGCTTCTAAATTGCCGATGACGCTTCCAAACGCAAGTCTATCCTCGAAAAGCTTCTTGGTCCAGTCCTGACGCTTTGTCGCAAGAACACCACAGAGAAGGTCACTGTGGCCGCCAAAATACTTGGAACCGGAATGCATCACAATATCAGCACCCCACTGGAAGGGATCTTGTAAGCTTGGAGGAGCAAAGGTGCTATCGACAATGAGATAGGCACCTCTCGAGTGAGCCTTTTGGGCAAATTCCTCGATGCTGAAAGCTGTTCCCAGAGGGTTGACAGGGGTTTCTAGCAGAATCACATCTCCCTCTTCTAAGCTCTCTGCGGGGCAGTGAAGGTCTAGTTTCTGGAGTCCGGACAGGCGTGAGAGGACACCGATAACTTCATGGCTACCATGATAACCTTCGCCGATTGAGATGCGGCGGGGGTTCAGAAGTACTAAAGCGGCGGTCAGAGCTGCTAAGCCGGTAGAGTAGCAGATGGCATTCCCGCCGATGAGTGATGAAAGAACAGCTTCGAAGCGAGTTGCATTTGGGGCAAACTCTCGAGAGTATACATAGTTCTTTCCGTCGAACTCATCCTAGGAGAGCGTTAATGAAGTGTTTCGAATAGCTATCTAATGATAACAGTGTAACATACCACAGGGTCCACAGATGGCAGGAGGTCGTTCGGATCACTGGGAAACCTATATGTTGTAGACAAATGAATTGGAGGCGCAACATCCGTGACGAGGTTGAGCGGGTCGTCGGCGTGCAATGCTCGAGTAGAGCGATGAGTATCGTTTGAAGGAGACATGATGCCGCAGTAGTGAATTGTAACCTTGAAATGGAAAAGAAATGCTCGAAGAAGCCAGAATGATGGAAGACCATGTGGAGGGGTCGCCTTTATAGATGATTGTCTGCAACCGGATAATCCACTACCAGTTTAGTGGCCCAAGTGGGGTCCACTCCCGCGACTTTCCTGAAACTGATGGATTACTAGTATATCATTGGTGAATCATTGTCAAAATGCCCCACTACCATAAACTTCCCAAAAGAGACACGCTAATTCTAGTAGATTTTTTGACATTCGGCGTCCATCCGAAGTGTTTGCCATCATTCGACGAGCAACTTCTCTTCTAAGCAGTGAGTCGCCGTGGACCAGTTGAATTTTCACGGAAACCTTTTTACATGATCGATTTCTGAGTCAACAGAGCCCTATGACTAGCATCTCAAGCTGCTCGGCCTTGTAGACCAATCAGGATGCGTGCAATTCTAATTCGGGCTTAACCCTCGATCCACCCCGTTAAGATATAATCTTATCATCTTATGTACCTTAATTCTAAACTTCGGATCCGATTGCCCTTTGGGTGTGTCAGGTGATGACTCACGCCATTCAACATGGAATATAAAAGCACCCAGATCCCTCTGTAGTGTAGCTAGCATTTCAAATCAATTCTCACTTCCGTCTAGACCTCTCTTTTCCCCTTACCACATAATTGCACAGAAACCATGTATCTCCGCGCAATCCACGCAGAAACATCGATCAAAGCTCTCTTTGAGCTGATCCAAAAGAACCCTCTTGGTGTACTCACCACTGCCATTCCGTCCACCACACAACACTTTTTACAGTCTAGCCATATCCCATGGGTACTGGACATTATTTCAGATGATCCCGATGCGCCAGTGAAAGGCCGACTGCGCGGTCATATGGCCCGCCAAAACCCCCACAGCAAGACTTTCATCGAAGCTCTGAACGACGCGGGCTTACCCTCCGCTTCGCCGTTACAGCAAGAAGTTCAAGTTCTCTTCACGGCCAATCCGCACCACTATGTGACCCCCAAATTCTACACCGAGACTAAGCCTGCCACGGCAAAGGTGGTCCCCACCTGGAACTACGCCGCTGTCCAGGTTTATGGCCAGGCCAAGATCTACCACGACAGTTCTGCTCCTGAGACCTCCGAATATCTCCAGAAGCAGATTCAAGATCTCTCCGAGCTTTGCGAAACATCCGTCATGGGCTACACTGGAGAGGGAGGCCGACCGGATTCTTGGAAGGTGGCTGAGGCCCCTGAGCGATATATTGACATCATGAAAAAGAATATCATTGGTATTGAGATCACCATTGAGGATATTGGTGGTAAATTCAAGATGAGCCAGGAATCGACCAAGGGAGACCGGGAGGGTGTGATTCAGGGATTTGAGAACCTTGGAACAGAGCTTGGTCGGGACGTGGCGGCACTAGTTCGCGAGAGGGGGGAGATGAAGGATGCAGCCAAGAAATAAACCCCTATCATGTTGTTTAGAGAACTAGAACAATACCCTTAGAATAGTTGTTATGAAGAGCACGTTTCAGTGATACTGGTACTTCAATGAAAGGAGTGGTCGATAGACCCCGATGTGAGATAAATTGAAGCTTATCAAAAGCGATATGGTAGGTGTGACATTGCATTTGGCTGTCATGTCATGCTCAAACAAAAGCCATGTACTAAAGTAGTCTCTACACCTATCTGTGGGAGTACTGGATCACTGACGTTGTTAAAATGGAGTGCGCTGTTGCCAATCCTACCGACACCAATTGCTTTTAAGCAGCTTTTTGGCAGTCTCAAGGTTTCAGAGGACACTAAACAAACTCTCCAATCACACGCGACGACTCGTCTAGGTCTCATTCCAACTGGATTGTTCGATGATGTATGTTATTGTGGGGAAGGGCTGAGGGCTCAATGTGCCCCAGGTGATCAGTGACGCTCATGCAGGAGACAAGGGGTCTTTTTCGGATGTGCATGCCCTCTACTAGATGAGACTCTGGCATGTTTTTCGATTGGGGAAATATTGTCAAAAGAAGGTTTTATTTCTATATATTTAGAATTGCAAAAAGGCACATTCAAATGCTATTGTCCATCTGTTTTTGAATTCCTTGTTAGCCTCCATTATAGTATTTCTCTCTATATATCAATATCCTAGCTGTAGCTAAACACTCCAAGCTACCCGAAATAACTTGTCAATCTTATCCACTTCTCGAACTTGGACGACCTGATTAAAATAGTCCTGTCAATGTAGAGTTTTAGTTCGAAAGATATGACACGCATCTCCGAATTAAAAAGAAATTCTAATACAAAGGCCACAGGAAGTGTTCAAGGGGTACAAATATGGCTTACCCAAGGGCAAGTGATATCACTGTGATATGATCTTCAGCGAACAGCTTAGGCTTTGTTCTAAACGAGATAATCTCAGACAATAGACTTCTTTATATTATTCTCTACCTAACATCGATCTCCTTCCACCTACACTCTATGATGAAACTCTATCCTAAACACTGCAATATGCTATACAAACCTTGTTCTTGCTAAGCCATTTCCTGATACCACTCCTATGACTGACCAGCTGAAAGGCAGTGCTGATACCGACACTTTGTGCACTGTGGCATTGGGTGTCCCTTTCCTGGCTGCTGGCCTTGATGCGGTGCCGCCGCCCCAGTCAGTCTGCAGCCACAAGGTATATCAAACATACAATGTCTTTCGACGGTTCTTTCTCATTTTGGCTAGAATTCTGGTAACTTTGAGAGTCCTTGTGAACTGAAGCTGATGGCGAGCAATCATTCTCTCCTTCCTTTGTTTCGTCTGCCTCAGGCATATGAAAACGTACTAGTACCGATTTCCTTTGTTTCAATAGCTCAAAAATAGGAGTATCGGTGAAAGAAATTTTCTACTTAGAGAGGAGCGCGAACTATAGATATTCTAGGTCACTTTTTCTTCTTCTGTGATCTTGAGGTACTTGTAATTTATATACTACCTTCATATATCGACGACAGTCACAAATCTAATAATCAGCCATCTATAGAATCTACCGAACATACCAAACCAATCACTCTCTATCCTCCCTCACCAAGTTCCGGTAAGGGTTACTGGGATCATTCTCCTCCTCCTCAACTGAAGGAATCGTCTTCTTCACACGGCAAGGAATGCCAACTCCCACCGAATATGGCGGAATATCCTTAGTGACAATCGACCCAGCCCCAATCGTGGATCCCTTCCCAATGCGCACACCAGGCAGAATCACAACATTAGCCCCAATCCAGCAGTCATCCTCAATAAAGATAGGATGGCCGAATTCGACAAACTTCCGCCGAGAAAGCACACTGGTGTCGTGGCCGGCTGTGATAATGCTAACATTCGTGCCGATCTGTACTCGGTCCCCAATTACGACTAGACTGGTGTCTAAAACTGTTAGGCTGTTGGGTTGGATTATGTTAGTTTTTGTTCTATTTTGAAGGTAGGCGGTTCTTGTGGGTGGGGATTGTGATTGGTAACTCACTTCCAATTGACGAAGCAATCGCTTCCAATAATAAGGTTAGACCCGTAATCGGGTCTGAAGGGGGGTTCGATGAAAGTCCCGTCTCCCACACGGCCGACAAGCGCCCGTAGTCGTTCCATTCGCTTGTCTGCGATCTGATCGTAGGGGACTGTCTTGGTGTCTAGGTTGTTGTAGTCATCTGTTAAGCCACGGCAGCGGTGGCGAGCTTCTAGGAGCTTTGGTGTGTTGGGGTTGTACCTGGCTTTGTTAGCTTTTGTTCAATTTAAAAATTTCCCATATAAATTTGATGTTTAGAACTAGGTTGAAACCAAACATACATCATTCCTGAGATCATGCATTCATATTGTTCGCACATGGGGACACCGTTTAATCCACGGGCCATCTCGATGATCTCGGGGCGTTTCTCTGTGGCGGCCATTTTGTCTATCTGTGTTGAGAATGATATTTGTCTAAGAGTTAAGAATCAAAGAGCAGAGATTGAGATATGTAGGATTGAGTAAATCGGCTATGCAATGACAAGACCAAAAAGTCCAGAATATATAAGCTCAACACAACTGAACACCTGTTATTTAGGCGGTCATATAATTAGCACGTTCATTCTTGAGATGCTCCACACCTGTTGAAAACGTACTGGGTCCAATTGTTGAAGTGGGTGACCGTTTCAGAGTAGATGTGCTGTAGTTGGATATAATGAAGCCACGGTCAGGACCCCGCGGACACTACGTCAAGGGCGGATCCTCCGACATTTTCCCGACGCCCAAACTCCCTTGCCTAATCTGGTAAAATAGCCAGCTGCCGTGGGGTCTTGAAGTCATGTGAGGGGGGCGGGGATATCTGCCGGCTTCCACCCCTGCCGATGAACTAACCAGATTGGGTCTTTTAATAGCCGCGCTTATCGGCCTTATCGGTGGGGTTGGACTAACTGTATTTGGTTACTCTATGAGGATCAAGTATGCCGTCATACAATTGAAGCAATGGCGGTTTTACATACCGTCAGAACGGGCGACGTATGAAGAACTTGGAAGAAAAAAGGGGCTATTCTTTTGACCAATTTGGTGGATATCTTTCTATCAGATGGAAATGAAGATTCACGTATGACAAGTGCTCGTTTGACAGCAATAACGCTATGATAGCTACTATAGCAAACAACAAATGAAAGGCCCTATCTTACAGAGCCCCCATCTTTAGCATTGTACAGCTAAATCCTGGCCTTGACAGGCTCATTACGGGCGCTCTTAAGTTCCCTGATAATCTGCAATGCAGCCTGAGATCCCTGCTCGAGCGCACCGTCAATAGATGCCCGCCAACCATGGGCCCAGTCCGCAGAAGCAAAGAAAATATGTCCATGGCGGCTCTGTAACTCTTCCTGAAATTTCGACATGAACTCGGGAGGCCACCAAGCGGGGCCACCTTGGGACCAGGGATCGGTGTTCCAGTTGTGGAATACCTGTGCGTGTGTCAGTAAAACTGCAAGTATATAGATCGGTGACGAAGACAATACCATCTTTTCCACTTCCATAGGGTGCAGCTTTTGGAAGGCATCAATGGCCTTCTCTGGATCCCGCTCAGGGACAAACACGTCTCGTTCGTCTTTACCGAAACCCACTATATGTGCATTGCCATTGGGCGTTACCCCGTCCCCGTAGCCGAACATCAGAAGGTTTGGATACCGCATGCCGTTCCACGAGGTTAAGCCCGCTCCCTTCACATCTGCATGAATCTTGGTCATGTAATTGACGTGTCCGATTGAAATTGCTTGCTGGCGTGTAGGAGAAAGAGGTGGACTGAACGAGATGGTGTGAAGCACATTAAGTGGAATAGTGCTCACCACACGACGGGCTCGATACTGCTTGCCTCCTGCTGTGATTACTTTTACTGAGTTGGCCTCACCAATGATGGACTTGATCGGCGTCTTAAAAGCGTACTGCAAGCCGTTGGCCACGGCGTCCTGAAACATAGCACCAGCAAGGGCCGACTGGCCTTGACGGAGCTTGAATGTGGTCCAAATCGGCGCGAAATTGTCCGGGTTATATGACATCAAGGCATGGGAGCGGATCATGTCCCATAGACTTGAGTTCTCCATACTACCACCGGAAATGTGGAGCAGTAATGCGGTCAGGATCCCTGCCTCTTCGGGTGTCAATAAGTGCTTGATCTCTTCGAACCGGTCGCGACAGGAGATCTTGTCGTAGCGTTCCACGTCCAATCGATCAACCAGAACGTTATCGAGCTGCGCGTGCGGTAACGGACAGATTGCGCGGCAGTTTTGTCCATCTACATTGACGAAGATGTTCCACGCTCGCGCAGTGATCTCACCTGCTTCCTCGTGAGGGAGCTTCCGTGGGGTTGCCCCTAGGTGGATGATTCGTTAGACATATCCAAGAGATTATGAGGTGGATAAGACGTCGTGTACCTGGAACGTTGATAGTATAGTAGTCGTTGGCATATTGTCGATGGTGGGTAAGAATAAGGTCTCTATCCAACTTATACCGTGCCATCTCTTTGAAGAGATATGCCATATGGTGTGTTACCCATGTTCCTCCCATCTCGTACAGAAAGCCTTCGGCGATTTAGTCATGCCACAAAACTCGATCTGAAGGGCTAAGAAGTAGATACTTACCGTCAGACTCGACTGTATAGGTTCGTCCACCGACACGGTCACGGGCTTCAAGCATCAAGACCGAGAGACCTATAATACATGAGCCTAGATTTCTGTAAACGACAGAACATTGACTTACCGCAGTCCGTCATGTCACGAGCAGCCATCAAACCACTGTAGCCAGCGCCGATGACAATGGCATCGTAGATGTACTCCGCAGGGGCAGTTTGTTTCTCAGGAGGCTCCACAACTCCTTCACAATGGAGACTGCCTTTCTTGACACCAGTATCCTTCCTCCACATATAACCATCCTGAGTTTTCTTCATCCTGAGTAGTGCTACCTTTGTTCTTAGTGAACAACAAAGGCCACCAGACACCGATGTTGATGACAGGGAAAGCGATGAATTATATATGATGTTTCTCAGCTTGGCTTCAATTACTCTGTCATGTCAATAGGGAGAAACTATAACAAAGTTAAGTTGTACACTGCATCTTTATGAGTTTAGCCGTTTGGTCCGTGACTAGGAATATGTCCTGAAATGGAATGGGTTGGGTATCCATGTCAACGTGAAATGCCCCTGGCCTGATCAGCAATGAATTATGAGATAAATTTAGGGTAGCCATCCGCGTGTTTCCGTGGGTACAGCCAATCTGCCTAATCAGGAAGGTGGGCAGTCATATAAAACTTTCATTGCTTATCCTGTGGGACGAGATAAAGGCTGCAACGAGAGAGTCTAGACCAGCAGAATGCGGGTCAATGTGACTATCTCCTACTTGTCACAAAATACAGCAATAGACGCTGTTGAAGTTGATTGAGTACTCTCTGCTCGCAGTTTCCTTTAGCTAAACCTATACATACATATATATTTTTGGATTATTCCCGAAGCTCTGCGTTAACCTTCCACAACAAAGCCAAGTTACCAGGTCTATTTCACTGGAAATAGTACGAGAAGAATAAACATACATCATTATTGAGACCAAGCTTGTAGACATGAAAACATCACCTGAAGGGGTCCACAACCGCAGGTGACTTGATAAATCTCCCATCTGACATAGTATGCAAAAAAGAATTTATGCTATAACTATTGTAACCCCAATATACACATTCAGCTCTCTGTGTACAAATTTCCTCGCACATACTTGAGACCTGTATCACAACCCACAGTAACAACCGTTTTCCCAGGACCTAGCTCCTTGGCCAATTGTAGTGCCGCAACAACATTGAGACCTGAAGAGGTACCAACAAGAAGACCCTCCTCCTTCGCCAAGCGTCGACACATAACACGGCCTTCTCCTTCTTCAATCGCCCGTGCTTCATCATACCAGAGTTTGTTCAGTAGAGGAGGGGGGAATCCGATACCAATTCCCTCGACCGAGTGTTCACCACCATAGCCCTTTGTCAGAGTCGGAGCAGAGGCAGGCTCTAGCACAGCTACATGGCAAGCAGGCCATTTTTCTTTAAGCGTTCTGGCAACTCCCATCACCATTCCTGCCCCTCCGATAGCTCCACAGAAGGCGTCAATTCTACTAGGAATTTGTTCCAGCACCTCGCGCCCAAGCGTCGCATAGCCAGGTAAGACATCAGGATTGCTGAACTGGTCGGCATAGTAATAATCGCTGCCCTGAGAAGATATCTGCCGTGCGCGCTCACGCATGGCAGGGATCAGCTGTGGTGTGATCTTCCCATTTGCACTCGGAACAACATCCAGCTGCGCCCCAAATGCCGTCATGGTATTGAGCTTCTCGACCGCGAAGGCATCAGAGGATACAACGCGAAAGTTATATCCCTTAAGTGCGCAGACGAAGGCGAAGGAAGAGCCGGTGCTACCGCCTGTGGCTTCAACTACCGTCATTCCGCGGCGGAGCTCATTGCGGCGCTCAGCCTCCTCCACAACAGAGAGGGCCATGCGATCTTTGTATGATCCCGTAGGGTTCAGGCTCTCCAGCTTTAAAAACACACGAGCACAACCTGGCGGAACAATGCGGGTCAGCTGGACACATGGTGTGTTTCCAATAGCGCCCAGCGCACTGTCAACACTGGGTAGAGCGGGCATGATATTCTGACGAGGGAACCGAGTGAATGCGCAAATCGAGTAATCTGGGCCGATGGTAGAAAGAGAAACGATATAAAGAAGTCGCAAGCGAAAATCAGTCAGTCGGTATTCACTGTATGAAAAACACGAGTGTGAATTGGGGACTCGAGGGTCTATATGAGAAATGTTGCCTAAGAATTGCAGTCCCCAACTGGACAATTCGTGGCATGGTTTTACATGGATCCTACTTGCCTGTGAAACTGTACCCCCACATCAGGCTGAGATCCCGAGGTGGTTCACATAAAGGCTTTCTGTGCTGTTACGAACATAATGGCGCCAAAAGCCCCTACCTCCTTGCCATACGGCTTCACCGGTAGCCACTCATTAGACGGCAGAGGTCTCGAAATGGTTGTCTTTTTTACACCTCCATAATGCCAAGACACTTCTGAAGATCTGAAGAAAAAGCTATCTTGGCATTATGGAGTACCCCAAGAGCACTGAAGAAGCTCTATGGAAATTGTGGAGCCCAGCCTGAACCTGCAAACCATGGTATGGAATTCATTAAACCATATTGTCATTCAACTGTATGTGTATACTGAGATAGGTACAGCTGGGGGGCTGGCGAGTGATAAGCTGCCCCTTGAGATTGTTTTTTCAGTTATCCTATCCTTCAGTCATTCTACCTAATTTTCCATCACACTGGAATTGGGTAGCGGACAGCATCCTAAGCAGTATCCTGTTTTATTCTGTAGGGCACTCATTCTACTCGATAGTCACTTCGTCTTCGCGCTCAAAGTAAGTACCAATGAGTTTCAGACGCTCCAACGTTATTACTGGTTATGTTTGATAGCCAGAGTCCAAATATATCCTACAGTTTCTACTCCGATGGAATAATGTTACGACAAAAAAAGACATCTCCAAAATGCCAAGACGGAGCCGATTTGCCGAGATCTTTGTAGGCTATTTATTCAATACTAGCGTGGACGAATCATGATGTCAAAGAGCCCTAACCGATTCTTTAATACTGATTATCGACGAGGCCATGCAGAGATGGGAGTTAGTTGCAGTACTCAATTTTCATGTAACAGGTTCATTGACCAATATGTCAGTGCGATAGCCTTTGCTAGACTAGTTAGTGTTCGTTAGGGAGCGTTCGGCACCACTTTTGAGTATGTAAACTAAAGACACAGTATAGAGTAGCATAGAGGCCGTAGTATATTCGCCTCGTGGACAGCCTGGGGGTTTGTATTTCTTTTTGCCAAAGTTGACTGTGACATGGTAGCGTCATTCCAGAGAAGCTTGGTATACATGGCTCTATCTCTGATATACGTGAGAAAGTTGGAATTCTTCTAGTCGGACGAGAATGGCGGCGGCCTTCCTGCGGGAGGTGCCGAGGCCGGGGAGCATTGCTTCCACTCCGGCACAGACTCTCCAGGTAATGGAGGTAGTGTTATAAGCCATTCATTATTATACTTAGTCTGACTAAACTCTTCAATTCCAAGCAGCCAAGATAAGTCAAGATCTCTAAAACCACAGTCACCTATCATGCCACCAGCCTCAACATCACCCGAGCTACCCAACCCACAACAATTGACCACTGAGGGAACCAAGTACGACCACTCACGGAGGTAAGTCTACGCTTTACGAGATAAACGCATCCAGTCACTCATCTAGTCTCATGAGACATTATGTTTTGATCGTCCTTTCTGGCTTTATGCTCAATTTCACTGCCTGCGGCGTGGTGTTCGCCTATGGTATCTTCCAAGCTGAATATGAGAAGATGGCTGACCAAGAAGGAACCCCCTTCACTGGTGCCTCGTCTGCTGAGATCACTCTGATTGGTAGTCTTTCATCGGCGATGATGAAGCTAGGAGCGCCATTCGTGGTCGCATGGTGCAAGTGCTTTGGCCCCAGAATTATCGTCTGCGTTGGGGGCTTTATCTTTGGACTAGCTAATGTCCTGGCAAGTTTCGGAACAGCATCCTGGCACTTTCAACTTTCCCAGGGCCTGCTCCTCGGGATCGGGAGTTGTCTTTCGTACATGCCATCCATGACGGTGCCACCCACTTGGTTCTCAAAGCGCAGCGGGCTCGCCCTCGGCATTATTTCGGCTGGTACTGGTATCGGAGGTTTGGTCTTTGCCCCAGTCATTCAGGCCTGTATCAACGTGATTGGTTTCCGTAATACACTCCGGCTGATAGGGTGCTTGTCAACCCTTCTGATCTGTGCCTCGGGCTTAGTGATTTATTGGGAGCCATCGACGGCTGCCCGTCTCAGAGAGGAAGCTGCCGGGAGGTCCTTAAGCAGACGACTTTTCTGGGTGCCCCTACCACCCTGGGCCATGGTGAAACAGCGCAAGTTCATTGCACAGCTTCTGAATGCGGTCTTCCAGAGTGCAGCCTACTACACGCCGATCTACTACATCTCCTCGTACGGACAGACCCTGGGCTACAGCGAGTCCGAGGGGGCCAACTTTACCTCACTGAGTAACGCATGCAATGCAATCGGCAAGATCGCCGTGGGGTATCTCGCTGATTATATTGGCCGATTGAATTCCTTCTTCTTGGTGACTCTGTTCAGCGTCTTGGGCACCGTTGGGCTCTGGATTCCCAGTACGCTTGTCGGGTCGTCGTTGCACGGGGAGGCTGCAGCCAAAGGCTGCTTTATCGTTTTCACCATTATCTACGGACTCTTTGCCAGCGCGTATATTGGACTCTTTTCGCCTGCCCTAGTCGAGCTCTTTGGCCTGCACGACATGCCACGTGTGACCGGCTTTATGTACATGTTGCAAGGGGCGGCCGGCTTAGTGGGCACGCCGCTTGCTGGAGTGATGGTCAAGACGTACAACGGCGAGACCACGTCCCGTAGCTACCTGGATATGGCCATCTTTGTCGGTGCGTTGATGGTGGCGTCCACCCTAACTGTGGCCTGGGTCAGATTAGAACAAGGGTTTGACCATGTCAGTGGCCGGTTTGCCTGGAAGTGGAAACTCTAGTGAATTTAATAGACACAGGGCCTACCACATCTATGATATAGAACGCTATCTCCCGAGATCATCTTTTGTTTTCCACTATAGACCATTGTTCTCGATCCGTGATAGACTCATATAAAGAAATTTGGTTAATCAAATATAGGTATTTAACTACTTACGGACTTGTTAATGCTTCATTGCATTATCATACTGGTAGGCCAAATTCGAGTCTAATCGATAGCTATAGGCTTCCAATACCAGAGAATGCATTTTGCTAAGCAAGCAATCCCCAAGCCCGAAACTAGGTCAAGCGCCTACCAGATATGGTAAGAAATCTTGCATTACTGCATAGTGTAGTCGACTGAGTAGGCCTCCTAGTCTGCAAGGACAAACAAAGACAAAACAAAGGAGGGCGCTGGTGATATCCGATATTCCTCCTATACACTACACAGGTTACTCGGGATTTGCTCCGCCATTCTAGTCTCAAAGAGGCGATCAAGAGCGAGGCTAACTGAACCTGGTTGATGAGAATTTTTATGAATTCTTGTATAGTTTCCTTGTAACAAAAACCGGAAAATGAGCACCCCTTTGGTTATTGGAGCAGGGTGGAGATGCGCCCTCCAACGACATTTTTTCGAATGCCGGTAGGTCGGGTCGTGACCCCGTGGCGTGTTTAGCGTTAGCCCTAATCTTAGCCGGAGATCGTTCTGAGCTCCCCGAATCTATTATCTATATTCAGACCAACTATCAACTATGGCTAAATCATATAAGTATGCTGGTCCTTGCGTCAGTAAGGTTGAGCATCATGTGAGTAATTAAATCCTTTTAGTACAAGATAACGAAAAGTCAGCCTAGTATTCATCTTGAGAATATTATTCAACATAACCTTTGCCAACGAGGCAAGCGGCAAAACTACTCTTCAAGACGTACCTTCCAGGGGCAGATACAGAGGGGCTTGTGTTGCCTGTATCTAATTGATTAAGTTCCATACTTGGGACATCAATGGCCTGTCTACACACCATTATTTACGCATGCTTTGTGGCATTTTCACTGGTTGTCGCGTTGTTCATTGGTGACCTTCTAGGTCTCTTATTGTCGCCGAGGTTTCAGAACTACATCAAATGATCAACAGACTGAATATCTGCTAGATGGCCTTGGCGAGTCCGATAACTGGTAGATAAGCTTCTCCACTTCAATCTCACGGCTTTCCTCTAATATACTCCAAGCATAGGCCAGTTTGCGGAGAGATCAACGGCCTAGCTTTGCGAAAGTCTAGTGGGGACAAATCACCTATACATCGAGATAGCCACTGGTGCACTTTATGTGGCCGCCTCACTGTGTTTGCTCGTTCTGCGCTGGCGGATAATTCGATTACGTGACCAGAACTTTTTCTTGGATTCGCCAAAGTTTGAACAGAACATAGTCTGACGCATCTACTTAAGTTGTGTAGACTCGGGCATCCATATCAATCAGCACTGTGCATCGTGGTAGAGCTGGAGGCCTCTCATTTAGAACACATGGGTGCGGTAGGTATAGCGCCACACTAGGGCATCAAGCCAAGGATGCCAAGCAGTACCTGCCGACTCGCTTAGATGGGCAGCTCGGCTACCAAACGATTAATCATATTAATTAACTAACTAGAGACTAGAAATTCTCCTGTGTGAATTATTTGTAAGCCCTCGACGAGGGTACCCGCTCCATATGCCGTGACGTTGCTGGTCATTAGCATATACTTATTACCCCGGGAAGTAGGTCCACACTATCGCGACATATTTCAAAGAACACGAACTCCACCACCACACACACATCATCACTGGAAACTTGCCACATTCACCAAGGTCCTACAACACAAGTACCATGGCCGACCAAAGCACCTCAAACACGCAGCCCAACAGGGCCCAAATCCGCGTGGAACCCATCACCAACCCGGAAGAAGACTTCAACCGTTTCTTTGAGCTTGCTGCCCTCACCTTCGGCCATCAGGTCCACGATGGTGTCTGGTGCGCCATGAATCCTGGCTGGGATACGGCTGAGGGTTGTACGAGCGGGAGTGCCCGTCTTGCTGCGCGCTGGTCCACCATCACCAAAGACAGACATGGCAACCCCAACACCATTTTTCTCAAGGCCGTTCTCGGAGACGGCTCCGGGGATGAGGAAAAGATTGTCGGCGCGGCCATTTGGGAGCAGGCTTCCATCGTGGACGGGTACGGTCAGGCCCCTGCAATCAACATAGACAATTCGCAGCTGGAAGCCCTGTACCCCAATCAACCGGACGAACAGCGGTATCTTCGGCAGGTTGACCACTCACTGCGCCGGCGTCGCCTGGAGGTGATCCGCGAGATTGCGATGAGTTCGTCCCCAGCGGTGATGGTATTGGACTTATGTGTGGTCGACCCAGCGTGCCAGCGGCTTGGAATTGCTACAAGACTGGTAGAATGGGGCCTTCGTGAGGCGAAGGCACGTGGTGGGTTGGAGGCTGTGCTGGAAGCTTCGAGCATGGGGCGGCATGTTTATAGGAAACTAGGGTTTGAACAAGAGGGGGGTGAGTTTCTTTACGACGTGGATGAGGAGTTCCGGGATCGTGAGCAGCCGTCGAACGTATTTATGCGTACCGGTAGACCGGTAGCATGACGGGTTTAAATTGCGAGAAGGTCCTCTGGTGTTGTGACTATTCCCTGGGAAATCCATTGGAGTCGAGAAGGCCAATCAATATGCGAAGGTCATGCAGGGTACAGCAGTGTCACTAATCAAGTAGAATTGGACCATCGTGCAAAGGTTCCATATTAGCTTTGCAGACTTTTCAGTAGATTCACCTCTGTATTGATTGTGACTATGTACTCGAGCCTTCACATAACAATAGGACCAGAGCGGTCTGAAATACCTATTGCAATGACCACAATTGCCCTATAATCTAGAGTCTTAAAGACTCGGTTTTTTGAGTCAATCTTCAATCACTTCTGAGATTAACTTATTCAAGCCTTTACAGAAGATTAACCCATTGAAAACCCTATCCCATCGCTCTTCTTATACGCTTTTCTCGTTCTCTTTACCAGGATGCCAAAGAAGACTGCCGACGCACCTCCGGGAAAGCATACAGCTCCCCGAATTCCGAGTCCCGCACTATTCCCACAGCATGATGGTTCAAAACCATTACCGAGCCATGAATTGGATAATATTTCGCCTATCAAAAGTAGAGTCCAGCCTGGTAGGAACAGGCTGGACGATGAGTCGAGACAACAAGGAGAATTTACTGAGCAAACACCTGAGGACGACGCACCGCAAGCAACCCGATGAGAAAGCTAATTGGCAACTAGTCAGTGCATGTTTCATGAACTTTGGGAATGGAATGAACGATAGTGCACCAGGTGCCTTGATCCCATACCTTGAAAAAGACTATCATATCGGATATGCAATTGTTTCACTGATTTTCATCGCCAACGCCGTCGGATTTATCCTTGCAGCCCCACTGACTCACACGATTAGGGCCAAGATAGGACATTACAAAAGCTATGCACTGTCCATGGGCCTCGTCACTGCGAGCTATATAGCAATTGTCTGCCACCCACCCTTTGCAGTCGTCGTAGCTGCTTTTCTGGAGCTTATGGTATCGGCAGAGTTATCTCACCATTATTTGCCACGCTCATGGTGTCTCACAACATTCGTTGGACATACTTCTACACCATCACATTGACCATTACAGATGCTGAAAAAGGCCATTCAAGACCGCACAACGATACTAGGATCACTGTTCATCTTCGCTTACCAAGGTGCCGAGGTTTTCCGTTTCGGGCTGGATTGTGTCATTCCTAATCAGCTATCGGGGCGGCGATTCTCGACGCGTCGGGTATGTGAGCGCTGGCTTTTGGGCTGGAATCACTCTTGGGCGGTTTCTGATTGTGTATCCTGCCCATCGAATTGGAGAGAAAATTGGTTGTCGGGCTATTAGTGGTTGGGGCGATCGCCTTTCAACTCCTGACCTGGCTAATCCCGAATATTGTCGGCGAAGCTGTGTCTGTAGCGATCCTGGGCTTGTTGTTGGGTCCCTTATATCCATGCTCTACGGCGGTTTTCGCGAAGCTCTTACCCCGAAGCATGCAATTCATAAGCCTGAGCTTCATCAGTGCACTTGGGAGCAGTGGTGGGGCTGTTTTTCCTTTCCTGACTGGTATCCTTGCACAGAATATGGGCACAATGGCGATGCATCCAATCTGTCTTGTGTTGTATGCGGCGATCTCGAAGCGGTCGGGGTAAAATTGCTTAAATAAATAAATAATATAAGCCAGTATGATCAGAACTTCGCCGTTGATATATAACCGTTAACCTCAACCTGGGCAAGGAATAATGCGTGATTTACTAGCGACTAGTGTGGAGAAGATGAAGGCTTCATTTTTTCTCCTTCCACATAGGGAAATTCAAGTCCTACATAGTATTTATTGGATATCGGCGTGGTAAGACTTCAACACTAAGCATCCTGTCTCATATGTACCATTGGAGGCGAGATCCGCAGTTTATTCAATATCTCTAAATATTTTATTTTTGATTACATGCGCTTGAAAACAACGAGAAGCAGCCATGCCGACACCGCCCTTCTTTAACTTACTAAACGCTCTTGAGTCGATTAACGATGCTGAAAAGTACTCTGCTTTCCACATCATCAACACTGGATATAAGACATCCATAGACGGGAATTTCCACATCACAGCTGACATTCTCATTTCACACACCTTGCGGGATACCCAATACCAAGGACCCCGGCCGGTGATCGTGAGAATCCATGGGGGCTTTCTTGTACGTTATCATGGAGGCTATTTTTCGAACCAACACTGAACTATTGGCAGGTAACGGGATCAAGCTTGTACCCACCATGGTTCAGCAACTGGATCCTCGAATATGCGTTACTAAACAACGCCATCATCATCTCCCCTAACTACAGGCTTCTCCCCGAAGTGAGTGGAAAAGATATTCTAGATGACATGAATGACTTTTGGCACTGGCTCCACAGCGGATCGGTAGATCCCATTATTTGGGGTGCTGGATACCAAGGTATAACGTTGGACCAGTCTTCAGTCTTGGTGGTTGGGGAAAGTGCTGGTACAAGATGGACCCTTTTACTTTTCCCTCTTGGCTTCCATTGCGGATCTGACGCCCCATAATCTAGGAGGCTACCTGGCCATTCAATTGGCAATTACTTACCCGTCCAAGATACGTGGGGTCATTGCAGCCTACCCCATGGTGGACTTACGATCCAAGTTCTATACAGAGATATACTCCAAACCGATTGTCGGAGTGCCCAATGTCCCAGTCAGCTTGCTCGACGATCATCTGGCCATGATGGCAACCAGGGAAAATAACCGAACTGAATGGATTACAGCAGCTGATCCGCCAAATCGGCTAGAACTGGCGTTTTCGACTGTCCAGAATGGCAAATTTCTGGATGTTTTCGGATCCAAAGATAGAAAGCTTTTTCCGATCGAGAGACTCCAGGACCTAATCTCGGCAGGAAAGTGGATACAATTACCACTGATGTTTATCTTTCATGGAGAACAGGATTCAGCAGTTCCGGTAGATAGTTCAAAGAAATTTGTGCGGTTCCTGAGGGAGAAGCTGCCACATGCCCGTGTTATGCTTCACACTCAAGATGGGGATCATGGCTTTGATGCAGATGCAACGTTGGAGACTCCGTGGCTAAGGGATGGATTGGAGAGAATTTCTAAAGTGTGGCTAGAATCTCCCAGCTCTAATCTTTAATATGATACACTCTTTGTAGTTACAGTCCACTATTGGCATAATTCAGACACTGTACGCATGGCGTTCTCCCCCCCCTTTTTTCTTTCTTTCTTTTCTGTTTCCCCCTCCATAATTTCTCATGTGGAGTATGACGAGACACTATAAGGCAAGATTTCTGATCAGCGTAGCAATAGTATCCCTTGAAGAGGTCCATATCCACTAATATCCGAAGTTTTCCCGCCACGCGTGGAGATACGCTTAGTTCCCCGATTTGGCAAAACCCTCAACTTCCCAATTCAGCAATGTCCTTTAGCCATTTTATACCATCTCCCTACAGAGATTGCTGAGTCCCCTCACTGATGCGGGGTTGATAGTATCGTCAGAGCTTGATATCGAACTGATAAGGGAGGTATATAGCACCTACAGTATTCCTCACTTCTCACTATCTCCATACTTCCTATACAATCATCTCAAGTTTTGTACAGCAATTCCAAGTCTTATCTTCACACCAAAATGATCACCGACTTCTCTGGCGTATCCCTAAAGGGCAAAACTGCCATTGTAACAGGTGCTTCTCGGTGAGGAAGAATCATCATCCTCCAATTCCATGGACGATATACTAACGATATAATATAGGGGTCTGGGGGCCGGCATTGCCCTCCTCCTCGCCAAGCGCGGTGCCAATATCGTCGTCAACTACGTCTCCGACGGGAGTGCGAAGCGCGCCCAAGAGGTAGTAGATCAGATCAACAACCAGATCGGCACGAAGGCCATCCTTTGCCGTGCAGATGTTAGCAAGCTAGAGGAAATCCCATTGCTCGTTGACGCGGCGCTGAAGATCAGTGAAACTGGAAAGATTGAGATCTTGATTCATAAGTCCGTCATTTCACTGTCTCATCTTTCTTGCACTATGCTAACGTAGAAGGATAAAAGTGCCGCGCAAGGCCTGGAAGCAAACCTCGTCGATACCACGCCGGAATTCTATGAGACGCACTTCAACTGTAATGTTCGCGGTCCGATCTTTTTGACCAAGGCTGTCGTCCCGCATATTGCCAAGGGTGGGAGGATTGTGTTTATCTCATCCGCTGGTGCGAGACTAGGTGTTGCGGGCCAGACTGTCTACGCTGCTACCAAGGCGGCGGATGAGGCTTTGGTGCGCGTCTGGGCTAAGGAGCTCGGTCAGTCGCATAATATTACTGTGAACTGTGTTAACCCGGGTCCCATTGCTACTGGTAAGTACTTGTGCTGTGTTTGAGTACTTTTCTTCATTTACTTTTATACTAATGTCTCCCAGATCAATGGTTCCAGAGTGATGAGCAGTTCCTGAAAGACATGCAGCCGTTGATTGAGTCGACTCCGGCTGCGGCTCGGGTGGGTGAGGTGGATGATGTTGCGCCTCTGGTGGCATTCCTTTGTAGTGATGATGCCCGCTGGACTACAGGTGCATGCTTGTCAGCTAATGGTGGTCTCTATAATTAGTTCTGTCCCTATGTTAGAGTATTTGGTAGTCAAAGTGCCAATTTCATCACGGTTCAATTGCTTCTAAGCCTAGTGTATAGCTTCTACCACTTTGATGATGCTGGTGTGCAACATTCCACAATACCTATTCAAGTTGAAGATTTAGCTCAGTATGGTGAAAATACCGGTGCGAATGCTTCTTGAAGCCCAACTAACCAGATCAAAAGTGAAGCATGACAATTGAATGACTACCACTAGTAACTAAAGAGCTCGTCCCCCAATAAAGAACAGAATTGGCAACTACAACACAAGGAAATATCCACTTCAATACACACATAATTCTATATCCAAACCCTGAGACCACAAAGCCATATCCACAGCCCTAAACGCCTCCCTAAGTATCATGATAAACCACCCCCTCAGCCGCAATCTCCGCCCTCATTCCCTTAACATTAATCTCCTGAACTATCACCGTACACCAAGTAGGGGTATGCCCAGGAACCATCCTCTGAAACACATCCTGCATAACTTTCTCATCCTCAGCATGAACAAGATAGCTAATGAAACGATAGCCCTGGGCAAGTCCCTGGCCCACACCGGCATTCTTCAATGCGGCATCAAGGCAAGTGAAGATGGCTTCGAATTCTGCTTCTGCTGTTTCGTGGACCAGGGCCCCGGTTTTGAGGTTGAGTCCGATATGGCCAGTAGTATAGACGAGAGACGTAGTAGACGATACAGGTACGGTGGCTGTTGTTGCGAGGGAGGCGGGTTTTAGGCAGTCGCCTACTGGGCCGGGGAGGTTTTGGTAGGTGGTTTTGGACATCATGGTTCTTATGGTAGAAATGTAGAAATCTAGAATGAATGAACTACGGGTCTGAATATACCCTATGTATGTATATAAAATGTATAGATCTATGTATACTCTCCTGGGTGATTTGTCACAAATGAGGGTAATGCAATTCAATTACCTAATATGGAAGAAGGAAAATGTTGTCCAAGGCCAGAGAGGTCAAGGGGTATATATCGAACAAATGGTTATTCTCATACTGGTCTAAAGCAAGGGCACACATAGGGTAACTGATTTTGATGCAACAATTTGACTGGCTGCGGATACCCACTTACCTATTTAGGTAAAATAGCCAGCAGCATTGAAGTGGGCTTAGGCTCATCTCTGGCCCGGTAAAATGCCGCTGCTTGTTCGCTGAGACATTATCCGGCATTGCTCTGGGTCGAACTAGTCAGATCCACATCCAATCAAGGCATTTGTGAAATATTAATTGATGTACCTGCAGCGCTAGCCGAGGGAGCGAGGTTTCCCCATTTATCCAGCTCTAATGCATATCCTACCTATGCCTGTGTCAGATGATAACGGCTTGACTATGCCCTAGCAAACGAAAATGAACTGTAATTTGAAGCTTTTCCGTGGCCCCGCCGTGGAGAGAAGGCAGAGCCTGCTTTCTGGATAACAGGCTATTTTGAGTTATACAGCGTAGAAATTATCATAAGGACTAGCGATGTAGGGTATGGTATATACGTCGACCCCGGTCATCAAGTAAGACTACTTAATCGGCAAAAGCCGCTTCTGCCTTCCATTTTCTTACCACTTTCCAGAACCCAATAAAACTCCCAGACAGGAAATTCCTTGGAATGGCTACCCAAGTTGGCAAGAGAACCAACTCCTTGGCCTTTGCCCGTACCGATTGCCATACGTGTGCCTCAAGGGGCCAGAAATGTGATCGCCAACGACCTCAATGCGCTACCTGCATCAGTCACGGTCGTAAGTGTGGTGGTTTCGCAACGCCCCTCTCTTGGGATCATAGACGAACACGCAATAGAGCCCTAGCCAGCCAGGATGATTCAGGGGAGGATGCAGCCGTTACAACTCCCAAGATAGGAAATGGCCAGATAGGCAAAGACCCTCCGAGGCATTTTAAGTTTGTACTTGGCGGGAAAAGAGATCGGAAACGCCGGAAAGTGGTGCAGCCACGAAATAACACGCGTGCGGAGAAGGAGGCAAAGGAAGTCAATCCCCCGCAACCGGTAGATATTGCCGATATTGATGCTTCTCCACCCGGTGATGATGAGACTTCGTTTGATCTCGTGGCCCTTGCTCAATCGGAGCATCTGTTTGATCCCACTAATTGTATGGTTGGCCATCGCCCAATGTCCACGTCAGATCTGCGACTTCTGCGGTTCGTATCCATGATGCTAACAAGGTCTAGCTTTCTATCAGCATGATACTATTGATATACCCACTCCACAAGACTACTTTGCGTCTTTACTACAATCCGGCTCATCTGCCTTTCCACTTGAGACCCCGAGTATGATGGAGCGTACATCAGGAGAGGGACTCTGTGGCTTAGGGCTAGGGGATGCATTCCAGGACGGTCTGTCTTTTATTTCCTCGGATATGGGTCCTGTAGAAGGATTGGTATCAACATTGCGCGCACCCACTTTGGAATCCGTAAGTGGAGCTGGGTCAGGCCCAAGCCAACCTTTAGGGAATCAGCATGAAGCACTATTGCAAATGTGTATGAGTGGGCCCTCCGAACGCTATGAACGTTGAGTTCTGACATGTTCCCAGATGATACGGAATTTTGTGTCCTTCCCATTACATCTGATACAGCGCTGAACCCCTTCCGCTGTCGCGAGCCACTGTCTCAAGGTTCAAGGCTCTTGTTCCATTCCATCCTGGCACTGTGCTGTCGCCATCTTAGCCAGATCACTGGAACACCATCTTCGGAAGAGCGAGAGCATCGTAACCAAGCGTTTAAGCTTCTCGAGAATGCTCTCCAAAGCGACCAGTTGGCAAGGAGAGGGTTGACCTTACTGGATCCACTCTTAGTTCTCTTCACACTTGATGTAAGTTGTAACCAAACCTTGTCTGCTATCATCGGCATTTAATACAAAACTAACATATGTGTTCTCAGTGTACTCTCTCTGCCTCTGGCCGATGGTCCACCTATCTAACTCGAGCACATTCCATCCTCGAAGCATGCGGAGGTCCGCCAGCCCTTGATAATGCGCGCATTCGATCTCAAGTGGCCATGATCCTGTGGTAAGCCAGCACCATGCACGCATAACTAAACGTACTATATCTAATAAACCAACCAGGTGGGACGCAACCCTAGCTCTAGTCTCCCGCCAAGGAACAGTCTTCTCCCAATCCTACCTCGACCACCTTATACACTCAGAGAAGAAAGACAGATGGTCATTCTACGATCTCACCGGCTGTCCAAGCGACCTAGTAGTGATCATCTTCAAACTAGCAGAACTAGCCCACCAAAGCACAATAGCCTCCACCATGAAATGGCTCACCTTCAACCTAACCCCCATTGTCCAAATCGAAGAACAGCTTCGATCCTGGACGCACTCCTTCTTCGCAGCACCGTCCTATAATCAGGTTAGTCCTAGCGTTGATGAAGGTACTGGCACACCCCCACTCGACGAACATACTTTCCACGCACACCAAGACCGCCATCATTGTGCTGAGGCATGGCGTCATGCTCTTTTGCTGTATATCGAGCGAATCTTCAGATGGGATCGAAATCGGATTCGACCATTATCTATTCCTTGTCTTGCGAGATTGACTCTCAATCATGTGAGGTGTTGTAGACGGACTTCTCAGACGCAGAAACAGTTATTGTTACCTGTCTTTTTGGCTGGTAGCGAGACTGGGGATGAGGAGATGCGAGATTTGGCTAGGGGTTATTGTCGTTGGTGGGGGGAACGCAGTAGATATAATATGTTCCATTCGGTGCCGGTGTTACTGGAGGATATATGGGGCGGTGATAAATGGTGGGGAGGTGTGGTGGATGAGAAGACTAAAGGCGCGTCGACGGCGGAAGGGTCTAATGTGCAGTTTCTTTTTGGGTAGCTTATATAGGAACGAGGCTACCTCTCCTGTTATGGCGCCTTAAGAGCAGTAAAGAGGAAGGGCGATGTTCTCACTAGGTAACCATGCGGTTGAGAAACAGAAAATATAGTTGAAGCCCGAAACCTTCCCCGAAAGTACATCTTTGATTGCCCCTGTATATAATCTTCAATCCAGTATATTCTATCCTTCATATGTTTATCTTATGTCCCGTAAATCATTTCAATGCGTTACTAGCATTCAGAGCGTCCCAATCAATTTCCGGTCCTTTGAACTTATGCCTCCTTTCAATCCAAAGGACTAAGACAAGTCCAAATAAACCCGTGATGACCACCGAATTACTATCACCTTAGCCTCAGTCTCACAATTCAGACGTAAGTCAAAGAAAAACTCACTAATTCATGCTCTCCAGAGTTGTAGGAACCGTAACCGGGAAACAAAAGAAGATCCCACTGATGATCAACCAGATAACCGAGAAGATATTCACCGCATACCCGATAACAGGCCCTAAGTCGAAATGTCGACGGGGTAGCCTATTGCGTCCGCAAGTAGCCAGTATTCCTTGTGGAACCGTATACGTTATATTTAGCATGAGGATTGCCGTGTTAATGATCGAGTTGAACGCAGCGGTTGATGCAATATAGAGGAGACCGTATATTAGGCAGAAACTGGCAGCTAGGAGAGTAGTACGAATAGGAATTTGGCGGACTGGGTCGATGTGGCTCCAATAGGAAGAAAAGGGAAGGCCATTCTTGGAATTGGGATACTGTTAGCTTGTTTCGTGGTTGCTCGGTTCCTTAGCTGAGGTACTTACATCTCGTGAAAATGCCCATGCCATTCGACTGGACGCTATCCATTGGCTGGGTACGCATGCTGTTTCGATTAGCTTGGCTGTGTCCTTGTAATGATATGGAGAGCGGCCCTGGTAGGGAATCATACTGTAGTAGAGTAGAGTTAAATACGCCTGCAAGATTGTAGCAGCGACCTTGTTCCCAGTTGCCTGATAGAAAATCTCCATGCTAGGCAAAAACGCTTTCTGCACCGCTTCGAGGTCGGTAATCACAGTAGCCATGACCACAATCCAGGGTACAGCGGTCAGGATGCCAATGACCATAGTCATGTTGCTTTCATATCTTGTTAGATAAATCAAGGATATTCACGAGGGAGACCTACATAACTTGGGGCAATTTCCTTCCGGGACTTGGCATCTCCTCGGCGATATGAGTGCATGCGCTTGTCGCAGCGAAGCAGTACTGGCCAACGCCAATACTCATGAGCCATGCTGGTCCAGGACCCCATCCACTAGAACCACGGTATTCGACAATATTAGTCGGGCGATAATGGTCTCTACCCATTGACAAGCAGACTATTATCACCAGGAGGAGACCAACAACGGACAAATACATGGCCGTCTGTGTTAGCCGATCAATGTGCTTTTGTGGAACAGTGAAGATGGGAATGACTACATGCTGTTAGTGTAGATCAAAAGCCCGAACATATTGGGAGGTGAACACAATGTATAAGAAGGAGTAGAAACGAACGTGTCAAAATCACCACAAGAACGTAGCATAGATACACCTGCCACTGTGTGCCAGCAAATTCCGGATACCAGAACTTCGCAATCCCAAAAGCTGATATAGCCGTGTATATAACCCCAGAGGCAGTGGTCACCCACCATGCCACCACGTTAAAGATTCCAACCATGTAGGCGGCGAAGTTCTTCGAGAACTGTGGGGCAACAATATACGTGAAATGGTATTGGCCCTGTGAGTTTGGTGAGTCTGCTGTCACTGGGGTGATACCTGTGTCCTGATAAAAGTGCTATCGAGAGACTTACACCAGAAGAGGGAAGAGCAGAGCACAATTCGGCCAGCCCCAGAAGGACAATCCACTGGACTGCCGAGGCAATCATTAAGCCAAAAACAGCGGTTTGGCCGCCCCCATAACCGATGGCCATACCAAAGCAGGCGGCATAGGAAAGCCAGGAATTAATGATGCTAGAGACGGTTATTGCGTCCGTCCCATACTGAATGAAGGCCTTGCTTACCTATAGGCCAGGCCAATTGCTCCAACCCAGGAGAAGGACCGTTCTAGCTCAGCCACATGGCCTTGGGCCCTCAGGACAGCATCATCCAAGTCAAACACTTCACCGAAACCTTTCCCATCCTGGCTGGTAGGAGGAATGTGTTTTCCATCTGATTCAACTAAGTCAGACATGGTGATTTAAGCTCTTCCCTCACAATTTCACATAGACATATGTAGGCGAGGGAAAGGGTTATGGAGACTCTGTAGGCAGATACGTATATATATACGATACGGGCTAAACGCCACTCAAACTTAGACCCAGCGGCGTATGGCGACTGGCAGCGCCCTTGCTTCCGGATGAGCGGACAACGGATAAGCACCTCCGCGCAGATTTGAGGGATCCATGACCACACTATCTCCTTGAACAATGCTGTGTAACACGTCCAAGACCTGTGAACGCGGAGTATGGGAAGAGCTGCCAATCAGAAGGACGTTGAGTTTCTGCAAGATAGACTAAGGAGGGCTAAGAAGGCCGGCGAGTGCGGGGAAATTATGCTGAGCAACTCCAGCTTGGTGGGTACCCTTTTGCCCTAGATTGACTTTATCAGCTCACTTGCTAGATAGGGAGAAGATACACACCCTTGATAAGAGCAACTCGGAACCATATTGGGCAGCTGTTATAGGACCATGTGGATTTGCCTAACCTTTCTGTTTGTTTGAGGAGAGTAGAAGTATTCTCATCCCTACTGTTACGCTGCCCTTGATTGTAACAAATAGATCTGATTCGAGGGAAAAGCAGGTTCATGGTAAGGGTACTTACAACATAATGACGTGGCTTCGGTACCTCCCTTAAGCCATGGTAAAGAAATTAAAACATATTATCAAAGAAGTAAGTGCTGTGCCCAATAACTGGTTCTTGTGTAATCGTAGCTCTGCCACGGTAGGGATGATGGTCGCAATATATACTTATGTTCAAGTCAAGAAGCTCCGTTGACATGGATATATGGCCTGATATATCAAACTTTGCTTTACTATGTCCTATGTGACATGGCCTTATGATTTTGTCCGGACCTTAACGAGGGTCTCGTCATACCACGCATTCTAGGCCCGGCTAAGCATTGGCCAGACTCTTCTTAGGGAGTAAGCATTATATGCATTGTCCTGAACATGACTCGTGATTCAATCGTCATAACATATTAGTTCACGAGAGGGACAGAGCATGTCAATTGAAATAAGGCCATATTGCAAGATACCTAACGCATAGATTCAGACTTATTAGTTCGAAAAGAGTTAACATAAAAAGAGCAGTGCAGAATACACAGTCCAATCTTCATTTGTACCAAGCTAACAAAGAACACTAAACACCACAAACAAGGTCACAGCTTTGCTCGGGTCGCCAAAGCCTCCTCTACGAGGTTCACAGCAGCTTGAGCGCATCCATAAGATGACTGATATCCGGCTCCGCCAGCACCATAGTTGTGCACCACCCAAGTGTCTCCTATGCGTTCCTTCTCGATTCTTGTCCCATTCGCCCGCACAGGTCTCAGGCCCACACCGTGTCGAATGATATCGAGGTGTTCGATCCCCTTCCCACCCGTAAGTTGAGGGCACATTTTGACTGCGCGCTTCATAATGCGCACAGCAAGATTGGGATCCGCCTGTGAATCCCAATTTCCCAACTGATACGAGCCACCAAGGATCGTACCGCCGCCAGCAGCGCGGGTCATAACATAGCATGCTTCACCATCGCCATCGTCAGTTCCAGAAACATCCAGCATCTTGCCAGCTTCATTTCGGACTATCACAATTTGTCCACGAGCGGGTACAACGGTCTTATCTTCGACTCCGCCCAGTTTGGAAGCCATAAGACCTGTACAGTTCACGACGAGATCAACCTTCTGACCAGGGTGAACAGATGGAGAGGCTGCGTCCGAGATATGGTTGAAAATGGCTCGTTTGAATACAACTCCGTTCTTAAGGCACTGGGATACGAGCCAGGGAAGGTATATTGCAGTGTTTATGCAGACGGACGTGAAGACTGTCGCAGAGTCAAACCCAGGGCCATGGCTGCTCTTGGGAAGGGCACGAAACTAAATGATTTAGCGTGAGATAGACAGCTTCGAATGCATACGTGAAAGGATTTCTTACACTTGGAACAACGTCCTTGAACCAAGGGTTCGGTGACAAAAGCTCCCCAAACCATTTTGCAGTTGTCGTACCGACGTCTTTCGAGCGGCTGTGTATTTCGCATTCTGCGTTATTGTTAGTGGTTAGTCACGAAACAGGTTCTTTTTCATTTACCTTGGAAGTGTATTCCGGCATCAGGGTGATTACGCGCTAGATCCTCCAACGCTGTCCATGTGTACTTATCCCAATCTGCTGCCTTGGTGCCACGAGTCGACATGCTAAGTATGGCTCTAGTGAGTAACGCGCAAGAAGCTTCTTCTCTCGATTCAACTCACGGCATATAATTCGCACCAGCCCACGGTGAAGCATATTCGATGTCGTAATCCCCAGGCATATGTTTAGCCGCAACGACTATCGTGTATCCTGGAAGTCTGGACAGGAGAAGAGCAGTCGTAAGTCCTGCAACTCCGGCACTGAAATCGATAGGAGTCAGATATAGCTGTGGCAGCCAGTACGCAGCATGTGGTTTGAAGGCTCCTCACCCGATAACTACCACATTCCTTTGTTCCATTGTATCGTTCTCTTACAAAGTGATATCAACTTAGATAGCTTGCTTATTGAGGATTTGAGAAATCAATATATTGTTGTAGCCTTCCAATAAGAATGAACAATCCCAGTTCCCTTGAGGACTTGTAAGATAGGAATGTACCAACACCAATATACTACAAGTATTCCAATTCACCCAGTAGGCAGCTTATCTTCTCTAACATGCTCTGCCAAGCGGGAAAGAGTTCCATGTCTATTACCAGACTTGGAAATCATACATAATCGTTCAATCATCGGGAGCAAACTCAGTTTCCTCTTTGGGCAAGTTACGGGTTCTGGTCAAAGCGCCACGACTATGATTTCCATAGTCCTTATTATTGGTAATGAGAAACCCTACATTGCCTTTCTCAGATACCTTGTTCCCCATATACTTAAAGACTGTGCTCTATCTAAATATCTGGGAAATATTCAAGTCAATCTTTCTTTCTTCTTCGTCTAGAATTCCATACAAACCTTCAACCTCACAATGACCTCCATGCAAAAAGTATTCGCCGGCTATGCCGCACGCCAAGCTGTCCTTGAGGCTAGCAACGACCCCTTCGCAAAGGGCATAGCTTGGATAGAAGGCGAATACGTACCACTGGCCGAGGCCCGCATCCCACTCCTCGACCAAGGTTTCATGCACAGCGATCTGACCTACGACGTGCCGTCCGTCTGGGATGGCCGATTCTTTCGCCTCGATGATCATCTTACACGACTCGAAGTTAGCTGCGACAAACTACGTCTGAAAGTACCTCTTCCCCGCGACGAGGTCAAGCGGATCCTAGTTGACATGGTCGCCAAGAGCGGCATCCGCGATGCCTTCGTGGAGTTGATCGTTACCCGGGGTCTGAAGGGCGTCCGTGGCACTAAGCCCGAGGACATCGTGAATCGCCTCTATATGTTTATCCAGCCCTATGTTTGGGTTATGGAGCCCGAAATGCAGCACACCGGTGGTAGTGCTATTGTGGCACGGACAGTGCGGCGGGTCCCCCCAGGGGCTATTGATCCTACGATTAAGAACTTGCAGTGGGGAGACCTGGTCCGGGGTATGTTTGAGGCGTCGGATCGGGGTGCGACGTATCCGTTTTTGACGGATGGAGATGCTCATCTTACGGAGGGGTCTGGGTTCAATATTGTCTTGGTCAAGGATGGGGTCTTGTATACCCCGGACCGTGGTGTGTTACAGGGCATTACCCGCAAGAGTGTGTTTGATGCTGCGCGTGCCTGTGGCATTGAAGTGCGTCTCGAATTCGTACCTGTGGAGTTGGCATACAATGCCGATGAGATCTTCATGTCCACTACCGCTGGGGGTATTATGCCCATTACCTCGCTGGATGGGAAACCGGTGAATGGAGGACAGGTTGGTCCGGTTACCAAGGCAATTTGGGATACATATTGGGCTATGCACTATGACCCGGTCTACAGCTTCCAGATCGACTATGACGGTGTTCAAAAATCTGGTGTGAACGGGCTTGGGAAGCTTTAAATATTGCTTAGTGCTCACAGGACATAGAATTTTATGTTCTTTATTCGCTTTTTCTATGTTATGATCGATCAATAGCAGCAGAATACACATATGTTAAATTAATAAGGATAGCCATTCTAAAGCTTTCTCCGTGATTCTACTTTTTCTCGTATTTATCATCGTCAACTAGTTTGATGGTTTTCACAAATGCAGTGAAGCAATTCTATATTAGACAAGGTCCCAGACACAGAATTATTAGTATGGTAATGCCGGCATGTATAGACAGAGTAGCAAAATAGTTTCATGCTGGGCTCGAAACTTACTCAAGTCTATAGATATTTGCCATGTCTTCTATCAGATTGTGTTTATTAAGGACAGTGTTTCCCTTTACGCCTTTCCACGTTCCAACTCATCATATATCATCTTCTCCACCTCCTCCATGCATCCCAACACTTCGAGATCTACGTGTATAGCAGTTAGCCAGCTATCATTTCCATAATCTAATCAATACATACCTCCGTATGGAAGGATCTGAGATGCAACAATAGCTCCGACCCCATTCTCCCGATCCGCAAACCAGAAAAGATTTGCCAATCCTTCCCAAGATGCAGACCCAGCTGCCCTACCTGTTAGGCTCTTACGATGGCTGAGGGAGAAGGACAACCCCCAACCCTCAGTCAAGTCACCATCACAGGGCAACAGAGGGCAAGGGTTTGCTAGAAGCGGTTTTCCTGACGGCGTGTATTCGTTACAATACCGAGGCATATCTGGAATTTGATCGGTGAACATCTCTATCCCTGATTTGTTAGCATTCTAAATGACGTGGCTGGGTAGGCTGGGGTCTTTCTTGCCTTTTACTGTTTCTGGCTTCAGGAGCTGGGTTCCTGTTTTGGGATCTGTGCCGTTGTTTAGAAGTGTTGCGATGATCTCTGTGATATTCTATGTCAGTCACATGGGCGTACATGTGTATAGATACTAAGGGACTACTTGGAAACATACTGCAATACTCAACAGGTTTCCCAAAACAGCCTGCACCTCCCATGCAGAACCTCTGCTTTTCCATTCCAGGCTTGCACGGGAGAAGAGGATACCGATAAAGATGGTCGGTGACATTCAATGTACCATCCTTATCTCGTTGATGCATGTAAGCCAGGTTCATTTTCATTTCCATAGAGGGGAAAAAAGTGATCGATTCAATCCCAAGAGGTCGCAGAATGAACTGCTGAAAATACTCTTCCAAAGATAAACTGCTGGCGCGTTCCACAAGCACACCAGCCCAATCAAGCCCGACGCCATACTGGAACTTAGTTCCTGGTTGATTGACTAATGGCCGGTGCAACACGTCCGACTCGTGGCCGGAAAAATCGTCCAAGCCGAGTGGGCGAGACCAGTCACGAAGCTTCAGATCCTCAAAGGCGTAGCCAAAACCAGCTATACATGTCGAGTATTAGCGAAGGGAAAAGCCAGCATCATTCGAAGAAGCTGTATGTATAAGGGGTAAGTAAAGTCTTACAAGTATGATTCAAGAGCATTCGAAGTGTGATACCGCGCTCTCTTGGCACCAAGCGAAAGCTGCCATCAGCCTCTTGCTCAAGGACTTGGACATCCTCCAACTCTGGAGCGAGTGATTGGACCTGTTCAACATCATCGAGAGCCAGCTTGCCCTGCTCGACCATTTGCATACAAGCAATGCTGGTTATCAGCTTTGTGCATGAAGCAATCCAGAACACTGTGTCCAAGGACATCGGTTCTGGGCAGTCAACCCCGCGCTTCCCAGAAGCATGACTGAAAAAGACGTCGCCGTCACGGTCTACAGCGCAATAGACGAGACCAGGAATTCTTGGTATTGGACCCGATGTCGTCGCATCTAACGTCCCATGAAGGGCAGATGCGGTTTCCTGCCACAGTTTGGTAGTCATTGCACTGGTTACTAAATGGTGGATTTGTTTTAGGGGTTGCGCTCTCAATCAGTGGCTCTCTGGAAGAAGTAAATTAGTATGTAGAGACGATGCACCGGAAGTGTATCCTTTCGTACTACCGTATATTGGGATGTACTTACGTCAACGCGCAGTGGGCTACAGTTTGCACGGACGGAATGTTGTTAGCTCTACGGAAATAATAAGCCCCGCCATAATATGAGGGACAGTCTTTAAAGTAGACTCATTAGGAAACTAAGGGCAGCATTTCGTGGGAGCTCAAGTATTTCCTGATCCGGTAACAGAGAATGTTCGGACCAGACCCACAACAAGCCCCTTCAACTTCCTGTGTATAGTTTTAGACAAATACAGCACATAAATCAGGACCTATATAGCCATGACTTCTGAAAATCCGAACTATATAGACAGAATATCGTCTCATTGGATAGCTGGACTATATATAAACGAGCAATCATAATCGCATAGATCATCAGATCTCCTTCACTACCTTTGAGATGCACCTCGCGACATAGTCAGCATTCCCCTCATTCAGCCCACAGAGACTAGCTCGTCCAGAAGGCATCAGATAGATATGATACTCCCCCTTCAATCTATTAACATGCTCCTTACTTAACCCAGTATAGCAAAACATCCCAACCTGAGACTCAATGTGAGACCAATCCCCCGGGGTAGCAAATTCTTCTAATCTCGTCCGCAATCGTTTCCGCATGCTCATTATACGTGAGCTCATGGTGCTCAGATCCTGCTGCCATTGCTGTCTGAGCAATGGATCTGTGAGGACAGTTTGAACAATCTGAGCACCAAATCGAGGCGGATTTGAGTACTCTGCGCGCGCAATAAGTGACAGCTGAGATCTGGCTCCTTGAATGGAAACGTCTGACGGAGCGACTAGATGTAGAGCGCCCACCCGTTCACCGTAGAGTCCAAAGTTCTTGGAAAACGACTGTGCAACACATAGCCCGGGAATCCTCTGACCGGGGTCTGGGCTCGAGAGTAGACGCTCTGTGAAATACCGCACTGACCATGCGTCGCCTTCCACGTTTCCGGTTGCGAAACCTTGGTAGGCACTATCGAACAAGACGAACAATTTCTTCTTCAAAACTACGTCTGCTAGCTGCTTCCATTGATCGCGGGTTAGGTCCAGTCCTGTGGGGTTGTGGGCACATGCTTGAAGGATGACCATGTCGTTTGGTTGTGCGTCTGCCTCCAACATCGAAACCATATCGGCGAACTTGACGGACCGCGTGTTTGGATCGTAGTATGGGTACTCTTTCTGAATTACTTCAGGAGCTGCCACAGCCCAGACTGTTTTGTGGTTTACCCAGGTAGGATCTGGGATAAAGACATTCTGGGGCTTCAAGTGCTTGGCGAGAAATGAGGCGGCCAGATGATTTGCTCCAGTACCAGAAACAGCTTGGATGCTTGCAATGTTCCGGCTTTCGGCTAGCTCAGGCCCAAAGACGAGTGATCTAGCGATATCCAGAAATACAGGAGACCCGGCAATACCAAGATACTCATGGTGTGATCTAGGGTCGGCCGCAATGTGCTCTTTCGCCTGGTCTTGGGTTAGCAGCTGTCGGCATGCGGGAGAATAGTGCACTGTCAAGGACATTTTGCTTACTTGTTTCACGCTGGGAAGGATCCAAGGCAAGCCCGTTTCATCCCGATAGGCCCCAGCAATTAATGAGACTTTCTTTGGGTGTTGGTCTGCATCAAACTCGGCTAGCAAGCCAAAGGCAGCATCCGCTGGAAGAACGGGTACGTCGAGGTATTGGGCAGACATGTTCCTGGATGCAGTGTTCACAAAGTTTCGAGTAAGAGCTGACGGATGTCTATGTAGAAGCTGGCTGTAGCTGCGAATTATTTGTTGAACCGACCGGTTGATTGAAACCATCAGTAAAGCAGCAGTTGTATCCAACTGAACATATATAGGTTGTTCAAGATGAATGCTAGTGTTTTCGAGCTGAAAGAAAGTTTCTGGAAAACAAAAGTTACCCCACAACGTATAATCTGACATTATTATAACTATACCTGGACGCTATATACTGCTAACATAACTACCTGACCGATCGGGTGGATGAAATTATGCCGAATAGAATTAGGGCTAATGGAGAGCTTACTGGTGCGGGATACCTTCGGCATCTCCACCGGTAGTCGAGCAGAAATCGGTCAAGTTCCGACATGCCGACGGCATACTTGCTGGGGGCAAATTGACTCATAATTTTCACGTCAATCAACTCATATATATAAAATCCAAAAGTACATGTCAACTCTTGCGCTGTAGACCCCTATGTGAGGCACACCCTATACAACATTGCGCGGAGACTAGATCCCTCAACAATCCCGCAAGATGGACAACGTCGCCACCTTCTCTCTCGACAACGCCCCTTCCTACGAGAAGGTAAAACTACAAGTCGACGGCGTCGGTCTCGAAATCTCCACAATTTACAAAAAGGGCACTCGCCCGCCGTTCGTCTTTCTCCACGGCTTTGGCTCCTCAAAGGAGGAATTCAACGACTTCGCCTATCTCCCGCATCTCAGCGAATATGGACTCCTTCTATACGACGCCCCTGGCTGTGGCGACACAACCTGCTCCGACCTCAGCAAAGTGAACATCCCATTCCTGGTCAAAACAGCCAAAGCCCTTCTCAACCACTACGGGATCACCAAATTTCATCTCTCAGGCCACTCAATGGGTGGGCTAACCGCTCTCTTACTCGCATCTGAGATTCCAGACAGCGTCCTCAGCTTCGTTAATATTAAGGGCAATCTCGCCCCGGAGGACTGCTTCCTCAGTCGTCAGGTCTTTCTCCACCCCGCCGATGATGCGGTGGTATTTTTCCATGAGTTTACCGAGAGGGCGAGGCGGGCCCCCGCCTTCTCCAATGCCATCTATGCGTCCAATCTCAGACGCAAGGTTAGTCCCCATGTTACTTATGGGATCTTGTCTACCATGGTTGAGATTACAGATAATAATGATTTGCTTGCGTTGTTTTTGGGATTCTCTTTCCCTCGCATGTTTATGTATGGCGTGCAGAATGCTTCTTTGTCGTACTTGCCAAGGTTGAGGGAGGGCAATGTCGAGTTGGCCGAGATTCCGTATAGTGGGCATTTTCCTATGTATTCCAATCCGCCGGAGATGTTTAGGCGCGTTCAGGAGTTTTTGGAGAGGACGGGTGCTTAGAGCATTGGTGTGTTCTCTTGTCTTTTTTTATTATACTTATGCTTGGTTTTCCTGTCTAGATCGTTGCGTGTATAGAATATAGATTTTCGAATAGATTTCCACATTCAATCAAGGCTCAGGAGATTACATGGAGTTGAATATATACCTGGATAGCTCATTTTCCATGTAAGTTACTTATTACCGGTCAGCTAGGTTATCCTCCATACTCTCGTGAATCCACTTTACTGATTGTATATGTTATATTCTGTGCATAAAGGTAGTGATTTCTACTTGTCCCTCACGACCATCCTCCTTCAGTTAATAGCATTTCTAAGCAGGTCACAAACACTTTGCCCCAGAGCTTAGGCTTCATATCATTTTAATTATTTTCAGAACACGCCGTTTGATGTCCATAGCTTTATTTATATCTCATCTAAACGCAGTAGACTTTATATACTGCTCCCTAATGAAAGCCAGGTCATCGAAACTGTCCTGTGTGTCTAGGTCCTCAGGGCCAAATACCCTCGTCTGGATTCCCAGCACGTGTAGGAGGAGCTCCTCAGCATCCAACCACCGACCCTGTGTCGCGAACATAGATATTAAGTCTTTCATGTCAGTGAGGGTGTCAGGATGTCCTTCGCCATACAGTTTCCTTTTGATCTCAACAACATGGGCAAGCAACCTTACTCCCCATGGCATCCACTGACATCTTCTGAGCATCTGTCAGTCGATCCTGATGGTACAATATTATGGCCAGATTATTCATGCTGATTAAAGTCTCTGGATGGATGCTCTCCTCCAAGAAGCTTTCTTGGTATGTCCAGTATGTCTGCAGTCATCACTTCGGCCTCTGCATAACGACCTTCCTCGAAAAGGGATAGCCCTAGAGCAACCATGGTCTCGAGTGTCCGTGGATCTTCGGGACCAAATGTCCTCCTTTTAGTCTCCAACAAATATGTTAGAGCTTCGTCAGCATCTGCCAGTCGACCATGTTGTGAGAAAACCATTGCATAGTATTCCAGACTCAGAGTAGCTAGTGGATGGTATGCTTCAACCAACTTCTTTTCCCATTCATGTCCAGACATTAGCAGACCCTTGGCCTTTAGCCAATGGCCTCGATCTAAAAGTATCTTCGCCAGATTAGCCCTAGTGTTTAGGGTATGCGAATGTTCTGGACCCAATGTGCTATTGTAGACCTCTAGTATATGAACTAGAAGGTTCTCTGCCTTGTCCAGCTGGCTTTGTTTCCGAAGGCATAATTCCAAAACAGCCTTGGCAGATATTATGTGAAAGTCCTCTGCACCAAAAGCAGCCTCAAATGCTTCCCCTACCCTTTCTAAAAACCTGTTCAGCCTTCTTGTACTGACCATTTTCATACCATACTGATGCCATCCCAGCCTTCTGAGACAGGGTATGTGAATGCTCTGAACCAAGGGCCACATTGAGTTTGTCTATTGAAAGGACAAGTAACTCTTCAGCTTCCTTCAACCGTGTGCAACGCCAATACATGGCACCTATCATCCCACATTGTAAGCCTATTGCCCAACTCTCTAACGAAAGTAATTCTTTAGGTGGTGGAAGGTGGGGAAGAATTTGCCGCCAAAACGGTACATATTCGTAGTGTGATAGAACCTTCAAAGAGACAACTGCCATGAAAGAGGTGTGGTAAAGGGTCAAGGAATGATTTGCTCCGCTTGGGTTGTCAATCTTCGCTCTCCACTGAACCAGAGAATGCATTGTGATTCCAGGAAGGTCGCCACGAGAGTCACTGACCAGCCCAAACAATCGAAGCTGTTGCGGTGCCTGATCGTACGTAAAGCAATCCCATCGGCTGTTCTCATTGAGGCTTAGAAGATCTAAAAGCCACTGTGGAACATCGCTTGCCAGTGCAGGCTCATCGACCAGACCACCAGCCGCAAAATAGAATAAGTATTCGGGAATGTTCGTGTGAACCATATGTGCGAGAAAGGTTAGTAAAAGTCTAGATGGAAGCGAAGACATCTTATCGACGGCATAGAGGCTACTGTCCCATACCGCCCAAATAGTGAACTTGTATGGAAATAGTCGCTTCGATATCTCATCTTTGAGAAGCCGATCCCTGTGCCTCTGATAATTTTGTAAATAGCGTTCAAGACAGCCTTTTGGGTCAATGTAGATTCTAGAATACCTGTCGTCTTCTGGGTTGACATTTTTCAAGCAATGGGAGCGAGTATGAGCGCCAGCAAGGTGGGCTGCGAGGGGAAGGTGCTGCAGGTTCTCGCATACGCGTAGTGACTCTTCTTGGACGTCTCGTGGTACCTCTGTTATATTTAGGTTCAGGTACCGCAAGAACAGAGAGGATGACTCTGGCGGCGTCATGATATCTACCTGTAGCTGCTGGGCTCCGGGGTAGAGTGTCTCAACGCATTCCTTGTCACGACTGGTAATAATGACACTTCCACGCACCCCAGACGGAATAACATCTCGTACTCCTCCATCGTGGTCATCTGCATTGTCCAGAATTACCAGCCATTCACCGTGGAGTTGATTCCGATTCTGGAGCCAGGCTAGGGCAATATGCACTGCCGGGCCATCCTTGAGCGACGCTTGATGGCCTGGTTTCGTCCTATCTGGCTCGACCGAAAGCCTGAGATCTCGAGCACAGCGGTAAAAACTTTCTTTGATTGTTGCAGCGCTCCCCGCATCAATCCAGAGGATGGTATCATATTGACGCCGATGAGCTTCTGCGTATCGAAGCGCGAGCTGTGTCTTCCCAGCGCCGCCTATCCCATCTATAGCTACCGCGTGCCTTATTTTAGTTGACCCCTCCGATTCCTTACCCAGTTTTGCTTCCAGGGACTTCGAGAGATCAGTCCTTTCTGTGTACATATTGTCGGTACTCTCAGGTACTGAATATACTGAGTGTGCCATCCACGCATCTACCTAAATGGTCAGCGAGAGCGCTTGATATTGACAATGAAACCGAAGTAATGATCTCTCAATATTCTAGATATACGACCACAAGGTAGGCACGTTGGTTTCCTCACAATTAGTCTGGATACTGGAAAGATAACGACTGACCAGCGATGGTTGCCTCCATCAGCTCGATGAGCTTGTTCCGTAATCTCTTATAATTGGAGTTTCTCTCTCCAAACTTATTCAGCCCCCAATGATCTGTATTCAGCCCTATTATTTCTGCGTTGGGGCGATCCATGGTGGCAGACTGCTCCTTGACCATCTGCGAGAGAGTTAACGAAAACGCTCCACAGCATTATCAATGCCTACGGACTCACCAAATCGCTACAAAATCCCCAGCAGGATGCCCCAGCTGTTTCCCGCTTTTCGAAAAAGTTGACAATCCTTAGATGATTGGATATAGCTTCAAATCGCCGGTGCATATCCTGCAGCTCCACAGAATCGTAACGGACAGCCTCCACAATCTCGGGGAATGTTCCTATGCCAAATAGGCGAAAGACATGAGCTACCCTGGCACCTTGCAATGCAGAAGCAGAGCCTCGATGAGGGGTTCCTAGAAAAACAGCAGCCTTGATCTGCTGGAAGATATTCACGGCGCGGTGGGAATGGAATAGCTGGGCTTATATTATGGCCTATGGTTCCACGGTTATTTTCGGGGGCCAGAGGCAACTACGGCGGCGGGGGGGGAAGTAATAAAGCCAGGGGCAGTTACATACTTCCTTTATTACTAGCCCAACATAACTATGCCCAACTAAAATAAAGTGCCTCTCGGGTGTCTGCTGCAACTGTCAGAAGCTTGAAGAACTGAACAGGCAATGTGCTGACCTTTACTGCTAAGGAGCTAACTTCTTGAAACAGCTCCTGCCCGAGTCGAGTGCGCCGCTCCTGAATGGCAACTTCGTAGTTGTAGAAAAACACGCGAGTGTTCTTTTGAACGTCTGCCGGCAGATCCTCGCAGAAGAAGTCGGTAACCCAGTTAACGTATCTTCTCCCCAGGGAGGGGTCTCCAGAGTCATCGTGGGATTGGCTTTCGACTAGCCTGTGCCAGGTAGTATCAGGGTTTGACCCGAGACCATGCACAAGTATAATGCTTTACTAAACATGAGTGCAACAAGTCCGTAGCGGCGACAGGGGTGACAGAGCTCACTCTAGGCCAGTGGCAGTCATGGTAGAGTTGAAACAGTGCGCTGGGACAAGCCATAGTCGCTCTTCGGGGCAAACTGAGCGTCCAGCCGGGATGGGATGCATGCTTGCAATGCCAATCGGGCAATCAAAACCGTCAAGCCTGCAATAATGCACTCGCGAAGACCCACATGCACATTCATTATAATGTATACTTCAGGTGCTGTGGCGCTCATAAAAGGGCATGTGTGGCAGCTTTTCAATGCTGACAACCTCCTTGCTTTCAAGTAATGCCCACGAGGAACAAAAGTACTGGGTTGCTTTTAGTGCCTGCACAGCCGCTTACAATACAAGGCTGACAGCTTAAAAGCAGCCTAATTTAATTTATGCGCTCGCGAGGCTGCAGCCTCGCGACTCTCCAGATGTAACCAAGCAATGCAAGCTGACGATCTCAATTAAAAGGGCAATTCAAACCACCTAATTTTACCCTTCTGCTTACAAAGCCTATCTAAATTTATTCTAAGCTATTTCAATTTTTAATATACCTTATCATAGGCAGATATCGGTAAGGCTGCACTCAGTCATGTAGAAATCTCTGTTTAATAAATCCCATGTATTTTACATCCAGAGAATCACACATGGGTCTCTACAAACTGCCCAGAGTTTGAAAAGCTCGGAAGATACAGCTTTGCAGTTTAATAGCTAGAGAAATGCATGTCAAACCAGCCCCCATTGGCCCTGTGCCTTTTAGTGATTCAGATGTGCTCAATGTCGAGCGACTTATCTGCGCAGTCGACCGCAGCACGGCAGCAGACTCTGGACCTACGTTGCCTCATGATCCCTCGCAACCGGGATACCATGTTCCAGGAGAGCCCAGCGTCCCGTTGGCTGACAGTAAAAGCTTCCTCCAGAGAGAGCTCACCACACCCCTTCTAGATTTGCTGTTTGGATATCTCTGGCTCGTTGGAAAGCAGTCCAGCAGTAATATCGATGCCCTTCATGTTCAGGTCATCAAGGGAAGAGATATTCTGCCGGCAGAAGATCCAAAACTGCATCTCATTCTGGCAGGAAAAGAGGATATTTATAAAGCCCATACCTCAGTGCCTGTTAAATTATGACTTCTGGAGACTTTTCCTGTCGTCCGAATCTCCCATGATACCGAGCCTATATTCTCCCCCGGACTTGCAACAAGTGAAGCATCCCGCATGTGTATCAGACTCATACCGAGCGGTAGCATTAGGGTTTCTACGATCATACTCCTTCCTCATCCAACATCGGTCCGACCTGTCACTCGCCAAAGAACATCATCTCATGCCGGAGGACATTGGATGGTCCCAATGGTCGAGGTTCATTGCAGTGTTTCGCGGCATCGATGATGAAGATGTAGCAAAGAGGTATTGGTACGGCCAGCTCCGCCTCACACGACTGAACTGGGTCCTGCGTATCCTCAGCCCCAGAAGTGGTGCAAATGGCTGGTTCTACCACGAGCCTCACTGGTCCACAATACCCTACATGCGACGCGCCGTAGTGCCATTGGTTTTCATGTTCGCGGGTATATACCTTATGCTGTCCTCGATGCAAGTCATGCTCGCGGTTCCCAGTGACAGCCTCCTGAGCCTCGGAGGAGCTAGCACGGGGGAACTAGAAAAAATGCAAGTCATATTCTGGGGGTTTTTATTGGCAACAGTGTTCTTTTCCAGTGTGTCACTGGCTTTGTTGATTCTTATTCCCTTAATCGTCATCGTCTGTCAGTTGTCTTGGGCGATTAGGCATAAGCCAGAGAAACTAAGAATCGGTGGACCCCCAGGCGTAACAGCGTAAAGTTGATATACGTCAAATAGCCCGCTTCTTTTACTGAGTGGAGGCTAGGCTCTCATCCCTTATTATGCATGGATTTTAGCGTTGCATGTTGTTTTAATTATACATAAAGATTATCATTATATTTTGTAATAAACAGTATATAATTGGTGGGCTATATTGTTCAAGTGCTCCAGGTGCGTGAACACTGAACAGTGGCAAGAATTTCAATCTCCATGGCCCACCCACCTAAGTTATAACTTATGGGTGGAGGTGATACTTAGACACCCATTCCCCACCTAGGGGCATTAATTATAATGCCCATAAGACACCCGGAGATAATACCAGCCACAGGCAGAGTAATGACCCAGCCGAAGTAGATCCACAAAATCATTCGCCAGTTGATGGTACGCCAGGTACCACTGCAGAGACCAACACCGACGGTTGCACCTGAGATACATTGGGTTGTGGAGACTGGAAGCTCTGCGGATTGTTAGTGGTTGAAGGATGCCTTCCCCTCAGGGAATATGGTGGACTTACTGAGTCTGGTTGCTGTGATGACAGTAATGGCGGAGCCGAGTTCCATAGAGAAACCACGAGAAGGGGAGTGAAGCGTGATCCTATTACCGAGATTCCGCATGATATTGTAACCGTAGGTCCAGATACCTATTGCGATAGCAGCACCTCCAAAGGCCCTTGAGAGATAAGTTTTGAGTTGATCACGGCAACATGGTGTGCGGAACTTACAAAATCCAATAAGGAACAGGACTCTTTTTGTTGAGCTTTCCAGATTGCCAAATATCGTAGATTGTGGCATATGGTCCAACGGCACTATGCTAGTTAGCACTGTTTATAGTCATCATCCAAGGCTCGGAGACATACTTGGCCACATCATTGGCACCATGAGTGAAAGACGCAGTAGATGCTGTCAGCACCTGCAGGAAGGAGTACATGTACTCGGTCCTGTTATCGTAATGCTTCGCGTGGGCATGGGTCATTTCGATGTCGCCGGTAAGGATATTCTTCTTGTTCTGCAAGCCGATAACATCTTGCTCGATCCCACGAAAGAAGAAGCGCTTGAACTGCCAGAATAGCATGGCTGGGTGAAAGAACCCCTTTCCTTCCGGTCGAGGGCCAATTATTGAAAATGCTGGCTTTGGCGCCACTGAAGGTGCATTGCTTGGTGCGTCTGACTTCAAGGCCTCGGATGAAGTATTCTGGCTCTCTTTGATTAGCTCGCCTTCGTTCTCTAGGTCTGAAGGTCGGTTTTCTTGAGTCGCAGCTCGCTCCGCCTGGAGCTGCTCCATAGTTTTATGGCCACTGTAGAAATCTTGCACCACCGAGTACCCTTCTGGCAGAGGGGGAATTTCTCCACGACGTAGAACGAGAGGGCCAAGGAAGACATGATACCATTGAAGTTGCCAGTCCTCCTTCAGCAACCTTCGGTACAGCCAGGGAAGGAAGAAGATGGCCACGATCAAGGCGACGGCAGCGCCAACCCCAATAATCACACCAACAGTCTCTGGGTCAGTGAGGGTAATCCTACTCGACCCACCCTTCCACACAATGAGCACTATTATACAGATAAGCGAATATTCTTGCGGCTCGGGGTTCGCGACTCACTGGTGAGGAGAGCAGAAGTAATGCCGAAGTAGATGGGAATGGCAATAAAAGCATTTCGGACTGAGTTGCTCCGCAGCATCACTCCATACTTGGTAATCAGGAAGACGATGGCACCAAAGGCGCCCGACATGAATGGGGCAATGACCCATGCCAGGAACACCTGAACAACTCCAGAGTTGATGTTACCTCCCCACCACGAAATGCCGTTCGCTCCAACCGACGCAATACCCATTCCGATAACGCCACCCATGATGGAGTGTGTGGTTGAAACAGGCATTCCAAATTTCGTTGCTATAGTAAGGTAGATAGAGGAGCCCATAACGGCACATAACATCCCCAGCATAAGCATAGAAGGATCTTCCTTAAAGAGATCGACGTCGACAACCTTCGTCCGGATAGTGTCTGCAACACGGGCGCCCACACCAATACTAGACCTCGGTGTTAGCATATAGAGTCCTCAAAATTGCTGGCTAGGAAGGATAGTAGAGTGATCCGTACCTCCCGCAGAACTCCATTATGGAGGCAAGGATCATGGCCTGCCAATATTTCAAAGATCGCGACGAGACAGAGGTTGCCCAAGAGTTGGCGACATCATTGGCGCCAATATTCCAAGCATCTAGGAAGGCAAAGATGGTACCGAGAGCAAAGATGTAGTCAAACTGGTGAAGGGCCATCTTGGCCAAAGGCTTGAAGCCACTAAGAAACTAGACTTGAGTCAAGCTACAGATATTCCAGCGCCGTAGTCCTTTCCTCTCAATAAGGAGAGGGGCGTGCATGGCGCTTATATATACCAAAACCTAACACGATTGCCCGAGGTCTCCATTCCTTTGGACAGAATCTGCCCACCCTCCTTTGTAGCATTAGGCGAGGTCAGTCCATTCATTCGCACATTGGCCCCAACGTGAGAGAACCAGATCCAAGGCTAGGGATAATTTCCTATTAATTTCGGACACTGAAAGTCAACTGATGGGTTCGAATGCTCCCGACGTTCTTGGCAGCGTATCCGTTCAATTGCCAAGCAGTCCGCTCGTGAATCGCCTTGGCACCTCTTGCTTCGAAAGCTTATATGGCCAATTAAAGCTCTATAGAAAGGAACGTGGGCTCGGATCGAGCTCATGAATAGGACTAATAGTCTGATTCCAGATTCTTGGCACCCGCCATGGTATACGACGGCGATGCGACATGAACTTGACTTGATGTTGCGCTGGAGATACCCTTGATCACTGCTGCAACTTCTTACTCCTTGTTCCAGGAAAAGGATCGTGAGGGGGTGGTGGCCGTACCCTATCCAGGCCCTAGTTTTGCCCTGGTATTCCTTTTAGCGTAGCAGCCACAGGACCATCATTAGGTATTCCAAGACTCGCTTTGGGCCAGTCTTCTTGCAGCAGTCGAGCATGCTTTGTGCCTCCAAGTTGTTTCCTTTCTTGGCGATTTGTCTCCTGCTCATAGAATCACCACATGCAAGATGCAGCTGCAGCTGCCTGACATTAGAACCAACTGAGATACGAGGATAAAGGCAGATCCAAGAGAAACTGGGCTGGAATAAGCATAGTACCATTGCTAGAAGCAGAGAAATCCCCGAGGAACCAGTCAGTGCGTCACTACCATCATCGACAATTCCTAAACTATGAACAATCCTCTAATTCACCCCTCGCTTGATTTACCATTTCGATGCTCACTTAACTCGGTCTGTAAGTGCTGGATATACTCCACTGCAGTCTCGATGAGCTCCACCTAAGGTGACAGCGTAGGTCATTACCTCATGTCAGCCAACTATATTTCAAAACAATGTTGCGAGAAATCATCGTCCAGCTCGTTTCCGATGGTGTCTTACCTTAGTGCATAGTTTTCTTTTTCGCCCACTGTCCACGCCACTTGCACTAAGTAAATGGGCCATCTGATCGAAGGCAATCTTTAACCGATCCCGCTGGTTTTTCTGAGAGATGGCATGCTTTCGTCGCTTGAAATCCGAGTGGCTCTTGGGGATTTTGATCAAGAGGCCTCCTAGAGACGAAGAGGTTCTCTATTAGTCACGCCAAGATGATTACCCTGGAAAATCCCGGGTAAGCATGTGGACTAACCATCTTTTGGGCGGAGTTCAATATATTTCTGTGATGGATTTGACGGTGGATGTTGTGGTGCCGCATTGGGAGCACGTGCAGAGGAGGACTGGGGCATGGCTGTCCTTAGTGTTACTGTCAGCTAGATTGACAATTGACTGTATAGCATCGCTCTCTTGCTTGCGGGGCCATACATGGGCTATATATGCTCAGACTCAGTGTTAACAGTTCATCCCTTTCTTGCGTTGCGGCTTATAATTAGATTACCAAGACTTCACCGTCTATCTCAATTGACAAAAATGTACTCCCTAACTCTGTTGGGCCGTCGTCTAGACAAACAGTAGGCCTAAGCTCCATCCTCATGCTCTGTTTGTACATATCTTGGCTTTTAGGGAAGACAAATGGGAATAAAATGCGTAATCATACCCTCGGACACACCTATAGTCTGTGATCTACGTAAAGATATATTTGTTTCCTTTTCTCTTTTTAGTTCTCACAGATTATGGCTTCATCACTCTCACTTTGAAGACTGTTGTGTTAGATACATCTTCTAGCTTTGTATAGTTTGTGATGAATCATGACATTTATATATATATATATATATATATATATATATATATATTTTTCGGGGCTCTTACAGAGTGGCATACTTATACTAGGTCAAACAGGGACCAGGTCAAACTCTTCTTGGTTCCCTCAAAACAAAGCACGCGTGCACTTGGCAAAACAAAATAGACTTATAGTATAACAGTAACTGTAGTAGTATCACTGACCTTCACAGTATACGACTTCGTACACTAGCCAGAAGGCATGGAGTGACGATCTTCATGCAGTATCGACGTTGACCCACAGTGGGGTCTCTGCCGATGTCAACATGCAAACCCTAACTCTACCTGGTGAAGATCTTATCCTTTTGTATCTATAAATGATATGATCATGGTCCCATGTCATTCAACAACGTTCTGTATAGATGTAGATGCTAATAAGGTATACCGTTGATCAAGTTGTTGCCTGCCAAGGCCCTCTCTCTACTACGTTGTGGACTCATGCTATATAGCACGTAGACATGTCATCATTTTGAAAGTAATACCGAAAATTAAGCCATCATCAAGCATGACTAGGTTCAAATCTCGTCATATACTCATCGTTGCCTTTTTACTTTATTATTCCCACTCTCGACTGAACCCACCTCTACCCAACGACCTACCTCGACATCTCCATCTGAGTCACCACAACAACACAGTACACCATATCTTCCTTCATACTATTCTTCCTCAGTCCCATATTGCCTCTATCCAAGATGAATTCCACACACGACTACTACCGACCCTACCCTGGCTA